ATTTATTGCTTAACAATATGACTTAGCCATACATGTTTTTGCAGGCCATCTGAAGTAGCTGATGCGATGATTAAGCTGATAGAAGATGACACATTGAATGGAGCGTCATTATTAGTTACGAAGGGCAAAACAATCTTAGTCGATCCACCAGCCTTGGACATATAAAGTCTTGGTTATATAATGTATAATAAACTTAGTTTTGTCACAATATAATAGTATACATTGACAGTATATATGACAGTTACAGTGATTTTGTGAAACAACGTTTAGATAGGACCACGAACAGAAAATTGAATAAAGTTGCTTGTTACTTCACTATTTACATTGCTGTTTACAATCGAGTTGTGTGAGGCAGATCTGTGTATTGCAAGTCAAAAATTGGTTAAATAAAATTGTATTTAGAATCGTGTTCCGTCCATATAACATCAAATTGAAAATATTTACTGCCTTGTTCAAATAAAGTCTATTTCATTGCAATTAAAAATGAACTTAAGGTGAAGAAAAAATTATTAAAGTGAAGAGCTCTGCTCTCTATCGTAATATAGATCGGCATCCCTTTGTTTAATATTTGAGAAAACAAAGAACAAATATTGTATTCGGAATTATGAATATTCTTAAACTCATTGTTTTCATAACTGTCAGACTATTTTTATTTATCAATATTTAATGCAGAATGATTAACTAAATAAAGATAATAAAGATTGGACTATGCAAAACGACAAATGTCTAGTTTTTCAGTTTATGGTACTGCCGGATGTGTCTTCTCTTTGTTGATAATTGTGTAAAGCCTTTCCTACAGATCTCACACGTATATGGTTTTTCTCCAGTGTGAGAATTAAGGTGATCTTTTAGGTGCAGACCCGCTTTAAAAGATCTATCGCAATGTGGACATTGAAACTTCCTGGTTTTGGTTTCTTGATGGAGGTGTGGGCCTTGGAAGGTGATATCTCCATAACTGTTTGGCTGATCATATCGATGTTTAAACAGCTGAGATTGGCTCATCCCTGAAACAAAATAAAAAATATATTTTAAATTCATATATTCATGTGATACATTCATATAACAAAATAAAATTAATATAAATGGGCATCAACATTTTCAATGGATTACATAATGGCACATCATATTTACTACTCGTATGAAACTTTTTTAGTTCGGGCAAAATTTAGAAATCTCGATCATATCTCAGAAAAATGCAAATTTCGGGATTATATTACGACCTACATGTATGTCGAAATTTGTTATGGTCTGTCTTTTCAGTAATTTTATGATTGTTCAATATGAGTTTTTAATACCACTTCATATATTCTCTTGTAGCAGCTTTCCTCCATTTGAATGCAAGGTTAAGAAAATGTAAAAGAACTCGGGAGCAAAGTGAACTGATGACAAAGAATACTACACAGAAAATTGCACATTTTCTGGAAATTATGCAGTGGGCTTCAGGAATTTACTTCACTTTGAAGCGATACTTCAAGTGCATACTTTGATGACAAAGACTGCGTTGAGGTGTAGACAAACCCCTTAGATATATTCTCGGTAATCACCTGTGATGTTACTATTTATGTATACACATATTTTTTTTCTTTTTTCTGTGTTTTTTCTGTTTAAAACTTAGTTTCAAAGTACCGGTACCGTCCCAACAGACCCCCTTTTCTGCCCCCATCAGAATCAAACTTATTTTGCATCTAGAGTATCCTCACAAATGTACTTCACAATAATATTTCAAAATCAGGTCAAATGATGAGCCAAAGAGGTCACTGGGTGCAAAAAGGTCAAGTTGGTAAAATCAGTCTCATGATCAAGTAATTTCCTTAAACATACCTAAATAAAATAAAACCATGAGTTAAACCTGACTCTACATTTATTTCCATGGGGAATAGGTAATATCTTAATAGCCTTTGACATGTTTGAGTAGTATTTGCACCATACTTAACACAAGGAAAATGTTTGAAAATGTTTTAGTCAAAATACATGTACTGGTATACTGTCGAAATATTGTATTGTAATATATTTGATATTAAAGAGAGAATCAGATATAGCGAGCAGGCTAAACAAAAAATTGTTTTCAATTTTAGAACATTTTTGGCTCATGTCATTCCTTGTCATGTCTATTTTCTAAAAATCACAAGAGCGCATATTTTATTCCAGGAAAACTAAAGATTTTTACAATAAAGTATTATTTTTCTATAAGAATGGTTACCATTCTTTTATTTGGGAGAATTTAAACATTTTCACTCATTTTTGCACTTTGAATCATTAATAACTTCACCAATTTATAACATATTGTGAATGTTTTGGGAGATATTGTATTTGATATTGTAAGGAATATATTGGTAGGTCAATTATACATGTTGCGTTTAATTTTGTCACCCCCTATAGATCAGACTCTGCCTTTAATATTCTAAAGCGTTGATACAACATATTAGTATTTATTGAATTTCTATGGGTACCAATAGGTACAGTTGCTGAAAGTTGAATGTACAGTTTCTAAGGGCTCGGGTCAAAATATCGATGTTTGTCAAAAAACGTAATTAATTTATTTAGGTCTTAACACCCCCCCCCCCCCTCTCCCCTTGTGACAAAACCAAAAATCTTGATAATTGAAATTCCCAGGAAAACGAAAATCGACGTCCGTCACCTAATGAAATCAGTGTTTGACCCCCTCCCCCTTATGAAATTAATTACGTTTTTCGATTGACATCGATATTTTGACCCATCCCTTACAGATATTTTAGTTATTTTAAAACTATTCCATGTCAGTATCACTATCCTCGGATAAAGGTAAGTCTTTGGCATCATGGAGTCACATAGGAAATCTTTTGAAAATTGATAGCCTTCATGTCTGGCAACTCCCAAATAGGTGGCATTGTATCCAAAATGGTGGCAGAAACGTTTTAGAAAAAATACCAAAGAAGTCCAAAAACTATATGAGCTATGTTCTCCACCACTTTTTTGCAACTGAAAAAGTTGCCTAATTCAATTTTGGATCTGCACAGCTAAAAATAAAAGTGGTGGAGAACACGGCTCACAGTGAATTTGTCCATTCAATGAACCATGGTTCATGTTCAATTGAGACGGTGGGGGTCTGGATTATAATCCCTTTATTATGCCACATATCATGCATCATCACACATAAATCTGCTGGATACATTACAGTAGGGATTACATTATGCATAATTCACTTGAATACTACTTGAAGATTGTTTTTAAGGCTTTATTTACTACATTTTCTAAAGAACACTAGATTTCACAAATAATCTGCCATGATGGGAGTGGTTACAGAAATGGGCCAGAAATCATATTTTTACAAAAATATTCACTATATTTTTCAAGAAAATGAAAATACACATATCAGTCAAGAATATTTTGAATTTACTTTTTCAAAAATCTATAATTGCGTTTTCATGAAATTTTCTAAGTCCTTAAACAAAGGAATCCCAATAAGACTGTACCTTTACATATCATAAAAAATAGCAATCACAAACGAAAATAGAGTACAGTTTAACAGTATCCGTTGAACACCTTTGACTTGTGAGGTGTTCCATTTACAATTCAAGGATTACGTTTACATTAAGTTAATCGGGAGAGGTAGATCTAAAAGTAGTCCACTTTGGAGGTATGTGTCCTGCTTTCAGAGGCATAACACTCAACAGGTTTTGCTGAAAGTATATTCAAAATATGATTTATCAAATTCCAGGTATATTAGTCTCAGGTTATAAAAATATAACAAAAATCCAGCTAAAATACTTTTTTGTTTATTTATCATTGAATACAGAATTAGGAACACAAATATGCCTGTACAACGATGATGAATTTTAATTACTCTAAACTACTCTTAACTACAAGTTTATTTTACAAAAGTATAATATGAAAAACAATTATTTACATTACTATTATCAGATTAGATGGTGCTACTTCCTTAAGGACTGTAGCAAAATGACATAAACTATAAACTTAAATCAATATGCCATCCTATTATTAAATTAAAGGAGCACGTAGGTTATTGCAAACAATTTCAAACAATTCTAACTTGAATTATGAATATTTTCTGATCATGAATCATTTTCTTTCAAGAACTATTTGATACATCAAAATAAAGAATAGTAATGCATTAAACATTGTAAAAAATGATTGCATTTTTGGTGAAAATGGGGTCAACATCTTTGAAAAAGTGTGTTGATGGGTTAATTGCTAGTTAAATATCTCCAAGTTAGTTTGAATTTATTATTACTGTGCATAATTTTCTTTGAGATAATGAATTGATCTAAAAGATAAACTTGTCTTCATTGTCAGAAAATAGTCATAATCCAAGATATAACTTCCTGAAATTGATTGCGATAACCCACGTGCTCCTTTGACATAAATCATAAAATCGAGGTCTTTGTTCCGATTCTAATATGATAAAAACATACAAGAAACACAACCATTTGCAATTATGAATTTAGGCTCCAATATAGAACAGAAAGTCAATTGTTCTAGCTATTGTGACATCATGTATCATATTAAAATTAAGGAATAAAGACCTCGATTCTATGATTTATGGCGCAATATATGACCGAAATTTTTATTCTGTTCATTGTTAAAAGACCGAAATCGCGTAGCGATTGAGGTCTTTGGCAATGGGCAGAATAAAACTTGAGGTCATATATTTGCCATAAATCATAGAATCAAGGTCTTTGTTACGATTCTAACATGATAAAACCTAAGTTTCTTCCGATTTGATTATTTTCAATCTGAAAAATTCTAATATTTTGGACATTCTATTTACCGGATTTCCTCCTAGCTAAAAGTTTGCAAAAATATCAATACTGAAACTGACGTCACATATTGACATCTGTCATGTCTATATTGTGACTGAATTGGTTCAGAGGGGGTGAGTATGCAATTGTAATAGTCATTACATTTTTTGGTCCATTGAAATTTACAGGTCATACATACCCCAATATAGACCAATAAATCAATTGTTCTTGTCATTGTGACATCACATGTCATGTTAGAATATGAATTATATCAGTTGTCCCTAGAAACTGGGATATATGGTATAAATCATAAGTCTAGACTTACTCACAGCTTGGGAATATCATTCTTCATTATACCACTGTCATATTCCTCATTATATCATATAATTTTAGGATGGTCACAACCAAAATAAATGGTACTTTATATCCACATTTAATAACTACAGGTGTATGTAGAGGAAGAAGATAATTACAGAAAATTAAAAAAGTATAGAAGTTTGATCTGGTCAATAAATTATTGGCACGGACAATTATAGTTGTCATACAAAGCCAGGATAATATCACACGTTTTTATGAAAAAACATCAAACATCAACAATAAAACAGCAAGTGCAATAAAAAAAAATTAGAACGAAGTTACATTTTAAAGCAAAGCCCATTGTCAATCATTGGTTGAGCTAAACAGATGACTTGGAACACTTACAAATGATACAATCTACTGATCCTCAATAAATACCTTTATGGTTGTGTCTTTTTCACTGTACTAATACGTATTCCATGTACTCTCTTTAAATGCATTTGCTTATGCATAGTCGAAGCAAATCTCTTGAGGCAGATCTCACATTTGTATGGTTTTGCCCCAGTATGCATGTTAATATGGGCGTCAAGGTGAGACTGCTGCCTGTACTTCTTGTCACATAAAAGACATGGATAACTGTAGTTATACTTCCAGACTTTTTTCGTCCTCCCTTCTGTTTGGTAATCTGATGCGTTGTTTTGCCTTCTTGATTTTTTGGCAGCTTTCTTTGGTCTACCTCGACCTCGTCGTTTCTTTCCTGCAAAAAATGAAGTTAAAGTACAATAGGGTTTCAAAAACACACAAAAGTACAACGATACTGTACTGTTCATACATTACCTACACAGTAAATAAAAGCCACTATATGCCAAGCCATTTGTGACAGCAATGGATCAATTAGGTTAACTTCTGGAAGCAATCTGTTCCATTATTACATTAGTTAAAATCAAAACCTAATACCTGAAAAGGACTCGATACAGCCAAACAAATATAGATGTGAAACACAAAATAATATCCTTATACAATTGCAAAAGAAAACTTAGAATAATTAGATTAATTGTATCTTTTTTGCTATACTAAATTTTCCACCCTAGTCAAAAGGCTAAGACAAAATCTAGTGGAATTTGGTTGAGAAGAAATTATCATGTCAATACATTTTTGTGGGGTTTCTTTTGTGTAGACATAGAGGAGAGTTATATAATTATTTGTAAATGGATGATCTTAAAGCCCCCGATAAATCGGGCTACGTATACCGCCGTGTTTACATTAGGGGATTAGAAGAGTTTATTTTTTACTTAGGTATGCAAGCAATATCAATATTAGGCCTTCATGCATGTACTCGTGTGTACAATTAGCATGCCCTTCAATATTATATAAGCCAGGCTATTCAAGTACAACATAATGTGCACTATTTATGTGTGTACTACATTGGAATACAATTCCCTGGGAAACAAAACACAAATACTTTTTATATGTTCAAAATGAGCCATTTGATTGATGCATACACTTAATACCTTCACATATAAACATCTACAAAGTATATCTAATAGTTATTTTCAATTCCAATGTTAAAACTTGCCTGGTTACGATTATACGGGAAATCAACACGGGACGATAGTTGTACACCTTCCTGGCTTACCTCTGAAGCCTGTACCCTGTAATCTCTTTATATAGGTTAGCGAGAGCGCTGCACCTGCGCAGTTTTAAATTTTAGCGCACACTTTAAGCTTACATTTTTCAAATTGAATTGAAACCAGGGCAGTGCCAGAACTGCCAGTTCAAGTAAAAATAAAACCACCCACTATATAAGTACGACAGAATTATTTATCAATGGCAAAACAATAAAATTGTACAGTATATTTCTTTATATTCGTGCAGTTACAACATCGATAGTCATTTCAATTCGATGTGAAGCCTATATGTTTTTACTCCTGTTTGAAACCCTGCAAAATGTATTGAAAAGGCGTTACGTGGAATGGATATCCAACTTGCTCAATTTTAATCGTAAGGCAAACCTTTAAATTGTGCATAACTAGTAAAAATTCAAGCTACCTTCAAGTGAAATAGGCCTCAACAAAACACTATATTATTTCTGAACTAAACATTTAAATGCTATTCTATGCTTTGTCTAAACATCAAATTAGTAAAATATGAAGAAATACATATAACTGCCTCATCTTAATTACATGTAACTAACGATAATAATAATTGTAGTTGATATTGGTTTTGTCAACCAAAAACGCTGGTACTAGTTAATATCCACATACAATAACACTGTTAGTTCTAGATACATCACTGTCCATGTCAATAAGACATAGCATAAGTATCACAATTTTTCATCAAAAAATTCAAAACGGTGGCCAAGTTATAAAATCGCATTACCATAACCACAAGAATGCAAGAAGACCATTGTCGCTTTCCACTGAGTCTAAAGAGGTAAGGAGCAACCGAAACACTTTGAAAAAGTACAATAAAAGTCCATAATGTGGCTACATTTTAAACCAATGCCTGTGCCTGTGCTAAATATTGGTACAATGACTTTGAACAATCACCCCATTATACAATCTGCTCAAACCCGATAAATACCTTTATGGTTGTGTCTTTTTCACTGTTCTCGTGTGCATTCCATGTACTCTCTTTAAATGTCTTTGCCTATCTATACACGAACAAAATCTTCTCAGCCATATCTCGCATTTGTATGGGTTTGCCCCAGTATGCATGTTAATATGGGCATCCAAACGAGGCTGCTGTCTGTACTTTTTGTCACATAAAACATGGCTACTGCCAGTACTATGGTAGCCAGTTCTGGGAATTTGGGAAACCTTTATTTTGTTGTTTATCACCTGTGACCTCACGAGGTGCAGACGATCAAAAACACACAACAGTACAAATGTTCCATGCAAACATTATTTATGAAGTAGTTAGTCACTAGAGAGTTTAAGATATATATATTTAAGATACATATTTTTCAGAACGTAACCGTGAAAGCAAAGCCAATGAATCAAAACAATATAGTAGATGGGTTAACTACATTTGGACTTCATTGTATGATGCAAATGTCCCATTTGGCATGGAAGTACCTTAGGGAAATAGAAATAAATTTATCCAAAGACACAAGCTAGATGGCGCTTTATATTGGAAATATACACATTTTTCAAAATGGCTGCCAAAAATACATCAGAGACAATATATTTGCTTCTGTGCATGCTACAATTATAAGATTGGTGTCAAAAAATACAGTGATGTAGTCGTAGAATCTATTTTATTAGATCTCGAGTCTTGAAAATTAAGATCTTCCACTTAATATTCAAAATATACGCGTTTTTCAAAATGACTGCCAGAAATATAACAAAGAAGATATCTTACCTTACGAATACTTACAATTAAGATATCTTACCTTACAAAATGCCCCCTTTGGCATGGAAATACCTTAGGGCAATAGAAACAAAGTTATTCAAAGACACAAGCTAGATGGCGCTTTATATTGGAAATATACACATTTTTCAAAATGGCTGCCAAAAATACATCAGAGACAATAGTTTTGCTTCTATGCATGCTACAATTATAAGATTGGTGTCAAAATATACATTAATGTAGTTGTAGAATCTATTTTAATTAGGTTCTGAGTCTTGTAAATTCAGCACTTGCACTTAATATTCAAAATATATATGAATTTTTCAAAATGGCTGCCAGGCTGTCAAAGTATACATTAATATTGGGTTGTAGAATCCATTTAAATAGGTCTTTCATAATAGGAATTTTCACTTTATTGGAAATTATGTGTTTCTAAAAATGGCCACAAGAAATATAACAATGATGATATCTTCACATCAGTACATGCTACACTGATACGATAGGTGTCAACATTTTATATTTATGGGGTAGGAGAATCAATTTCATTAGGTCTTGTGAGATTATAGTTTTCACTTTATATTGGGAATATATGCAGCTGAAAATATGACAAGGATTGTATCTTTGCTAACAAAGATTATACCTTTGCTAACAAAGATTGTATCTTTGCTAACAAAAATTGTATTTTTGCGAAAAGTTTCTTTGCTTCTGGGCATAATAATTCATAACATTGGCTTCAAAATCTATATTTTGGGGAATGTAAAATCTATTTAATTACTCAGATGCAAGTAGGTAGTTACCATTTTCCCCACCAGGTGGTTATTTCAGGTGAAATAACATTGCAGGGTATTACAAAGTTCCCTTAAACTTGAATATTCTTAATTTTCAGTGGTTCACATTTCATGTTATTCTTTTGTATCTGATAGTTGAACAAATTAAAATATCTCCAATAAAAGAAAATATTATCTGCACAACACAAGAAAGGATATTTCACTCTTTGTCTTTTACAACACGGGGACTATGGGGAATCTCCCTGACCTAAATGTCACATTTTCGAAGAAAATTCAATTTTAAAGTTGATGGACTCATTTCAAAACCACATTTTTCAATGTATCTTTTCATGATGATTCCAAATTCAACATCAATTTGACTGAATTTTGAATTTTTAATCACAAAAATAAAGATTGTTACTACTCGCATCTTGCTAATTGGATTATGAGCTTTAAACATTATCGTTTTCGCCTTTACACAGCAAATGTGTATTTATCTTACAATGTTCTTTTTACTCAAATTCACCAGAAAGACCAGAGTCTCTTTAATAACTTGCAATAAACATGCATCTGCAATGGTAGTGCAACTTTAGTTGTTGCAATGCAACATACATAAGAGAGAAATGTGATACTTGGATAGAAACCACGAAAGACCTTTAGTTAGAAAGGGCCAGAAACCTTTTGGCGAGAGAAAATCTTGAAGATCGGAATAGATATCAAGGGCTGCATATTATGACAGTATTGCAGAACCCTTTTCATCTCCTCTCACCAAATCATGGACGATGCCTCTGTTTACCGAGTCTTCCACTAATCCAACCAACAAACTTTTAAGCTTGTTGTTGATTGGCAACCATTTTGAAAAGGACATGTATATATAGACATACAGCACTGAATATTGTCATATTGAGAAAAATATTCTTATTTTCTCATTTGAACATTAAGAGATTAAGATTTTAAAATTTTAAACGGCAATATGTCTTTCACCATGAGTACTTTCTGGCCATAAATACAGTGTTTATTATTAAAATTAAAATATGAATCCAACTTTCTGGAAAATTATGGACTAGGATCCCACCTTGGCACTTTTTAAATGTTAAGCTTATTTTGTAAAAATATGATCTTGTTTTTCTCAATTAAAACATATCAAAAGTTTCTTCCCTTTATATCAACAATTACTTAAAAGGGGATGGCATTTGAAATGCGCTGAAGTTGAAGACCACATCTCTCATGCTATCCATTGTTTTCAGCATAGTTTCCGTCACCGCAAATTGATATTCAAAACTACACTTTCAAACTATTCTACTTTTGAAGAAGTTTATGAGCCCTTGTTAGATATAAGTTTTTGTAATATTTTCCACAGCCATTGAGAAAAAAGCATACATTTTCGATAAGATGTGAAAATGTTTGTTAACTAATAGACATAAAGTACAATATCAGAATTTCCGCTGAATTAAACATTTTGGTGACCATTTAGTCAATGCTAAAAATCATATTTAGACAATAAAATTTGAGATCTAACTTAATATAATGTAACCATACTTTGACGGCATATCTAGTAAGTAATAGCTAATCAACTACTTCTCTGGAGCATTTTGAATTTTCTGAGGCATTAATCATAAAATTAACACCATCTTCAATTTAACTGAGTATATATGGCCATACTTTGAAGGAATCTGAAAATAATTGCAAAGCATACATAAGACAGACAATGGACTGACAGACTGACGGACGGAGGGCTTTACTATATCCCCACTGAACTTTCTCCGTCGGGAAATAAAGACTATAAACCTTATCAAATGGATTCTACCACCCATTAGTGTATACTTGGACATCAATCTTACTATTGTAGCATGCATACAAGTGAAGATATCATCTTTTTTACATCTCTGGCAGCCATTTTGAAAAAGGCATAATTTTTTATATAAAGAATAAGTTCCTAATTTTCAAGACTCAAACCCATACTAAATTGATTCTTTACCCACAAAATGTATATTTAGGCACCAATCATACATTATAGTATGCATAGAAGAAAATATATTGTCTACGTTGTATTTTTGGCGGCCATTTTGAAAAATGTGAATATTTCCAATATAAAGCGCCATCTGACGTGTGTCTTTGGATAAATTTGTTTCTATGGTCCTAAGGTACTCTCATGTCAAAGGAAACGTTTGCATCATAGATTGAAGTCCAGACCCCCTAAAATGCAGTTAACCCATCTACTAATAATGTATATGACGTGCATACAAAACAAGCACTTCTTAGTCTACTTCAAATACCCGATCAGCTTCAGAGCTGTGTTTAGAACCGTGTAAAAGGGTAAGGGGTCCTATCAAATTATGGTCCTACTCTTCATTGATTTATATGGTGACCCCTTTCCCTTATTATCTTATACACAATCAGGTTCTTTCACTCCATTGGTGTCAACGGTAAACACTATACCCATGTCTATTGAATACTAAGCTGGCAATTTTGTTTTAATGTATAGTACAGGACCCCAAAAACCATATAAGGGTTAAGGAGAAAATACAAAGTGGCCAGTTGTATGTCATGTTATATATAAACATTAAGGTGGTGTCATCACAGAAATAAGAATCTTAAAAGGAAAAGAATCTTACCAGTATGTACTTCGGCAGTGGCTTGTAAGGACTTGTCTTATGCTTATAGATGTCTTCTGGGGTAAGGTAATTGGTTGTTTATTTTTTATTATAATATGATACGTGACGTCACAATAACTAGAACAATTGATTTACTGGTCTAAATTGGAGTATGTATGACCACTAAAATTCATAAATGCAAATATTTGTTTTTCTTGTGCGTTTATCATATTAGAATCGTAACAAAGACCTTGATTTTATGATAATGATTTATGATCTGGGCATCACTGTTTCTTTAACAGCGCTGTATGGTGCTGTTTTAGATCGGAAGTGTATCATATTGGGCAATTGAAGGCAATCAGAATTTTGTAGCACCATTCATATGCCTTATTGTTTTCCTGAAACAGATTGAATAGAGCATGGTTTTTCATGTATGGAGAAATAATGAATGTTCATTATTGGCTTGCTGCATTCTGATTGGTTGTGAAATTCAATAAGATCATGGATATGGTTGAATATTTATTTACAGTTATATTAGTCAAAATGTAATCAAAATGAAAAGTTTATTGATATCTGAATGAGAATCAACCAGCTCGATTGATTCTTACTATTTATTTTTCAACAAAGACAAATGTGGTTGGGCAATGATTCAGTAGAGTACATCCAGTTTATGACGGTTTCTTCTTAGAGAGTATACCATGTACTTTCTTTCGATGAATTTGCCTATCTGCAGTGGAACAAAAGGTTTTCAGACATATCTCACATTTGTATGGTCTGGCCCCAGTGTGCATGTTTATATGGGCATCAAGCCGGGACTGCTGTCTAAACTTCTTGTCACATAAAAGACAAGGAAAACTGAAGCTATATTTCTGTACTCTCTTTGTATTCTCTTTCCTTGATGCTTTGTCAGCTAGTCTTGGTCTGCCTCGTGGTTTCTTACCTGCAAGAATAGAGTTTACATTAAATAGGTGCAAATATTTCTTGTATTGACTCTAGAAGGGGATTGTGATCTCATTTCTTAATTTTTCACAAAGTTCTGTATTCGAATGAATACACTAAAATAGTATAGTAATAAAATAGTTTAAACATATAATAATATACTGCATATATTAATAAGCCTATATTTGTGAACTCATATTCATGACACCATTTTTTGGTAAAAGAAACATTCATAATTTCGATTGTTGTCCGTGAAATGAATATTTTTTGTAGGGATCCCTTGATATTTGGTCAGAGAGTTGATCATATATAGTTCATAAAGTTCATAAACAGACATAAGTTATATTATTTGTCGATGCTATTTGTTTGTACCATATAAAAGATAAGATAGCTCAAGATTAGCTCCATTTGGGTATATTCATAAGAGCACATAAAGGAACATCTCTTAAGAAAGATTTACACGGATTGTTCTAAGAAATGTTTTATTTAAAAAACTCCCAGATAGCACCTACAATTCACTATGTTAAACTATAGGTGGCAGCAAAAGATATTTATAAAACATTTGAAGCATAACCTGTTCCATGAAAATGTTTGTAAAAGACATGAACACATCGTTGAACATCAAGGATCCTATGTTGCCTGCCCGCTGTATAGTATGAAGCTCTTTTTGCCCGGAATAGTGTAAAAATGATCATGTGCTAAACCTTTCCAATAAACCCTGATCGATTTTTGAGAAACTATCATTTTGGTTCTCTCATCATTGCTAGTACCTATACATTATAGAGCATTCAGTCTCAAATGATGTTGGATCACAAATCCAGTATCAACGTCCATATGTGTGTCAAAGGGTCAACATCCATTTGCAGAGACGTCATGACACCATAGAACAGAATAATTTACAATGGTCATCAGGAGAAAACTACAAGCTGATCTCGATCTATATTTCTCAACCATCAAATTGATGATCAATTCAAAGAGTTACCACAAATCGAGCAAGTAGATCTGGACAGATTCTTTTCACTTGGAAGATGGGGAAATGCAATTGATAGATTGGCCCTAGAACAACAAAACAAACAACAAATACTGTATAAGTGGTAATTTTGCCTAATCATTTAATTTGCCTATTTCCTAATTTTTGCCAGGTTCGGAAAATTAAATGTCGGAAATATTGTCTTTATAATGTTATCCAATGGGAGGTTTCTTGTAATTAGGAAAATTAAAATTAGGAAAATGATGAAATTTGACCATTCGGAAAATTAACCACTCGGAATTAAATACCACTTATACAGTATATTAACACTAGTGCCGAAGGGAAATGACCAAAAGTTGTAATGGAACTTAGCAAGAAAAAGCAAACTTTAAGTGTTTACCAGTCAAGAAAAACAAACCCCATATAGCCCAAAACCATGATCTTACATGAAAGGAAATAATGTCTAATACCCACTTTCCCCCAACATTCAAGAACCAATTTCACAATCCAAGACCAGAAGACCAAGAATTTCTCAATTAATAATTTCTTGAACTAATCTTATTTTGTCTAGCTTTAAACTCCTATAATTGTGAAAAATGAAGAATAACATTGAACTGTCTTACACAAAATTGAGTTGAAGCAACATATGCAAACTATAAAATACTTTGAATATAAACATTTTATCATTGTCGCTTTAATTAATAATCATTATCTGAACATAATTGTAAATCAACTAAAGGGACATTAATGTTTGTTCCAATTACAGAGCTTCATTTTACATTAAGTCAATTGGTACCAGGACCCTGAAAAGTGTTCAGAAACTAGTTTCGTTTCACTTTTACTGTACTATACAATATCTCTTTTAAATGATCTACGATAAAGAATTTGGTGGATTGATTTTCAGAGTGTAAAAATAAACAGGACCACTACCTTTGCTATTGTTCAAACTGGTTTAAACCAGGTACCAGGTTTATAACCTAATAAAAAGGCTTATAAATTCTTAACACGTTATCCATGATAATTATGTACAGTAAGTCATAGAACAATTAGGACATTGATTTCTATATCTATGTTATCTATTTCACTACTAAGAAAAATGTTTGAATAAATACAAAAATCAAAAATATAATGTTCATGGTCTATACAATTTCTAACAACAATGTATTTTATCAGAACTGCCAAATATCCCTGTATAAGAATCATTGCATGGTGTGGGTTGTCTTAGAATTAGCAGCCATGTTGCAATGTTTCTGGTTAAAATTAGAATGCTATAAATTGCACATACAATAGAGATTTAATCAAAGCTACACCTAATGCTGGTTACAAAAAATGGTTGATATAGCAATACATTATACTAGATACAAGAAATTACTACTCACTACTACTAGTGCAATACCATCAATGCGCTCATTTAAAAACTAATATTGTGGTTCATTGAAATCACAGTTTGATTAATTCCTCAATTAACTCGATGTTTCACAAATCGTACAACCACTTTGCATGTAAACTAAATATGACCTTCATATTATATTCTCATCTTTGAAGTACACAACTTTATTGTGATATCGGCTTCAACAGCAGTGACAACAATTTTCTTTTAATATAATGGCATAAGGTTCATTTTCAGCATGCACATGGTAATTTCTTCTGGTTGCTTATAACAAAACACCCTGCTGTTTAAAAGAATTTGTTGAAAATACAATTGTGGTCAGAAATTCTAATTACATGTAGATCAAAGGAGGTGTTAAACACATACAACATGAATCCTGTCTTTTATTTAGAGCTTATTTATTTTCCTGGACTTGCTTGTTGCAACCCGATGAACATTCCGAAGATGCAAATTCAGACTGGATGACTGAGTAAATCCTTTCAAACAGAATGTGCACTTATATGGTCTATTGCCTGTATGAACATTCATGTGTACTTTCAAATGTGAGCTTGAGCCCATCTTCTTATGGCAGATTTCACATTCATAACCAAACTGACTTTTAGATTTTGCTATCCTGGTTTCATTGTTGCGGATTCGAGAATTATTCATTGTTTCTGCTGATGTTACACCAGAAGTCCATCTTCTTGTCAGCGCAGAGTAAGCTGGTTGAATCTTGCAAGTGCTGTCTCCAACGCTGCCTCCATCATATAGATATTCTGAAATCAGAGAAATGAATATTCAATTTTGTATTATAGCTGAAAGCTAGAGAATGTGATATATGCATTACACACCTAGCGAAGCATTTTTATGGAATTCAATGGGAAAGTTATATCAAAAGACAATGCCCATTTACATCCAACATTCCACACTTTCTTTAATAACCATGGCAATTTCATAACATCATGATTTATTTCCATAAAATTCCAACAAAATAATGGGATTGCAAGCACAAATCAGAACAACAGAAAATACACACATCTAACAAATGGTATACAAAAAGTGGCAGTATACATGCATATTTTGAAAAAGAAAAATTGCATAGAAAGTAAACAATGTACCTAGGCCTATGTATAACTGTATATGTTTTATTCTTGAAATATAGTTTAAAAAAGGTATACTAGAACTTGGGTATATTTAAAAAAAACTTCAGAATGGTATATGTGAAGGCAGAAAGTTACTAATATAGCCAAATATGATAAATATAAACACACAGGGTGTCCATAAAGTTTTTTATCACTTAATATCAACTTTGTATTGTATTTGTAAAGATACTTTATGGACACCCTGTATATATTCTTATCCTATTGATTAACTTAATGTACCTTCTAATCTTGTTTTCTACAATTGTTTCCTCTCTTTACTATGTCCACATTTAATTGATGCACTCTCCGCTGATGTAAATTCAAGCTTGAAGTTTGTGTGAATCCTTTTAGACACAGTGGGCATTTGAACGGTTTCTCACCAGTGTGAACATTTTTGTGATTATTTAGATGGGTGATCGAAATAAACTTTTTTCCGCAGATATCACATGACCACTTTGTTTTTCTCTGCTTAGCACTTTCATGTCTTTCATAAATACTTTCATATGGTTCCTTGTTGAATCTGATATTGGTGTTTGTAGAGTTTTGATATTCCCCTGACTCAACTTTAATATATCCAGATGTGTAGACTGCTGAAATCAAAAACATTGATGAAATTAAAATTCTTATTTGATATTGGTCTTCATTTTCAAGTATTAAAATGGATATAGAGTGCTGAAATCAAAAACAAATAAGAAACAAAAACTTTTTTATGATATTGGTATTTCCACTTTTTGATATTGGTCTGTCTTTCTTCTTAAGTCTTCAACGGTACTCCCTTGTCGCTATGCATCAGCATATAAAATATGAACCACATCCCTGGTTTTTGAGAAGTTGTCCAATGGGTAAAATATTAGGATGTTTACGAAAAATGGCTGCCTCAAACAAGCCTTAAAATGATGATATTTAATACAAATTAACAATGCCTAAAAACCAGCACCCCCTCCCCCTCAAAGATTGACCTGTCGAACATGGTATTTATCATATACACTCACTTAAAAGTCATGAGTGGACAAATCCTCACCAGCTAAAAGAAACAATGTCTAACATCTGTACTCCCCAAATAAAATAATGACCAGTTAAACATGTTATTCATATGTGATCGCTTTAAAGCCTAATATCCTCATAAACTAAAACATTTACGGCAAATATATGTTACAATAATGTTTATTAAAATAAAGAACTTGTATTTCAGACACTCAAAATGTCTGATAAACACAGAATCTTACATATCATAAATTGAAATAGTGTTAAAAACTCAAGCAAAACTAATAATTTAAAAAATGGATTATATTCATCAACAAATGAGGTATTCATATCAGGATAACTTGAAAGTGATTTATTTATATTAATCCTTATAAGGGAATATCATATTGTCAAATGTCTTGCAAGTCTTCATGCTCCTGAAGTGATCGTTTGTGTCCATGATCCCTATAAGCCCTGGCCATTTCAAGCATATCATCAAATGTTTTGCAAATCGTCATACACCTAAAGTGACCCCTGATGTATATCCATGACAATGGATTAAAACCATCCTTCATGATCCCTATCAAATCTTTTGCAAATCCTCATGCACCCTCAGTGACCTATGGTGTATATCCATGACAATTGATTCATAAAAGCATCTCTTTCATGTTCCTTAAAAGGGAATATCAAGCATATCATCAAATTTTTTGCACTTCTTCATGTGTCTGTCAAGTGATCCTTTATAGCCATATACCACGTGGCAAAAAGGACATTCAAATTTAATATGTTCATGTTTGGCCTGTATGTGTCTTCTCATATTATTCGGAAGAAACACTCCATCACAATGTCTACATTTGAGACTCTCTTTGTCCTTCTCCTCCGAATGCTTCATTAATATGTGTTGATGAAGACTTTCACTCGTTCTGTACTGTCTGGAACACTTGTCACACTCATATTCTTTATGCTGGAAGCAAATTTAGTGATTTAAATAATGACATTCATAATAGTCGATCTAATATATCTCACCTTATCCACATCTGAAATATTTCAATTCTATAACTGAAACTTTTCATATTTTTTCTACTCTCAAGTGGGTGCAATTAAATTCTAAATTGGGTGAAAATTTTGTTTGACATGTTGACTGGTTGCAATTCATTTGTAATTTAATCCATAGAGAGATCATTGGAGTGATCCTTTAAACTGGTCTTACATTTGTATGAGATGATTTATGAGCTACGTATCTTTCATGTCTCTGGAAAGCCTTTCCACAGCCATCAACTGTACATGTAAACTTTGCTTTCCCTCCGTGTTTGAGAACGATGTGATCGCATAGTCCACTCTTTGACAAGAATGGCTTACCACAAAATGAACACACTACAATAAGACAGCATAACTATTAGTCATTTACATGTAGGCAAAGTTTAGTGTTTTGTTTAAAATTATTGTGTAAAATATTGCATCTAAATTATGCCAATTTAACTAACATTAACCATATTGAAACAAAACATATGGAAACCTCCTTCAAAAGTTTGAAAGCACCAACTCTGAATCTAAATAAATATCTTTTTAGTTTTCAAGAGAACATAAATGAGTTAAATCTATTCAATCAAATATCATTAAGCCTCAACAACTATTCTTATGCTTTAGGGGTTAGGGTAAGGGGAATAAAAATCAACTTACAATTAGCATGTTTTTTGTGACCTGCTTTCGATTTAACCAGTGCTTTGGATAGAGTTGCTTTCGTAATGGAGTCCTTTGGCAAAAATCTGTGTTTTTCTGAAAATGTAATGAACAAATGCACATTTTCTTTTTGAGATTGTGATAAGGGGGAGTGGGTCTTAGACATTGTTTCTTTGTGTACTTAATCAGTATTCACCTGAAGATTTTTCAAAATAAAAGGAATGTTCCAATATTGAAATAACCGGAAGTCAGATTTCAATGCTGAATCCTGAGAAAATTTCCAAATATAGTAATACCTCACACATTGAATTGAGAGAAGTTGACTGCAAAAGCAAATACTTTCATTAAGTTGGCTTAAATATTCCTCTTCTGTTGCAGACTAGCAGCATCGTCTTCTTTCAATAGGCTCCCATTGCAGAGTAGAATGACTGCGCAAAGAGGTTTAATATGCGATTAGATAAATATTAAGGTAATTATACCACCATCTAAGGTAAACTGAGTCACCAATTCTACCAGTTCATTTATTGGAGAAATTGGAATATTTCTGTTATTTTGAACCAAAAAACTGTATACCAACCACAAAATTCAATGCAAAATGTTGACACATTTGAACTTTCCATTGATTCATTCAAACTTTCTGTTGCCTTATTTATGTTTTCTGTTGGCTTATTTGAATTTTCTCTAGGCTCATTTAAACTTTCTGCTTTTCCAGTATAATTCTCTCCTGTGTGTAATTCCTCTGCAGAGTTAAATCTCTCTGGCATGTACTCTCAAGCTGTGTTGAGCGAAGTTATTGTAATTGAAAATGTGTCTCGGCAAATCAAGCAGTTGAAAATCTCTTTAGGGACATCAACTGAATTTATCAGAAAACTTGTGTAAAAATATAAATACATGCAAAGTTCCTAAGCCAAAAGTTTCTCCAAAATAACTAAGAGAAAAGCCAAAATGATACAACAAACTGATACATAAACAACACCTTTTGAATACCGTAAAGTTCCAAAATTATCAGCTCCAGAAAGTGTCACTAAATTGGCTCTTTGACATGTCTACTTATATAACAAACATAACATGTTTGCATTCACACTTTTTAACTTCCAATAAAAATGATAAATTAAATATAGGATTATCTTTTCAATAAATCAATCACACAAAACACAATTAAAATAGAAAAAAAATAAAACTGAAGTGTGCTGTAACTGCATTGTAACTGCTTTCACATTTTTTTTCAAAATAAAAGTATATATAAGAAAAATATACTAAACAGAATACATTTCATGAATTTATTATTGAGAATACAATTTATTTCAAAACATATTATTTACAATGTAATGTTTAATGAGCACACAAATTGCCAATTGTCACCAGTCATCACAAACATGATATATTTAAAAGCAGAATCAGCAAGGGAGTTGACAAAATTGCAAGCAATATGTATACTTGATCTTTCATTGTGTTCCTTACAAGCTCAAATATGATATCTCCCAAAAGATCTGTGATATGTTATCAATTGGTGAAGTTATTTAACATTAATGGTGCAAAAATGGAGGGAAAATATTTAAATTCTCCAAAATATTAAGAATTGCAACCATTCTTATAGACAAATTATTGCGTTGTTGTAAAAATTCTTAGTTTCTTCAAATAAAGTATTATATACTCAGGGGCAATATTATAGGCCCAAAATATTTTTAAATTGAAACAATTTTCGTCAAGATGAAGCATCAAAGTCACCAAAGTAAATGCTAGATCTAATTCTGCCTTTAATACTTTTAATGGTCGTTTAATGTCGCATTTAAAATAAAGAACAAGAGATACATAAAGAGCCTAACAAGAAACTGAATATTCACTTGTGCTCTTTTCTCTTGTGTTTTGAAAGCATTCCTCTGTACGCAAATTTTTTACCACATACTTTGCAAGTATAGACAGGAATCTCTGGAGAATGTTTAAATTTTATGTGTTCTTTTAGGTACCGTTTCGACTTAAAAGCTTTTCCGCATTCATGGCATTTGGCATCCCTAGCTGTCTTTCCACACAAGTCTTTGTGTTCTCTAAGACTTCTAGCGTGGGCAAACTTCTTGGGGCACTTTGGACATTTAAATTTTAAATTCATATGCATCATCTGGTGATCTATAAAGACGTTTTTGTATGAGAAGCCCTTCCCACATATGTCACAGAAATGACTATAGTTGCCAGTGTGTTCAGCTTCGTGTCTCCTAAGTCCAAGTAATGTCTTGTAAGTCTTGCCACAAGTTGAGCACTGTATGCTTCCTGGAGTGTCTATACAACTGTGTTGGTCAAGTGCACTCTTTTGCCCAAAACTGAAATAAGCAAATCAAGATTATTCAAAAGTACAAAATAATTCGTATCAAATATTTCCACTCAAAAACTTAATGAGAGACAATGTATAATTAAACACATGTCCTTTCTAGAAGATAAATGTCATATCCTGATACTGAGATTTTGCCAGTTAAATTGAGTCCAACACTTAAGAAGATAGTCACTCATTCCAACTAAATTTAATTTTCCAATTCCTCATTCTATGAATATTAACAGAATAAATAAAACTGACACCATATGTCACTACAATTATCAAATTTTGACTAACCATTTTCCACAATTATGACACACATATCTTTTAGAGTGGGTATGTTTGTGTCTGTATGCTGTCCACATTTTCTCCGTTTTGAAGTTGCAGGCTGAGCATGCAAAAACCTGTTTATCGTTTGCCACAGATTTTATTATTTTTGGCAGAACATCATTGTCTGGTTTTTCCAACTCTATCGGTTGTTCAAGAACATTATGAGCTACTATGTTCTTTTGTTTGTCACTGTTAATAGACTTCAGCCAAACGCCATCAGGGTCATTACATGCACTCACAATATCTGGAATGATAAATATATGTTTAACTTCTGTCAAATTACCAAACAGAGCCTTCCTGTTGAAATAAGTTGCCAAATTCTGTTGATTTTGTATAGGAGTAAGTGGGGAAATCTACGAGCAAAGGTGGTTTTAAACAGATGTTTGATCCCTATCCCAGGAGTCCTATCCACTTTTCAATTTGGATTATTTTACACAGAATCACAATAAGGTTAGAGATACCCAATAAGTTGAATTGCTTTGTCACAAAGCTATTTAACCTGCTGTGTAGCAGAGTACCAATGACACACCAAAACAGTGTACTAGTATATTTTAAAATACTAATTCATCTTTATTAAAATGTTACACTGTTACATGAAATATGAAACTCAGCATATCCCAATTGAAAAAAGCCTATGGAAAATCATCTCCAATTATCACCTAACTTACTCTTGATAATGAGTTGAAAGTTAGGTGAATAAATTCACATGCAAATTATCTAACTAAACTAACGCTTAATTAACGCTTAATTTGCAACTTTATTAACGGTTAACTACCATCAATATGCAAATGAACTATATAGTGGTAGATTGTCACTGATTTACGTAAATAAGGTGAAAGTTAGTCGTAAGTTTGATACAAGTTAATCTCTACGTATCACCTAACTTAATATTGATAATTAGTTGAAAGTTAGGTTTCACATGCAAATAAGCTAACTATCACCTCTAATTAACAATTAACTTTCACCTTAATAAACCATTTATCATCACCATTATGCAAATGAGCTAAACAATGGTCCATTTTACTGGTTACCATAAATTAGGCGTTAAATGTGCTCCAACTTACACTTCATCTACGAAACAGTATAAAAAGCTGTTGTCATCATTGTTATACAGTCAGACAGTACATAGCTATTTATTTTCACATTTTCGCAACGAGGCATTTAAATGCAAGATGTCACCATTTGTTACATTGTGAGTCATTTGTTACAGACACCGAGGTACGAACACTTAACACTGTTTACTATTTTTCATTTGTTTTGAGACTAATAACAGGTGAGGAATTGGTGACATAATAAACAAAAACACATGGTTCCTACCAACACCATTGTCTAGTAAACACCCTTCCGAGCACTTACTGTATTAAATAACCTCTGTAAATAACCTCTGTTATGAACACTTACATTTCTGAGGCTCCATAGGTTTTCACTGTACAAAGGTTTTACTTAATGTATATTTTTAGTTATGTTGGCTAGAAGTAATAATATTGAGCTTAAAGGTGCATTATATTCCTGGACATTTCATGATGTTATTAGGCTTTAAAAAAGCAAGATTGTAATATAGCCGAATTGAACATCTACCACTGCCATCTATTTTTATGATATATCAAGCTCAAACACTTAATTTCACCGTCATGTATCAAATCACTTTATTCCATGTGCATACATAATAAGTGCTGTATACATTGTAAATAGCGTTTCAATTGTTTCAACTGTTTCAATCGTTTCAATCAGTTCAATCGTTTCAATGCTTGCATCATTTCCTCCGTTTCAATGCTTGCGTCATTTCAAGCATTTCAATCGTTTCAATCGATTCGCCTTTGAAATTAATTTAAAGTTTCGCTGTTTGCGCCTGTTTCGCCGTTTCAAGCATTTCAATCATACGACCAATTCATGGAGAAACGGGCGAAACGATTGAAAAGAAAAACGAACATGCACGTTTTTTGTTTCAAGCATTTCGCCGGGGCTTTTCAACCGTTTCAATCGATACGCCTTTGAAATGAAATTACTGTTTCGCTGCTTTCTTCTGTTTCGCCGTTTCAAGCATTTCAATCAATTCGCCTAAGCTTTTTCACATTCTCTTTCATTTCAACCATTTCAAGCATTTCGGCCTTTTCGCCCCCCGTTTCAAGCATTTCGCCTGCCAGTGTATACACCCCTATACATATACTGGTAAATGCAGTGATCTCCCAAGGATTTTTCTCAACCGGGTGCATAATTCTTAAAAAATTTGCCACACGTTGATTGCAGTAACTACCCAGGTAGCAAACTTTTACAAACTATTACATTCTAACTAATCACTGCAACACGTTAAAATATTGTTATCATGGAAACTGAATGTATCTATATGCTTCTGAATTTTAATCTGCTGGGTTGGCAGCCATACTTTCATTTTCTCATCTATTTTAATTGATTAAGTGAACTAAACATTGATTAAGGTTCCCATGAGGACTTTAAACTCTACTTTGATTAAGTCGTAGCCATAACTATAATCCATGACTATAAAAATGACGTTAGTCAGTATAGTCATTGATATAATATGTGAATTACCAAAATGTTATTCTCAGAAATGCCTCAAAAGCTACCAACATGTACAACTGGAAGTTCAGCTTTACTTCCAGTTAATTTCTGGGAAATTTTCAAGTGGGCCCTCAACTGTTTTCAATTGGGCGCAGAGCATTAATCGTGTGTGTTAACAAGTTCAACTGTGCATAGCTTCCAGTGCAAGGCCCTGAGGAGATCATAGATGTATAGTATATATATAATACAATATTGAACACCCAACTCCAAACACTATACAGCATTATCATATAATAAAGATGTATTTACAGAACAAGTTCAAACGTCGGACACTTAAATTGAAAATCCCTTCTATTATATGTCTCTAGAGCATCATCATATCGTAAAGATTTATGTACGGAACAAGTTCAAACGTCGAACACTATAGTTGAAAATCCCTTCTTACATAGAGTTCTGTCTCTAGAGCGTCTTAAAAATTTACTGTAGTCTTCTACTTAATATTAGTCTACCAATCCAATTTTTTTAATAATGTTCCTATTCGCTGCAACTTTTTCATTAAAGATTCTCGTAAAATTGTTGTAATGTAGTATTGTTTCTGTGTAGCCTGAAAATACAAAACCATGGAAATGAAACACCTACCAGATAAAGTCATGAACTTATAATATGTGAGAATTATTAAGAATTAAATAATAAGGCATTAACATGACAAAATGTCACCACTTGGAAATTGCAAAATTTGTCGTGTAGTGTAAGTGTAGTCATTAAGGGCAAAATAGAGATTGGTCAAATGAAACAGGCTTACAAATAATTCTAGTATATAAATCTTTCAAAGAACAACACAAAAATGATCAATTCAACAGCCCTGTTATGCTCTGGTCTGTTATTTCCACACACAATGGCTTCAGCCCTTATTAGTGTTATTAAGGCATGACAAAATGTCACCACTTGGTACCACAAGTTATGTTGAAGTAAGCACTCCTCTCAAAGCTATTCATTGCAAGTTGTAAAAATTTGTTACAGATGCCAATCACCAACCACAAAGAAACTTGGAGACTGCAACAATATGTCACCTGAGTAATAAGCATGTCATCTAAGTTGGTAACATAACGATAATATGGCCATTTTCAAAAAAACTAAAATTGAAGTTACCCTTGACTGCTAGTAGAATAGGTCCTTTCTTTTTGTCTTTGGTGTAGAATCCCAATCCACCTTTTCCACTCAACTCTTCTGGCTCAAACAACCCATCCAGAAGTGCCCTACAGATCTTACCTGGATCTGCAGGACACTCTTGTCTGGATTGCTTTTTCGTCTTTGATTGTATCAGAATTTGTGCAAGCCAAGCTTTAGGAACTGCTACATCCATATGTTGAACTAGTCTCATCCATTCTGGTTTTGGCAATTCATCTTTTGAGAGCTAAACAAAAAGTCATTTTAATTATTAAGTACCCGATAAAATGAATCCCAAGGTGTATGACATGTATTATATATGGCAAATTAGCTCAAATCTACCGACATAAACATTGAGTCAGTAAAGCACGTGACTTTCTCATTGGTACAAGGCGGTGATAAAAGAAATCAAAATAAGTAAAAGCGACCGACTTGGGCAAGGCTAGGGATGTCGCCAAATTCTGCTAATGGGACGGAGCAGATCAAATTATTAGACAAATTTCCTGCAAAAGCACAATGAAATTAGAATCGCATGTGCTGGTTTGATGTTATCCTCTAACAAGCAGCTTTTCATTTAAAAAAACATTTGTGTGAAAATATTGAAATATGCTCCGTCCCATTAGCAGAATTTGGAGTTGGCATCCCATGGTGATGATGATGGACGACACTTTCTCATGAATCTGCATGTGAATTATCAAAACCTACCATTACTGGATGGCACAGTGGAAGTGGACTCCTCGTCTTCGGTCTATATCTCCTCTCCCTTAATGTGTTCTCTCTTTCCGAAACCTCTATGAAACACAATAACAAGAAAATGTTATCATTTTCATAAATAATATAGCTTTTACATTTTATTTATCATGTACTTCTTGATAACCATTTAAATCATGTTTGAATAATTGCATGACAATTTCAACAGCAATTCAACAGTACTCAATATTTAAAGTTACTTTGGCTAAAAAATGAGATACATATATTCTTTTAAATAAAAATATCTTGAAATGAGGAGGGTTACTTTCTTTAACCTAATAACAAAAATGTGAGAAGGGAAGATCAAAATATTACAGTCTACTAGTATATACCATGTTTCTCACTGCCTGAATTAAAAAAAAACAGAACTGAATTTCAGATTTTCAAGGTTGAGAAGTATGGTATTACTTATGGTAGCTATGAATAAGATAAGAATTCTTGGTTACCTTCACTTGAACTGCCTGTTTGCTTTTGGCTTTGTCTTAGTATCTGATTCTCTCTGTCAAGAGAACTTATTCGGGCAAGTAAGCTCTGAACTGAAATAACATTGATTTTGAAATGCTAAGCAAATATAATGCTAATATAATCTCGAAATAAGAGACACACTTGAACGGATATATTGCTAGTCTATTTAAATGTCACCAACTCTGTAAAAAGCATGCAGAGAATGCATTCAAGAAAAGTATAGAGGGAAAAAACAAAGAGCAACCTAATAATAAAAAAAGCCAAAGCAGAGAAGTAGTACCAGGCCGTCCAACTGTCCCGCAATTTGCGTATTTGTCATGCATTTGCTGGAAAATATGAAGTCACGCCATTTTTTTGGGTGACAGAATATGTCACGAAAATACGCATTTTACCTGATTATTGTCCAGCCAAAATATTACTGTAGAAAAACTTCCAAAAAATGATCGCCGATACAGCACAAAACCGAACGCCGAAAAAAATGAACGCATTTCAAAACCGTATATGTCATGCATTTTCCTTGAAATTTTCCCTACATACCCCCCCCCCCCCCCCGTTGACTGAACGTGAGCGAAGCGAGAGCAAAGCGAGAGCGGAAATTTTGAGGTGTCTTAAGTTTGGTCATTTGCAATAAAATTTGAACCAAGATGCACAAAATGTGGCCAAGGTGTTCAGATTTGGACCAAGGTGTCCAAAATTTGAACAAAAAGATTCAACATTTGTAGGTCACTCATGTTAGGTGTCCCAAGTTGACAGGCATGTAGTACTGTTGAAACAGGTGATATACAAGATGCAAATAACAGTTATGGTTTTAAAGGACCATCATTCTTGATGTTTTGTTCACCATTTGACATAGTTCGTGGAACATCAATTGACTATATGCTTCAAGTACTCATGAACATCACCAGAAACTTTCTTAAACTTTGGTACACATCTGCCCATTCCTCAGAAGAGTACTCCCTCTATTCTTTGGCTAGTGTGGTCAGTGACCGTATTGAAAAAATCAAGCCTCCTAGCACAATCAGTCGAATGATTATTGTCCAGCCAAAATATTACTGTAGAAAAACTTCCAAAAATGATCGCCGATACAGCACAAAACCGAACGCCGAAAAAAACGAACGCATTTCAAAACCGTATATGTCATGCATTTTCCTTGAGATTTTCCCTACATACCCCCATCATTTAGGAGTGCTTGTGGAATTATTGTTGGTACAAGGCCTGGGGCTGGTAATTATATTAATTTCCACCAGAGGTTTGCTAATATGCCCATCTGGAAATTAATTTTGCATGGATATTTATTTGAAAATGTTTTCTCCAGTGTGCAATTTCTCACCAATATGTAACTTCTCGCCAGTGTCCAATTCCTCTCCAGTGTGTTATTTCTCTCCATTGTGAAATTTTCTCCCTGGTGTTTCATTCCCCATGAGTATATAACTTTTCATCAGTGTTTAATTTTGTGTGTAATTTACATCCAGTGTGTAACTCCTCACCGGTATATAAAGTATATACATTTTCTCCAGTGTGTATTTCCTCTCTAGGTTTTAATTCCTCTCTAGTGTGATATTTCCAATAAACATGATACATGTTAAGGATCATTTATTCATTCAATCAAATCACAATTAAACCAGACTTAACAGAAGATATTTTGTAGTTAAAATTAGAAATGAATTTATTTTTAAAAAAATTGACTGAGATGCTCACATTATATATAATAAGAGTACAGTTTTATGACATATGTTATTACAATTAATTAGAATAAAAGAAATTTATAATATAGAACCTATCAAAATAAATAATATTGTTCTACCGAAAAGGAATTTCACTTTTTAAATTTTATAACATGGGGACTATGGGGAATCCCCCCCCCACAACCTTCACAGTCACATTTCCAAAGAAAATTAAATTTTTCAAAGTTGATTTATGAAGCCACATTTCAATATATATAACTAACTATATATATATAACTTTCTTTTGGCTCAATTGAACTTTCTTCATATATCAATATCATATTTTTTAGGCATATGACCTTTTTAAATCATTTCATATTTGTGTGAAACATTGGATACATATTTCATACTTCACATTTTTTCTCCTGTGCGGACAGGCCTTTGATTTACACCATCTTTCTTATAATAATACATCTGTTGACACATATCACAACAATGATTTTTGGACAGGGTATCATTTAAAATTTCTGTTAGCTCATTTGAACTTTCATTGTTCTATTTAAGCTTTCAACTAGACAACAGCAACGACAAAGCGTAGCAAATCCCATTGAACAGCCATGGCTGGCATTTTTACAAATAAAGTATATAGTAAAAATGGCAGCCATTTTTCAAAATGACCACCTACCACAAGTGTCATTAAACAGTCTGCCATGCTTGTAGTATTCACATACCAAATATGAACAGAATCGCTCCACTACTTTTTGAGATATAGTAAAAGAGGATAAAATGGTGGCCATTGTAAAAAATGGTCGCCTTCTGTCAAAAGTGTTATGAGACAGTGTGCCATGATTATAGTATTCACATACCAAGTATGAACAAAATCGCTCCATTTTTTCCAGTTATAGTAAAATATGTTAAAATGGTGGCCATTTTGAAAAATGGCCACCTTCTACCAAAAGTGTCATTAGACAGTGTGCCATGCTTATAGTATTCAAATACCAAATATGAACAAAATTGCTACACTACTTTTCGAGTTATAGAAAAATACATTAAATGGCAGCCATTTTTCAAAATGGCCACCTTCTACAAAGGTATCATTAGAAAGTGTGCCATGCTTATAGTATTCACATACAAATTATGGACAATTATTTACATTTAAAACATATACAGGGTGGTCCAAAAAAAGTGAACCCCTGCAACGGCCCATATTTCCCTTATTACTGGCAGGAATTCTTTTTTATTTTCACATGTTGTAGAGAAAGGTCTAAAATTTATGTTGGTACCATACATTTTTTTAGTCTTGAAATTAGCGGAAATTATAAGCCCTAACCAAATATTACTGAAAATGGACAAAATGTGATTTTCAATATCCGTGATTCTTCAACCCTTCAACACCTTTCCCCTGAGTATTTTTTAAGCTGCAGTCTTAAAGTACTAATATTTTCTGACTTTGTTCAATTTTAAATGCTGCACATTATGGCTAAAAACTAGCATCCTACCTTTGTTAGTTGCAAAGTTATTGTGATCCAAAGAAATGTGCTTAGCTTCCACAGACGAAAACATTTTCCAGTGAAATCATGAACATACCCCTATATGATCTTGAAATGTCAATATCTTCATAAATCATGGACCAATTCTAATGAAATATGGCTCAAAACATTGAATATTGGATTTTCTTTTGATTTTTTAAAGATATTTGATGAAGGGCTTATCAGATTCCTGGTCACAGGGGGCAACTTCCTTCCATAAGAGGCCCCCTCTAACTGTTGGTGTAGGTAACATACCCCTGAACTGTTGATCAGTAAAAATGCTTCAAAACGATCAATGAAAGTGTGAAATGTGTTTTCTGCTTAATAGTGTCCCTCTTGTCATATGGTAGGGTTTTAAACTTGTATATCTCTAACTGAAAGCTGTTTAAGATCATCCAATGTGTTTCAACAATTTCCGTGAATCACATTTGTAAAATTTTGTACAATATCTAATTTTCAGGCATGTTTGTTAAACTCTTGTAATTTCTTGAATATTTAAGACTGAGAATAGATTATGGCATCAACTAAAATTTTAGACCTTTCTCTACAACATGTCATAATATGAGCCAATTCATGCATGTATTTAGAAAAGTATAGGCTGTTGCAGGGGTTCACTTTTTTTTGGACCACCCTGTAGCTATTACAGTTTTACATATTGTCCCTAAATAACTGTAAAAACGGCACTCAAATGGCTGCCATTTTTGAATGAGCGGCCATTTTGAAAATCGGCTTTAAAGCAGAACTTCTACCCACATAGGGTACAGTTTATGTTTACAAAATATGAACAAAATCGGGCCAACCGTATTTTAGTTATTGCCCGGACGGACATCTTGTAATATATAGATACACTGTCCCACATGTTTTGTTAAAGAGCAACTGAAGCATACAATCTTTCCACAAAGATAACAGACGGATGCATTCCCTATATCCCTTCCAAACTTGGTTCGATACCAAAATTTCTTTGCACTTTTTGTCGCCTTACTTGAATCTCTTTATATTTTTTGAATCTTTTAGTTGGCTAATTTGAACCTCCCCTTGGCTCTTTTAAACTGTCAATTGCATAATCAAAACTTTCAATTGACTCTGTTGAACTTTATATTTGCTCATTTGGACTTTCTGTTCCCTTAATTGATCTTCATTTATGTATTGTTTTTCAGGCTTAAATCTTATTGTATCATCCAATGTTTTTCTCATATACCATCGAAGGATACATTTTTGTGAGAAACACATCTCATATATTTCACCTGTGTGGAATCACATATGATATACAATTCACTTTTATTGTTTGTCATATATCACAATAATGCATTTTGAATTTGGTATGTTACTTGGTCTTCTCTCTAAGCTCAGCTCCTTGTTCTTTTGGAATTGATGGACTAGGCTTAAACCCATCCTGAATGACCTTATGTTTATTCCACATATGTTTTCGGAAGGAATTTGTTCTTGTAAAGCTTCTTTTACATAGCTCACAGAAAGGAGGTTGTATTCTCTTAGGTTTATAATCTTCTTGTATAATCTTATGTGTTTTTCTCATATGCAATCGAAGGGTGCATTTTTGTGAGAAACACTGCGCACATGTGTGACACTTAAAAGGTTTTTCTCCGGTATGGATTCGCATATGATTTACAATATCATGCTTATTGTAAAACATCTTTTGACATATATCACAACAATGATATTTGGGTCTGGTGTTAATAGATTTCTTGGTCTTCTCAATAATGTCAGCTCTATGTTCTCCAGTGTGTATTTTCTCTCCAGTGCTTAACTTCTTGCCAGTACATAATTTCACTCCAGTGTACAATTTCTCTTTAAAGTGTAACTTCTCCTCAGTGTATAAGTTCTCCCCAGTGTGTAATTTCTCCCCAGTGTGTAATTTCTCCCCAGTGTGTAATTTCTCTCCAGTGTGGAATTTCTCTCCAGTGTGGAATTTCTCCTCAGTTCTAAATCTCTCCTTGGCATGTACTCTCAAGCTGTGATCAGCGAAATTATTTGCAGTTAAAAACACGTCTCCACAAATCAAACAGTTGATCAAGCCATTGTAGACATCACCTGAAAATATCAGAATATTTTTATAAAAATATGAGTTCGTGTATGTAAGCTAAAAACCTCTTCAAAATATCTACTGTAGGTTTCATGTATATGAGTTAGAATGATACAGCAAACATCAACCAGGCATTAACATACAAAATGTAACCACCTGAAAACTTTTTTCAGATGACGAACTCTGAATGCCAAAAACCAACCACCGCAACAAAAAAGTTGGGAGACTATAACAATATGGGACGACTTGTTGTGGTGATATAATAAACTTTTATATTAACAATATCCTTGATTATATAGCCTATATTATCAGCATAAGAAGTTCTCATTAATTTAAGGAAAAGTAAATGGGAATGGTTCTGTCGAATTCAATTATACTTAAATGTACAGGTGCCGAGAGAGGCCTAAAAATGTATTTTAAAATATAAAGGTGAGACATCTACAAACTACTTGGAGTACTAGGTATCAACAATAAGGGACTTCCTAGGGGGGTACATGGGCCAACCAGGGAGTTTCCTTTCAATTGTAAAATGGGTTGTAAACCATAGATCTATTTTTTAAATGTTAGGTTTATATTGTATTCTATATAATCTCTATCACTGTTAAACTGTATATCTGCTTTAAATGGGCTTGTTGCTAAACACATAATCACAATCAGGTATAGTTCAATATAATCACAATCAACAGGTTTAATTGCTTTGTTATCTTTATTAAAATGTTACACTGTTGTTTACAATATGAAAACATTTTTAACTTTATATATATTACAAGTGATCTAAATCTAATATTATACTATATAGGTGACAAGTCTGTATATTTCCTTGGAGGAAATGTATCAATAATATAGTAAAATAATACATGCTTCTTTACAGTTATGATTTTAATATAATTGTTTTTAACTCTGTTCCCATTGCAGTGAAAAATGGGTATACATAGATATTGAATATACCATGTATCATTAGAACTTTTTATTAACCTTATTTGAATTTCTGTTGGCTTGTTTGAACTTTCTATTGACTTCTTTGAACTTTTTGTTAACTTAAAGAACTTTCTGTTGATGTTATTTGAACTTCCCATTGACAAATTAGAACTTTTTGTTACCTAATATTTGAACCTTCTGTTAACTTTTTAGTATATAAGCTTCAGGTTCACAACTTAAACTTACTGTTGGCTCATTTAAGCTCTGTAGACCATGGGCTTTAACCAGAAAGCCCATGTGTAGACTGACTTGAACTCTCAGTTGCTTTATTTGAACTCTCTGTCAGCTCATTTGAATTTTCTCTTGGATCATTTGAACTTTGAATTATTTATTAGCTGCATTACCTTTCAGTTGCCTCATTTGAACTTTCTTTGTGCATCAATTTGTTTTTCTTTGGATTATAACCTTCTTGTATCATCTTATGCTTGGATCAATTTAATGTTGGATTGCCTCGTTTGAACTTTCTGTTGGCTTATTGGGACTTTCAATTTTCTTATTTGAACTTTCTGATGACTTATTTGAACTTTCTTTTGCCTCACTTGAACTTTCTGTTACCTTATGTGAACTTCCTGTTGCCTTTGTTGAACTTTCTATTGCCTCATTTGAACTTTCTGTTACCTTATGTGAACTTCCTGTTGCCTTTGTTGAACTTTCTTTTGCCTCACTTGAACTCTCTGTTACCTTATGTGAACTTCCTGTTGCCTTTGTTGAACTTTCTATTGCCTCATTTGAACTTTCTGTTACCTTATGTGAACTTCCTGTTGCCTTTGTTGAACTTTCTTTTGCCTCACTTGAACTTTCTGTTACCTTATGTGAACTTCCTGTTGCCTTTGTTGAACTTTCTATTGCCTCATTTGAACTTTCTGTTACCTTATGTGAACTTCCTGTTGCCTTTGTTGAACTTTCTTTTGCCTCACTTGAACTCTCTGTTACCTTATGTGAACTTCCTGTTGCCTTTGTTGAACTTTCTTTTGCCTCACTTGAACTTTCTGTTACCTTATGTGAACTTCCTGTTGCCTTTGTTGAACTTTCTTTTGCCTCACTTGAACTTTCTGTTACCTTATGTGAACTTCCTGTTGCCTTTGTTGAACTTTCTATTGCCTCATTTGATCTTTCTGGTGAATCATTTGAACTTTTTGTTGCCTTGGGTAAACTTTCTATTGGCTCATTTGAACTTTCTCCATGTATCAGATTTTTTAGGCTCACTCGAGGCTTATAACCTTTTTGTATCATATTATGTGTTCTTCTCATATGTAATCGAAGGTTACTTTCCTGTGAGAAACGCCGTGCGCATATTTCACACATAAATGGTTTTTCCCCGGTATGGATTCGCATATGATTTACAACATCTTTCTTCCGGTAAAACATCTTTTGACAGATATCACAACAATGATTTTTGGGTTTGGTAGGCTTCTTACTCTTCTCCTTTTTACTAAAGAAGTGTTTCCTTCTAGGTTTATAGTCTTCTTGTATCATATTATGTGTCCTCCTCATATGACATCGAACTGCACTTTTTTGTGAAAAACACATCTTACATAACTCACACTTAAAAGGTTTTTCACCAGTGTGGGTTCGCATATGATTTATAACATCTTTCTTCTGGTAAAACATATTTTGACAGATATCACAACAATGATTTTTGGGTTTGGTAGGCTTCTTACTCTTCTTACTCTTCTCCTTTTTACTAAAGAAGTGTTTCCTTCTAGGTTTATAGTCTTCTTGTATCACCTTATGTGTATTCCTCATATGCCATCGAACGGTACCTTTTTGTGAGAAACACATCTCACATAATTCACATTTAAAAGGTTTTTCGCCTGTATGGATTCGCTTATGATTTTCAACACCTTTCTTTTCATGAAACATCTTCTGACATATATCACAACTATGCTTTTTTGGTTTGGTAGGATTGGTAGGATTCTTACTCTTCTCCTTTTTACTAATGAAGTATTTCCTTCTAGGTTTATAGTCTTCTTGTATCATATTATGTGTCCTCCTCATATGCCATCGAACTGTACATTTTTGTGAAAAACACATCTTACATATCTCACACTTAAAAGGTTTTTCACCAGTGTGGGTTCGCATATGATTTATAACAGCAATCTTACAATGAAACACTTTCTGACATATATCACAGCTATGCTTTTTGGAGTAGGTTTCATTTGAATTTTCTAATGGCTCATTTGAACATTCAATTGTCCTATTCAGTCTTTCTGTTGCCTTATTTGAACTTTCCATTGGTTTGTTTGAACCTTCTGTTGCCTTATTTGAACTTTCCATTGGTTTGTTAGAACCTTCTGTTGCCTTATTTGAACTTTCCATTAGTTTGTTAGAACCTTCTGTTGCCTTATTTGAACTTTCCATTGGTTTGTTAGAACCTTCTGTTGCCTTATTTGAACTTTCCATTGGTTTGTTTGAACCTTCTGTTGCCTTATTTGAGCTTTCCATTGGTTTGTTTGAACCTTCTGTTGCCTTATTTGAACTTTCCATTGGTTTGTTAGAACCTTCTGTTGCCTTATTTGAACTTTCCATTGGTTTGTTAGAACCTTCTGTTGCCTTATTTGAACTTTCCATTGGTTTGTTTGAACCTTCTGTTGCCTTATTTGAACTTTCCATTGGTTTGTTTGAACCTTCTGTTGCCTTATTTGAACTTTCCATTGGTTTGTTTGAACCTTCTGTTGCCTTATTTGAACTTTCCATTGGTTTGTTAGAACCTTCTGTTGCCTTATTTGAACTTTTCATTGGTTTGTTAGAACCTTCTGTTGCCTTATTTGAACTTTCCACTGGTTTGTTTGAACTTTCTGTTGCCTCATCTGAAATCTCTATTGGCTCATTTGATTTTTCTGTTGCCTTTTGGAAACTTTCTGTTGCCTCATTTGAACATTCTTCATGTATTGAGCTGTTTTTCTTAGGTTTATAATCTTCTTGTATCACCTTATGTGTATTCTTCGTATGCCATCGAACGGTACATTTTCGTGAGAAACTCATCTCACATAATTCACATTTAAAAGGTTTTTCGCCTGTATGGATTCGCATATGATTTATAACATCTTTCTTTTCATAAAACATCTTCTGACATATATCACAACAATGCTTTTTGGATTTGGTAGATTTCTTGGTCTTCTCTTTAACCTCAGCTGTGTGTTCTTTTTGAATTAGTGGACTAGGATTTAAGCCATCTTGAATATCTTTATGTTTACTCTCTTCAACAACCGCTCCACGTTTTTTTGGAATCAATATTTTATGTTTCTTCAACATATGATTCCGGAATGATTGTAAATGTGTAAAGCTTCTTTTACATTGCTCACAGAAAGGGAGTTGTATTCTCTTAGGTTTATAATCTTCTTGTATCACCTTATGTGTATTCCTCGTATGCCATCGAACAGTACTTTTTTGTGAGAAACTCATCTCACATAATTCACATTTAAAAGGTTTTTCGCCTGTATGGATTCGCATATGATTTATAACATCTTTCTTTTCATAAAACATCTTCTGACATATATCACAACAATGCTTTTTGGATTTGGTAGATTTCTTGGTCTTCTCTTTAACCTCAGCTGTGTGTTCTTTTTGAATTAGGATTTGACTAGGATTTAAGCCATCTTGAATATCTTTATGTTTACTCTCTTCAACAACCGCTCCACGTTTTTTTGGAATCAAAATTTTATGTTTCTTCAACATATGATTCCGGAATGATTGTAAATGTGTAAAGCTCCTTTTACATAGCTCACAGAAAGGAGGTTGTATTCTCTTAGGTTTATAATCTTCTTGTATCACCTTATGTGTATTCCTCGTATGCCATCGAACAGTACTTTTTTGTGAGAAACTCATCTCACATAATTCACATTTAAAAGGTTTTTCGCCTGTATGGATTCGCATATGATTTATAACATCTTTCTTTTCATAAAACATCTTCTGACATATATCACAACAATGCTTTTTGGATTTGGTAGATTTCTTGGTCTTCTCTTTAACCTCAGCTGTGTGTTCTTTTTGAATTAGTGGACTAGGATTTAAGCCATCTTGAATATCTTTATGTTTACTCTCTTCAACAACCGCTCCACGTTTTTTTGGAATCAAAATTTTATGTTTCTTCAACATATGATTCCGGAATGATTGTAAATGTGTAAAGCTCCTTTTACATAGCTCACAGAAAGGAGGTTGTATTCTCTTAGGTTTATAATCTTCTTGTATCATATTATGTTTTCTCCTCATATGCAATCGAAGGGTACATTTTTGTGAGAAACACATCTCACATATTTCACACTTAAAAGGTTTTTCGCCTGTATGAATTCGCATATGATTTATAACATCTTTTTTATCGTAAAACATCTTTTGACATATATCACAACAATGATTTTTGGGTCTTGTATTAATGCTTTTCTTGGTTTTCTCTTCATTAACTTCAACTTTATCTTCTTCTTGGATTAATGAATTAGGCTTTAAATCATCTTGAACAACCTTAAATTGTGTGTCACTATTATTAACTTGTGTGTCACTATCATTAACTTGTGTGTCACTATCATCAAATTGTGTTCCACTCTCAAAACTTGTTCCATGTGTCAATTTCATATGACGCTGAAGGTTGCTCAATTCAGCCCAATAGCTTTCCACACAAATGCTACACTTATATGGTTTTGAAATAATTCGTTCACTTCTATCAACAGTTTCACTAGTACTACTAATTAAAGTGTCTCCATTGTGCAATTTCCCACCAGTATATAATTTTTCTCCAGTGTGTAATTTCTCTCCAGTGTGCAATTCCTCACCAGTATATAACTTTTCTCCAGTGTGAAATTTCTCTTCAGTGTGCAATTCCTGACCAGTATATGAATTTTCTCCAGCGTGTAATTCCTCACCAGTGTGTAATTTCTCAACAGAATATAGCTTCTCCCCAGTGTGTAATACATCTCCAGTGGGTAATTTCTCTTGAAAGTGTAATTTCTCTCCAGTGTGTAATTCCTCACCATTGTATAATTTCTGCCAAGTCTGTAATTTCCCTTCAGCGTGTATGTCCTCTCCATTTCCAATGTTACATTTCTCCTCAGTGTTTAATCCCTCTTTGGCATGCGCTTTCAAGCAGTGCTCAGCAAAGGTGTTTGCAGTTGAAAACCTGTCTCCGCAAATCAAACAGTTGAAAAGTGCCCCGTGGACATCACCTGGAAATACCAGAATAATTTATATGAAAATATAAATATGCATAAAGTGACGCTAAAACCTATTCAAAATAACTGGGTGCTATAGATACAACAGACGTCAATAGATTCATAAATAAACAATAATTAAAGTTGATCTATACAATACACTAGACTCTAGAGGGGCAAAATAATCAGTTTCAGAAGTTGTCACAAAAATTGCTCTTTGACAAGTTTTATTCAATGTATGCATATTGTGCACTAAAATGTCTTTCTTGGGTTTTGAATCAAAATAAATAGAAATGATGATAATTCAAAAAATATATCTGCACTATCATAGAAAGTTAGGATTCATAGTTTGTGTACTTGTGCTTTTAAATTTCCAATAAAGGAGTATTCAATCACAGTTAATATAGACTTAACAGAAGATTGTATTACTAAGAATATGATATATTCCAAAACATATAAGGCCATAAGAAGTAGATTCTTTGTTTTGCGTCCCCTTGCTTGCACGATTTGGAGTAAATCAGCAAAAACAAACACATCCAAATAGCAATCACAAGGGTCTGAAAGTACCATCACATTTCGTTCAATCAGAATCAGACGAAATGGCGGATAATTTGATGTGCGTCAAAATTGACAGTGTTATAATTACTTAGGCATACATTGTGTATTTTCTTATTTCTACCCTTGAGTAATAGCTATGTTTAAATATATTGTATAAAATGGATAGATATGCGTTTGTAATCACTGCAAATTGGCATGTCATCCCTTTTTATGCCCATAAAATGTGTACATTTCTCAGCAAAGAAGTTGGTGTTTTTTCTTGAGTTTGTGTTTGTTTTCCTTGTACCCTTGCATGATTTGAATTTTGCCAGGACGCAAAACAAAGAATCTACTTCTTATGGCCTAATTGGCAAACATGCATCTGCCTTCAATACACTACATACAAAATTACAGGGTTACATAGGGAACTTGACATTTTATTCCAATTTAAAATCCAAAGTAAAACTAAAACACAAGAAAGAAATACACAATAAAACCTGTCTTTGTACCTGTTTTGCCTCTCTCTAGTGAACACCTGTGTTTAGTGAACACCACAAGACACATTTTACAATGACTCTGTAGGGAACACCTATATACAGTGACCAATTTTCACTCCATAAGTGTTCACTATATACAGGTTTTACTGTATGTTATATTATATTATGTTATAGAGTAAAAACAATAAGTCAACAGGAACTAACAGAACTTTAAAATGTAACTAAACATAGTAGCAGTTTCATATTTCAACTTATATGCAAATATTGCTACATGTCTTACACACCTACAATCTGCATGTTATCAGGTGTTTTTTCATAGATACCTTATATGCAAATATAGCTACATTGTCTTAAACAGCTACAAAACAATCTGCATGTTATTTGGTGTCTTTTCATAGATACCTTATACTGTTATATGCAAATATAGCTACATTGTCTTAAACAGCTACAAAACAATCTGCATGTTATCTGGTGTCTTTTCATAGATACCTTATATGCAAATATAGCTACATTGTCTTAAACAGCTACAAAACAATCTGCATGTTATCTGGTGTCTTTTCATAGATCCCTTATATTCAAATATTGCTACATGTCTTAAACAGCTACAATCTGCATGTTATCTGGTGTCTTTTCATAGATCCCTTATATGCAAATATTGCTACATGTCTTAACCAGCTACAATCTGCATGTTATCTGGTGTCTTTTCATAGATCCCTTATATTCAAATATTGCTACATGTCTTAAACAGCTACAATCTGCATGTTATCTGGTGTCTTTTCATAGATCCCTTATATGCAAATATTGATACATGTCTTAACCAGCTACAATCTACATGTTATCTGGTGTCTTTTCATAGATCCCTTATATGCAAATATTGCTACATGTCTTAACCAGCTACAATCACTCCCCCCAGTTTTCTGCAAGTTAAAATGCTCAATTCTGCAAGTGAAATTAGTGAATTCTGCAAGAAGAAAGGGCTAATTCTGCAGAAATTCCGCGGATATTAATGGTTTTCGAACCAGTAAACGGGAAAATATCGTGATAGTCAGGTAGTCGGTCATTACATACATGCTGCCATCTAACGGCAGAAATCAAACGATGGCGTTTAGAATTTTCACTTCGCATAATTTGGGTTATTTCTGCAAGGGATTTGACTGAAAACGTGTCAAATTGTTACAGGTAAGACTGACTTTTTAAACTTTTGGAAAATATATGGATTCTGCGGAAAATTCCGCGGAAATTGACCAAAATAGTTGATTCTGCAATTCCGCGGGCAGAGGCAAATTCCGTCCGCGCTCTGCAAACACGGAATCCTGGGGGCAGTGTACAATCTGCATGTTATCTGGTGTCTTTTCATAGATCCCTTATATGCCAATATTGCTACATGTCTTAACCAGCTACAATCTACATGTTATCTGGTGTCTTTTCATAGATCCCTTATATGCAAATATTGCATGGCATAAAGGGCAGGAATACTTAATTTTGCAATGGGCGGCTTGTTTATGCCTTTTAAGATTGGATTTCAACATGGTTTTGTTGCACACATTACACACTCCACGATAGTCATCTTCATACTCAGCAGGGGTATGTTTCACGGAAATGTGCTCCTTCAGTTGTCTCTTCTGAGAATATGATTTCTCGCAACTTTCACATTTGAATGCCTTTTCCTGCAATAAATGCATAAATGTTGTAAAATACTACATGTATACAAGTTAAACTTATCATTATTGCATCTTTGATGAGTATACTAAAATACCAGAATATTGCACAACACTTCAGTGGATCCTCAGACATTCTGATTCTTGGGAAATTGGAATATTCGATGTACAGAAGCGTTTGGTTCATTTTTCATAAACAGACTAACATTATTTGAGATATCCAGGTTTATCAAAGGGTTGAATTATTGAGACCAAGGAATCAATGTTAAATTGCAAAATACTTCATGAATATGATTGATGGTTTGAAAATCATTACTTTTATTGTTTTTATTTCAATAAATCATACCTCAACATGGGATAGTACATGCGCCCTATATTGCACAACACTTTGGTATCCCTTGCCGCAATGAGTGCATGTGTACTTTGGAACACCATGCTTCAACCTTGTATGATCATAAAGGCCAGACGCCCCTTTAAATTTGAGGCCGCAATGACTGCACACTGGAATTTCCAATAAAGGATTATTTATTCGATACAGGTAAATCAAATCACAATTACACGCTCGGTGATCGTACAAAAATGATGGAGGGGGGATTAGGCAATTTCTGCAAGAAAACTCAACAAATTTGGAAGATTTATTTTTTCAAGAGAAAATTTACAAGTGAATTGCCAAATGAATAGGCGCAGTGCATGGAAAAATATGTAAGGTCATCTAGTATTTTTTCTGAACCGATACCCTTCTAAGATATGAGATCTATTAAAAAAGGCGCATCATCACCAATGTGCAAAAGTCAATGTTTTTGCTATTAATCGGGCAACAATGGTCTACACGACCTGTAATAAATATCTTAGAAGGGTATATCGGTTCAAAAAAAATACTAGATGACCTAACACATTTTGCCATGCACTGCGCCTATTCATTTGACAATTCAGTTGTAAATTTTCTTTTGAAAAAATAAATCTTCCAAATTTGTTGAGTTTTCTTGCAGAAATCGCCTATTCCCCCTCCATCATTTTTGTACGATCACCGTGCGTGAATAAAACGTCCACAGATTTGGACCTGGACAAAGCTATTTATCAAGCTGTCACAGCTCAGCCGATCAGTTTCAATGTTAAATGGCTAAAAAATATAAATTTCAGTTATGCTACTGATCATATTTACAAAAAGAAATTGTCTTAAATCACAAAAACTAAACAATGTTTTCAGAATTTGATTTAGAATTTATAGTCATCATAGATTCATGAATCACTATAGTAACAAGGCACATGATTTATTGGAAAACCTTCAAAATAGCCGATATACTGATGGTGTGATAAAAATAGCTTGCAATTCATTATAACAATCTTGCATGGCAGATTACTTGAAATTTTTCTCAGTCTTTAGAATTGATTACAGAACATATGTATTATCAAGAACAGAATTTATTTCAAAACATACAACTGACATGCATGCAATTTACTTCAATACATTACATAAAAAAGTACAGGGTGACAAAAAGAAATTCACATTTTATTCCAATTTAAGAATCCAATTTAAAGTAAGAAAACAAAATACAATTAAACCTGTCTTAGTGAACACCTCTCTCTAGTGAACATCTGGGTTCAGTGAACACCACTTCAAGACATATTTTACATTGACTCATGTATAAATCCACTCTCTTTAATGAACACCTCCTTACATTGAACACTTTTTGTGGCTACATAGGTTTTCACTAAATGCTAGGTGTTTTACTGTATGTTATACCAGGAAAATAAAATTACTCTTCAGTAGCTGACAGAACTTTAAAATGTAACTGAACAAAGAAACTATATGAACACCTCTCTAATGCAAACATCTCTCAACTTGAACACTTTTCTCGATCAAAAATATATCGCACATGTTTATAATAAAACCTTGATAGCTGATCCTCTGCCAATCTGAACACAAGACATTCAGATAAGGCACGTTTTAACTGTGTTCGATTTTTCTGTATCTTGTATCTATAATTTCATAAAAGCTTTAAAATGATAGATAAACCGAGACATCGTATTATTTGATGGTAAATAAATCAAATTGCCTTAGGCAGAAGTTCAGTTGGAACAAGTAATAAACTAAAGTAGAACCTGTATGATCTAAACACCACTGATACCTGCCAAAGTGTTTGCATTAGCATCTGTTCATATTTGAGGTGTTCATATTTGAGGTGTTCAGATATACAAGTTTCACTGTAATGTAAAATAGCACACAAGTTTCTATACTTATGTAACATCATGTTTATTATGTAACATTGTTATCATAATGTAACATTGTTATCATTATGTTAAATCATATTATCATTATGTCACATTGTTATCATAATGTAACATTGTTATCATTATGTTACATTGTAATTTGGTAAGAGATGACCCAATTTGAGTTATTGTTCTGAGGAAATGTTCAGGCTTTGCATTTTTCTCTGTTTTGACAACGTTGTTCTTAATTTTTTTGCGTGTAACTGTGTCACAGTTTTTGATCAATGGAAACAGTCTCCAACTTGGGTGATAATGTTAAGGTTGACACTTTGTCTTCGATTTTCTTTTGATCTGAATGATATTTCCGCTTATGATTTGTCATTCCACTCTTTTGAGTAAAAGTTGAACTACAAACATCACATGTGAATGGTCTCTCTCCAGTATGGACGACCATATGTTTAATAAGAACAGATTTACATTCAAACCCTTTACTGCAAATTGCACAGAATATATTTTTCACCTTTTTCCTTTTTCGGGGGGCTCTTGTCATCGGTCTGTAAGCTTTGCGTGGTCGAAAATCAAGTTGTTTTACTTTATGGATCCTTCTCATATGTGCTCTTACAGCACTTTTCTGTGCAAAAGTCATGTCGCAAACACTGCATTTGAATGGTTTTTCTCCAGTATGGATCCTTATATGGATTATAAGATTGGCTTTTGAATGAAACTTTTTACCACATATTTCACAGTCAACATTTTTCACTTTGATTTTCTTAGGTCTCTTCAATAGATCCTTAGATTTATTTTGTTCATTCATTTGTTGTTCATAAACATTTTGTTCATGGATTTGTAGTTTATTTCTTTGTTCTTTACAAGTTTGTCCTTCATTCATTTGTAGTACACTTATTTGTTCTTTATGAGCCTGTAGAGCATGATCTTGTTGTTCATTTATCTGTCCTTCGTGTGTTTGTTCTTGATGGTTTGGTTTTTGTTCAGACTTGACTCTTTCCCCAGTGTGGACAGGCAAGTGATTTGAAAGTTCCCTTTTCCCATGAAACATTTCATGACATTTCGGACATTCAACCCTCGGCTGTCTGCTGGTCACTCTAATCCCATTGTATTTGTGAGGGCGAAAATCAGATTGTTTTATCAAATGTACATTTCTTGCATGTGCTCGCATTGCACATTTTTGAATGAAGGTTTTTTCACAAATGTCACACTTAAAAGGTCTCTCGCCAGTGTGATTTCTTATATGGCCCTTCAAATGGTAATCCGACTCAAACATTTTGTGACATGTTTCACATTCAAATTTTTTCTCTCGAGGCTTTTTCTCCTTAAGCTTTGTTTTCATTTGTACATATCCAGTGTCAGTTAATCTCAACATGTACTTTGCAAGTTGTGTCCCATGTGTCAGTCTCATATGACGATCGAGGTTGCTTTTTTCAGACCAATAGCTTTCCTTACAAAGTCCACACTTATATGGTTTTGAACTGATTTCCTTATGGTGAGAATCTTCTCTTGTGTGAGGATGAACATTTTCCTCTCCGGTGGATGGTGTTTTCTCTCCAGTGTGGAGTCTCTCCCTAGTATGTACTCTCATACAATGTTCTGTGAAGATGTTTGCAGATTGGAACATGGCTCCACAAAGCAGGCAGGTAAAAATACTTTGATAGTCACCATCTGAAAAACAGTAAATGCTCGATATTAACTCGATGCTATTTTAGGCGGTTAAAAAGACCTCATATTACAAAGCTTATAATATGCCAGTGAATTAGAAATCATTCTGAAACTTGCAATCTGCACCCTGTTAAAAAATATTTTTTTAAGAAAGAGTCAATCAAACCACACTACTTGTTAAAAATCATCTCAAATCACACCATTTGCGAAACCTTTGTTTTCAATGTTTATTCGTAATTAGTTTCAATCCGTTCATACTTTTGAAAGATATCCAATCATATGAAAACCCTGTCAAAGGGTGACCAAAACAAGCTGAAAATAATGGATAGTATAATTATTTTGTTATGGAAACCTTCGGGTATTTTTCCAATTCATCAGGGATGAAAAACAAATTTGTCCTCTAAAAGATGAATGATGTCTAAAAACAATATATAGCAAAGTACCAAGCATTTAAAAATAAGTCTGTAGCGTACACATCCCTCTACTCTGAAGGCACATACATAGAACATACAAGTCATATCTTTGAATTGAAACAATTCTTTTTTATTGCAATTAATTAATGTGATGCAAATAAAATAAATCATGGAACACATAAGTACTCTTTTATTACTATAATAACATTAATGAATGCAATATAACACAATTACTTGCAATATAATCATGATTAAATACAATATAGCATGTGTCATCTTATAATTCATAATGTCACTGACTCTTAACTTATGGGTAAATGTACATCATTCCTTAACATCATTATGTATGTCTTTGAGCCACTTATAAATATGTTCACCTAGCTCTGCTGTTCTGCAAAATCACGTTTTCCCATTTCTTAATAGCACCTGATTTAAAATTCCACTGCAGCTGCCGTGATACATTTTAACACATGCCTTGGAACTTAGATATTACTTAGTATCTAAAACAACAATGGAAAAAAGATATATCCTGTATTGCCAGAATACTATACTATCGTGGCAGTGTAAACATAAGGATATTAGCTTATGGAATTAGCCATCATGGTCATTCATGTGACTTTTTTTCATGTGCCTTTTCAAAGAAAATTTATTTGAAAAATGTTTATGACACAACATACATTTGACTTTCAAGTTTTTGTGTATATGCATATGCTTCTTTAAATATCGTTGGCATGGAAACGACTTCTGGCATATGCTGCATTTTATTTCAATTCTCTCATCTCTGCTTTTACATATATGTTCATGATTGTATTTAGCCGATAACAGTCCAAACTCCCTGTCGCAGTATTCGCATTTGTGAATCAAATTAACATGATGAGTCGACATATGATTTTTTAGTTCAGCAGATGTAGCAAACCACATATTTCACATGAGAATCGTAATTCATTGTTATCACGATGGGCTCTCTGGGTATGTCTATGAAGACCGCTATGAGATTTAAACTCCTTAGAACACTGATCACATATGAGAGTATGGCTTCCATGTTTGTACCTTGCATGTTCAGCTAGGTTATACTTTGTACTGTATGTCTTATTACATGAATTGCACTTAAAATGAGAGGAATCGTCATGCGTTCTGTTATGGCGAGACAAATTGTATTTCAATTGTGTTTCATAGTTGCAAAAGCTGCATTTGTATTTCTTAGTATTTTCATATGATGTACTTGTTGCCGGTGTATCCTTTGTAGAAATATTGAGGTAAGGATTACGATTTATATTTTCATCATTTATTCAAGGGTCATCACCAATAGAAATGTTGGAACAGGATTTTGATGCTGAAAATACAAAGAATTGAATTTCAAAGAAAAAACCATGAGAATGCTCTAGAAATTAGACTAGAAATTAAAATTGAAAATCTTGGGCTATTAGGCTTTGGTGAGCTGGACCTTAAAGAAATCATAATTGTTTCACATTTTGTCACTTGAAATCAAATCAAAACATTGCTCCTCATGTTTGTTGACGCTGACACCATATAAAGAATACATGTAGCATAATGGGGCATCAAAACACTATGAGGTTTGTAGAATCACTAGATTTGTCAAAGCTGCTCATTAAGGTTGAAAGTGGTCTTCTTTAAGTAGTAATTCACTCATACCTAGGCAAGGTATGTCTGAATCCAGCCAATCCAAACACAGTATTTCATATAACTGCAGTGCAACTAATCACTGCATTCAAGGTCACTTGTAAAACAGCTGTCAAGGTGAAAACTTGACTTCAGGTTGCAATTGATACTTTGCCAACTTGACGCTTGCAAGAAGTTTAATTGAAAATACGTTCTTTTAGTGATTTTGTATCTTTATTAGGTGATTTTGTAGAAAATATTTTGCAATGTATAAAAAGAATTAAAGCCCAAGACTGTGGCTGCTTCATTTCACTCAGGCGTTGTTTTCTAAACTTTGCATTCCCGCTTTGCGGTCATGCAAAGATTTGGAAACAACACCTTCGATGGAATATTTCAGCACACAATGCACTGAGTCCAGGGCTTAAATCCTTGAATAATAACATCTATATACTTTAATAAAATTTTTAACAAAAACAATCTACTTACCGGATTTTCTCGCATATACGCCCCCCTAAATTTAGGCCCATGGGCCAAAAATCGAATGTAGTACGCTTATACGCCCATGGGCCTATAAAAAATGATTATTTATTGATTTTTTCAATAAATTCAAGAGTATTTTGTCACTGGCAGATAGTTCTGTCGTTACTTTGTTTCAACATTAAGTTCAACGCTGTGCCGTAAGTGGCAGTGGTGGATCGTTCTGTTGTTACTTTGTTTCAACATTAAGTCCAAGGTTGTAGGTGACATTTCCTTTATAATTCTTACAAAACATGCGGTAGGACTACAACAGTATGCACGGTAGTCTTTGAGGAACCATTGTATTCATCAGCTCTTCTCACCTTTACGCCCACTGGGCCAAAAATCGAAAGTAGTACACTTATACGCCCATGGGCGAAAAATAAGAGGTAAAATAACAGACGAAATTACCCCTTCTTTCAGTTATACGCCCAGGGCTTATATGCGAGAAAATCCGGTAGTCTATTTTTATTTTATATACAAGGTAACTATGTGTAATTCATAAAATTGTTCTAAATCCAAAACCTTAAAGCACTTAAGTTATCTCAGCACAAAAAATCACGAGTTGACATTTTTGCATTATCCATATTTCATATCCAAAACATCACGCTAATCAGAAAACTTCGCAATGTGAACGCTTTTTCTTGGTCCAAATAGGGTGAAAACCTTAAAATGTGCCAAACTGCTAATCCAACCACTTTTGGCTGGTCCTATAGACATGATAGATGTTTGGATTACACAGGTTTTAACTATACTGAATTGTATTTCTCCAGTACACAATCAGGTCAACTTCAATTAAGATGTCTCGGAAGTTCTCGAAAGGTTCAACTTTCCATGTTTCTTTCTTTCATGTAGCCGCCTACTACTATTCTGAGTAAAGCACTTATCACACATGTTACATTTGAACGGGCGTTCCCTTGTATGAACCCTTATATGGTCTTTAAGGTGGGCTTTGCTTTTGAATAATTTCAAGCAAAGATCACATCGATGCTTCCGGTTCGCAGAATCAAATCTTGAGCCGGAATCAAATCTAGAGCTGGGTTTCACAGAGAACATTCCTGAAAAAAGAAAAACATTAAATTATATTTCATTTTATCGTTTCTTTGTTAAACTGGTACCATTTGTGCTATATGTTGAATTATGGGATCAGCTTCGCCAATGGATGTTGCTCCTATAACAAAGACTGAGGCCCTACATCATTTAAGACTGACAGAGTACTATGTCTTGTTGTTTGAGTAACAGGGGTTTCATTAGCAGCAGGCAACAGGCGATTTTCAACAGTTGTATTCACAAAATCGCCTGTTGTTTTAGGGACTTTTCCATGTTAAGTTCATGATTTCCATTAATTTTGCCTGTTGTGAGAAATGCTAGTGAATAAGTCATAACTGTTTTTGATTTGAGAAGTTTCAGGTTTTATTATTCTTCAACATATAGCATTGATCTCCACAGGATTTTTTCTCAAGTGGGTGCAAAATTCTCATTTTCACAATTCAGACCAAAATTGGTCAAAATATGCCAATTTTCATGATTCTTTACATTTTCATTTTCAAGTTGGTGCAAATGAATTTTCAGGTGGGTGCAAGCCAATTTTCTAAATTTCAGGTGGGTGCTGTGCCCACTTGCTTTAATGCTGGGGAGATCACTGCATAGTATAATATTGTAAAACCAGTGTATATTGAACATTTTTTCCCAAAAGTAAACCATTCAATGTTGGTAGGTGTTCACTAAAGACAGGGTAATTTATACAGAATTCAGTAAAGTATTTATGCGGATGAAGGGCATCTACTAGAGACAGTTGTTCATTAGACAGGTTTTATTGTAGTCTCCAGTATGAATGAAATGTACAATGCTCCTGTGGTCTTGGATTGTTATAATGGTTGTTGAATGGTGAGGGTATTACTATTAGAAATTGTTTCTGTTCATTTCACATTATAATTTGATATGTATGGGGTGGGGTGGGGGTCTACTTTTATAACTTGTTGCATTCTTAGATGTTTCATGTTTTACTCTGTTTTGTGAATGTTAAAGCCTTTCCTCATTGGCAGATATTTAAGATTCAAAAGCACAATTTAAAAACATTAATCATTTATGCGAAAAATCAGAACATAAATCTACAATAATTTTTGCCATTTTAAAAATGTTGAAATGTGGAAATTCCAAATTTAAAACAGAGCTCTATCAATAACAGTTTCACAGTTTTTAAAACAGCATAATTTCATATTGATCATTACCTGGACATTATAATGATGATACAAATCATCTAACACTTTATATGAATATTCACCATTTTGAAAATATATGTATATTCAAACAAATGTGCTAAAATATTTAATTTAATATATGTGTGCTATTCATCAAAGTTGAATTACAATTAATTCATTAATTTCAGCAACTGTTTCAGTGAACAATGCTTTGATATTCTTAAAGTCCTTTATAACAGAATTCATTTATTTCAAAGTTAAAATTAATGTTATAATGATCATCAATAGATGCTTATAATAATTAATGTCCAGTTTGAATTTATCTTATTTCTAAACTAGGAAATTTTTTGCCATAGTCCTCTTTCATACATGAAACTGTCCATAATTCATCAGGCATTCACATTTTCACCAGTATGTACTTTAAACAGCTCTCAACACAGTTTGCTTCTATTTTATCCATAAGATTTCACCAGTGTGTTCATTTGAGAAATCAATTTTGTTTATTTTCATTATTGAAAATTTTCCGCCAGTATGTATTTGCATACAAAACCATACCATGATGCACAACAACATAACTTAACATATATGCATGTATTTCCTAATAGATGTTATGCTTGTTCTTCTTGTGGATTTTCAATGATGAAGCACGATTCATACGAACATCACATATATTACACTTGTAAGGCTTTTCTCCAGTATGAATTCTCATGTGGTCTGTTAAATGATGTTTCCTTCGAAATCTCTTGTGGCAAAGGTCGCACATAAACGGTCTTGTCATCTTCAATTGGTAATCAGCTTCCTCATATGCATATATGTATGAACTTGGAGTTGGCCCTGGAAAACACAAGTACATGTTAGTGCTCTATTGTGAATGTATTGTTAGACTACTCATGGATGAAGTCATTTTGGGTTGAGAGATGTAAAAGTATTTGAATCAAAACTGTAATCATTATAAATCTGAGTACAACCTTGTATTAATGGTGTTCATAATTTGATTCATAATATTCTCCCCTGACCGATCATGTCAGTTGTTTTATCGATATGTACATGTACTTCATAAAAATAAACATAGACCTTAGCATCTTATTTATTTAGGTAAACATAATTTGATACTGTTCTAAAAATTGCCATATCGTGCATCCTTGTTGACTTCCATGTGCCACTTTTGTGCTCTAATTTAAGAGAAAACTCAATTCACGAATATGAGAATTTATCCACAGAATTTTATTTAATATAATTTTGCATATATACAGTAAAATCCTGATTTATTAGTGTTTCAGTTTTTTCACATGATGTTTACTGTTGCATCTGATAATTCTTCACATAACTGACAGCTGTCAATCAGACAGGATAAGATCAGTTTACCTCATCAAACCTTCAACTCAATATGACCAATCAGAATAAAACTGTTAAAGAAAGCACCTTAAAATGACTTCATAGTTCATACTAATGATCCTCTGACTGTGAGTGGAATGTCTTGCAAGTAGAACAATATTTTGAGCTCTCAAAAGTGGCCCACTTACAAAGGTTTTACAGCACTACTTTTGCTGGCTAGCTTCGGCAACGTCTTGATGATAAGCCATAATATGGATCTTCAAAGAAAAATTGTCTTCCGATTTATAGTCGCAAAAACTACATGTAAATTGCTTCGTCCTGTTAACATGAACAACGGCTATGTGATTCTTTAAAGTATGCACCCGTCCTGCCCGGTAGTCACAAAATTCGCAAGCAAATGGTTTTTCTCTTGTATGTGTCATTTTATGTTGTGTTAAGTGGTGCCGTAGTCTGAACTGCTTATAGCATAGATCACAACGGAATGGTTTATCAATATTTTTGTTGGTGATCCGTGTCATTTGAGCTGTTTGTATTTCACCTGAAAAACACAATAAGTGAAATGTTAGTATTTATGTCCTCAAGTTCATAATCTTTTTTGGTCAGCAAAATATTGAAGGATTTCTGAAAATCTTAGGTTGAAGATACATACATATGTATTATTGATGTAATAGTGAACAGATATTTAATTCTGTTTTTCTAAACCATCTAGTACAAGAAAAATAAGAATTACATTACATTTGCATAAGGCTTCTTCATCAATATGCACAAAAATGGCACTCTAAAAAATTCAGTATTCATTAATAATAGTCTTGAACCATTATTTCCCATTCCATTCTCTCTCAGAACTCAAAGATTTTAAATAGATCAATATTTGGGAGTATACTCATGAGCAGTAAAATGCCAATTTCATGAGTACATGAATACTCCATAGGACAGAAACAATATAATATTCTAAATATTCTCACCCTTTCACATATTTGTTTTATTTTTTATTTTTTTAAGAGACACATTCTGTGTCTCACTTCGAAATGTTGACATTCATAAGCCTTTGGGTTTATATATTAAAATTCAACAAATCCTAACAAGTAACTCCTAATTACCCTACTCCCTTGAATTCGTATTCAAAGGACAATTATCTCTCATGGTGTTCACTGTTTTGAGCATAAATGTTTTATGTGAAATTAACCAAATGTCTAATCCAAAACTACTGGAACCAGCCAAAAGTCAATAATTTTGGATAAAGAAAAGATGTTGAGAGGTTTTGGCGTTAGAGATATACAGATTTCACTGTATTGTTACAGCATTTGATGTGTTTAATATCAATTACCATATGATGTGCACTTTCTTCATGTCCTATATATTCTTCACATGTTATGATGTTTCTTCATGTGAGTCTTCAGGTTAAAGGCTTTTGTAGAGCGATAAGCACAAACAGTGCAACAAAATGGCTTCTCGCCAGTATGGATCCTTTCATGCTCCTTCAAATGATGGCCAAGTCGAAATCCTTTGAGGCAAACATTGCACCTAAATGGCCTCTCTATTGCCTCACGGTTTCTTTCTGGCGCCTCATATTTTCTGTACATAACCTCAGATTCAACTTGCGTGAAATGAACTGAAAAACACAAGCGAGGATTTATTTTTCAAGTTTTGGGTTAGAATTAAAGTCCTGGACTGTCACCTTTTTTGAGAAAACATGAATTGTTGGTGTCAGCGTATAATGAGGATTGAGGTCCAGGATTCATATTAAAGGAACTCTTATTAACTGAAACCAATTGTTGAAAGGAAACCAATAGTTTCAGTAATCACTGTTCCAGAGCTGGATGACTCTTAACTGCCGTTAGCGTCATTCAAGATGGTTGCCAAAATTCTTTCATTTTCGAGAAACCTTCAATTTCAGCTCAACTAAGCTGAATCTTGATTCCAAAAGTTTCACCATGCAGACTAATAAAACTATGATTGTAAAAAAACAAGCTAACTGATGAGGCTAACTGCAGTTAGAGAAATGAGAAATGTTTGTGTATTAAATACACATTTCACCATGCATACCATAAATTAAAGAAAACATACAAGTAATTTATATTCAAACGTATATTTAAGTGCTGGGGGACAGAATGATGATAAATATTTAGATCTTAAGCTATAAGAAGCATCAATAATAAACTATAAGAATCTATAGTAAATTAAAACTTCTCAAATGTACTTTTTTGAATTCTAATGTGTCTTGTATGACATTGCACAACACTGACATAGGTCTTTCTCCGGTAAGGATCCTATAAAATAGTTGATCAAACATTACTCAATCACATCTTCAAATTCCATTATTTTATTAAAAAATGGTTTGGTACCAGTATTTAGGTATTTTTAACTGGTTTAGCCTGTATTTATTACACATATAATATTGCTAAGTTCTTTCTCCAGTAAGGATCCTACTTTAATAGTTGATCAAACACAGCTCAAAGGCATCTTCAAATTTCATTATTCTATATAGAAAAATTTTGTTTTTATCTGGTTCAATTTATATTTACACATCATTGTTTATTACGTTCTCTGTCCAGTGAAGATCCTATTTTTGTAATTGATCATAGATAACTAAATAAATGACATCTTCAAATTCCATTCTACTATTCAAAAATGGTGTGCTTTTGTGTGACCTTAACTGGTAAGATCTTATTGCACTTAAAGCACACACATCAAAAATGGTGTGATTTTTTATGTGACTTTAACTGGTATCCCCTCATTGCACTAAAATCACACATGTCACATTTATAGGGTTTCTCTCCAGTATGAATCCTAGTATGTTCAGTTAAGTGATGTTTCAGGCGGAAACTCTTTAAGCAGATTTTACACTCAAATGGCTTATCCTTTTCAATATAACAAACGTAGCAATTTGGCTGAATGGATCCATTACCTGAAAAACAAGAGGTTGAAATATTAGCTTAGTCAACAATTGGCTCTGCAGTCTATAAGAGAGAACGTCCAGGAGTTAACAGACATAATTACATCTCATGTACCAAATACTATTCGATGTGATGTTTTAATTGATATAGGCATATTCCATACACTTTTCTTTATCTTGATGTGAAATAAGAAGCTATGATATTGGTTAACACAGCATGAATGAACATAATATAAATTGAAGAGTAATCAAAAATTTCGAGGCCACCATTTTGTTTGTCGATTTTTGACCAATCAGAGATGTATGTCATCTGAATCGACATTTATTAATATGATATGCCATCTTTGAACACATCCAATGAGTCTATCATAGTGTTCTTAAAACATGCTATTGTCATATTGACATGAATATATAGTTGGTGTTTATAAAGGCTGTGCATTTTACAGTAGATGGTGTTAGAATAGTGGTTGTACATCACTTGGTAAATATGGAGAGTAGTGCTTACTTCTTCCACTGCTAAAATGAATAGCAGGGTTATACGAATAGTATCTTAAAAGTCTCAAATGCAGAGAAGAGGTAAATTACTTTAATTCTGTCAGACTCTAACCCTTAATGCATTTAAATTGGTAATTACCTTACTCTTATTGACTTATTAGTGAGATGACAGCATTTCAATAATATGTTTTTTGTATTTATCTTATATTTCATTGATCAATATGCATCATATAATCAGTTGGATTACTCACAGAGTGGAACACAATTTTAAGGAACAAGAATGTGTTCCATTTTGCTGTCTTTGTAGGCAACTTTATATTTATTCCATGTGCTTTTTTGTAAATGTCATCACTATCTACTGTAAGTAACTTCATATTTATGCCTTGTGCTTTTTGTAAATGTCATCACCTTCTACTCTATGTAACTTCATATTTATGCCATGTGCTTTTTGTAAATGTCATCACTGTCTTCTATATGTAAATTCATATTTATGCCATGTGCTTTTTGTAAATGTCATCACCTTCTACTCTATGTAACTTCATATTTATGCCATGTGCTTTTTGTAAATGTCATCACTGTCTACTATATGTAAATTCATATTTATGCCATGTGCTTTTTTGTAAATGTCATCACTATCTACTGTAAGTAACTTCATATTCATGCCATGTGCTTTTTGTAAATGTCATCACTATCTACTGTATATAACTTCATATCTATGCCGTGTGCTTTTTGTAAATGTCTTTTATAGGATCGCAGCCATGTGAAAATACTTCCACAGCTACACTGATATTTTGAGGTACCATGTTTATATTGAACATGCTCTGCCAAACCATCTCTTCTTTTAAATTTCTTGTGGCATAATTCACAACGGAATTGGCCGTCCTTTGTTTTTCCAACACCAATGGCTGAGTTCATCACTGGAAAACATCAAATTGGTCAGTTATACCTCTTTTATACACTTGAAAATAACAAGACATCTCAGTTAGAGACCATCTACCTCTTTTATACACTGGAAAATAACAAGACATCCCATTTAGAGACCATCTACCTCATTTATATACTGGAAAATAACAAGTCATCCCATTTAGAGACCATCTACCTCATTTATACACTAGAAAATAACAAGACATCCCATTTAGAGACCATCTTCCTCTTTTATACACTGGAAAATAACAAGACATCAAATTTAGAGACCATCTACCTCTTCTACACACTGGAAAATAACAAGACATTCCATTTAGAGACCATCTACTCTTTTATACACTGGAAAATAACAAGACATCCCATTTAGAGACCATATACCTCATTTATACACTGGAAAATAACAAGTCATCCCATTAAGAGACCATTTACCTCATTTATATACTAGAAAATAACAAGACCTCTCATTTAGAGACCATCTTCCTCTTTTATACACTGGAAAATAACAAGACATCAAATTTAGAGACCATCTACCTCTCCTACACACTGGAAAATAACAAGACATTCCATTTAGAGACCATCTACTCTTTTATACACTGGAAAATAACAAGTCATCTCATTTAGAGACCATCTACCTCTTTTATACACTGGAAAATAACAAGACATTTCATTTAGAGACAGTCCACCTCTTTTATACACCAGAAAATAACAAGACATCCCATTTAGAGACCGTCTTCCTCTTTTATACACTGGAAAATAACAAGACATCTAGTTTAGAGACCATCTACCTCTTTTATACACTGGAAAATAACAAGATATCTCATTTAGACCATCTACCTCTTCCATACACTGGAAAATAACAAGATATCTCATTTAGAGACCATAACCTCTTTTATACACTGGAAAATAACAAGACATCCCATTTAGAGACCATCTACCCCTTTAATAAACTGGAAAATAAAAAGACATCTCATTTAGAGACCATCTACCTCTTTTATACATTGGAAAATAACAAGATATCTCATTTAGAGACCATCTACCTCTTTTATACATTGTAAAATAACAAGACATCTCATTTAGAGACCATCTACCTCTTTTATACATTGGAAAATAACAAGATATCTCATTTAGAGACCATCTACCTCTTTTATACATTGGAAAATAACAAGACATCCCATTTAGAGACCATCTACCCCTTTAATAAACTGGAAAATAAAAAGACATCTCATTTAGAGACCATCTACCTCTTTTATATCCTGGAAAATAACATTTAAGACATCTCATTTCACACTTTTTAAGTTACTTTTTAAAAGAAAACAGAGTAGACTGCGGATAGATGTGTAAGATATAATAAGTGATTTTATTTCACTAATCAAATCAAATCAGTATTTTAACCAAGTTGCTTTCATTTTAAGTTTATTAATCAGCAAATTAATCAAATACAATACAATACAAGTGATACAATCAACAGTGAAATCTGTATATTTGGTAGCCTTGAAAATATTTCATCAGTCCTTGCAGCAATCAAAAAGTCTCATTTCATAAACATTTCCAATGTAGGCTGTGAATGATATTTGTATTGCCTTTGAAACATTTCATCAGTCCTTCCAGCAATCAAATTATCTTATTTCATAAACATTTCCAATGTAGGCTGTGAATGATATTTGTATAGCCTTTGAAATATTTCATCAGTATTCCAATGTAGGCTGTGAATGATATTTGTATTGCCTTTGAAAATATTTCATCAGTCCTTGCAGCAATCAAATTATCTTATTTCATAAACATTTCCAATATAGGCTGTGAATGATATTTGTATAGCCTTTGAAATATTTCATCAGTCCTTGCAGCAATCAAATTATCTCATTTTATAAACATTTCCAATGTAGGCTGTGAATGATATTTGTATAGCCTTTGAAAGATTCCATCAGTCCTTGCAGCAATCAAATTATCTCATTTTATAAACATTTCCAATGTAGGCTGTGAATGATATTTGTATAGCCTTTGAAAGATTCCATCAGTCCTTGCAGCAATCAAATTATCTCATTTTATAAACATTTCCAATGTAGGCTGTGAATGATATTTGTATAGCCTTTGAAATATTTCATCAGTCCTTGCAGCAATCAAATTATCTCATTTTATAAACATTTCCAATGTAGGCTGTGAATGATATTTGTATAGCCTTTGAAATATTTCATAAGTCCTTGCAGCAATCAAATTATCTCATTTTATAAACATTTCAGCATCTTGCAATAGATTAGGAATGATATCTTTGTAGCCTTTAAATCTTATAATCAGGTTTTCTAACACAAACATTAACATTTTAGTATCCTCTGATGTAGGCTTTGGATGCTATATTTAGCCTTTAAAACAATTCATTAGTTTCCTTACAACGTAATCAAATCATTCCACTTGTCATGGCAGGTCAGGGTGACATCTGTGTTTATGGCGCCGATATGAACGTTCCCATGTAAACAACTTTCCACAACAGCGATATTCTTCTTTTCCATGAAAAAACTTAGTATGTTCCGCTAAGGAACCCTTTCCCTTATAAGTTTTGAAACAAAGGGGACAGCGTAAGGACTGGCCATCATTAGATTTGTTAATGCCCATTTGGTATGGATACAAGTCTGGAAAACAGCAAAACAATCCTTTTATTGATAACAACATCTCAACTTGGGCATAAACAAATCTTAATAATGTGATTCATAAATTATAAACTTGGCATCCAAATGTCTTAATCTTACATTATGAAATCTCAAATTGGCATTCTGGAGTTTTGCATCCGGAAATTTTAACTTGGCATTCTTGAATCTCAACTTTGCATTTCGATGTCTCAACTTGACTTTTTGGTGTCTTCCTTTGCATTCTGAAATCTAAAATTGGTGTGCTTTGATCTCAACTTGGCATCAATAAATCCTCAACTTGGTACACCATTGATGCTCAATAAATATATTCCCAACAACACTTATTAGACTATACACAAATGTACATCTATTCATAATCAACCTTGGTTCCATGGTAGAAAAGAGACAAGCCAAAACCTAAGTAATCAAGAGTAAATTCCTGCCATTTGAGGCAATCACTTGAGGAATTATCATATCATGAGCACATTTTAATGATTGATTCCTGCATGCACGTCCCACCACCTTGAAATATCATCAACAACCTTAATGTATGCATGGTGATCTCCTAATATGGTGATGTCCAAATATGGTGATCTCCAAATATGTCCTTGTCATGGTGATGTCCAAATATGTCCTCATCGCTATCCTTCAAACAAAGCCCTGTCTTCTGGAGAGAAAATGACAACAGCGGAGGAAAGTCTACCAAAGGGTACAACTTATCATTCTGAGATGTATAATACCATATTAATGTATATTTCAAAATGAGTCCCAGCCCTGGTACCTGCTAATAAAACTCCTAAATCCAATATAAAACAAACTGCAAAATAATGCACAGCTCTAAATAATTAGTCCATAGAGTGTCCAATCATTAAAACCTTAGATTGCCAAGAGCTGTGCACTAAAGTAAAATAAAAAAATCCTGAAATGAAATTCAGTTTGATGTTGTATTTTGGTTGATGGCAGCTTCTATGTACCTGGACACCTGATACTCTAACAATATGCCATAAGTTATAATGACAATGTCAAATTCAGAATTCCCATATGTGTATGTATTTTAAAACAGTAAAGCAAAGTAAATCATGCAAAACTGACAGTCTTACAACAATTCCTTCTCTTTATGTACATAATATGAAATCTTCTCTTCGCATCAACTTTTTTAGAATAAGATAGTTCAGATTCTCCCCTTAATTTTTTTTCTCAGGGAGCAAAACTTCATTATTCATACATAAATAACCATGATTTAAAACCCGGTCTGAATGCATGACCATGATTATCTACATTCCTGATGCAAATTTACTTTTAAATAGAGACAACTTTTATATTATATTGCTGGGAAGATCTAAATACTCAACTTAGTAGATTATTTTACAGAACTACATGCGTGAGGTGAAATATATGAAATACAATTTTTTTATATAGATAATTCATCTGTACTAAATGATTTTCAAAGATCATTTGATGCGTGTCTGATTTTTCTTCGAAATGAAATGGCAAAAAATTTCAAACTTAGTCTTAGTGCTTATAAAAAAACAAAACCTTAAAAGAACTTAAAGGGATACAGATAACTTAAAGTTAAAAGACTCAAACAATGGTCACAATTTACATTTTGTTTGCTCTTATTCCATCGAATCAAACAGTTCTATATCATATCAGGATAATCATCAAAGGTGATATGGCAAAAATTTTTTGTGAATTTTGACAATCTTAATCTTCAATAACTTCAAAATTTGATCAAAAATCTCATTTTTTACAGAATATTAAATCAGGAAAGGAATTGAAAGTAAGCAAAGGCAGTTTTCAAAATTTAATTATTTATGTCAAAAGTTTACACTCCATCCCTTTAAATTCTTTTAATAGCCCTTAAGATTTTCCACTTTTGATATATGCACTGATAATACCCTCTTATGTTGGAGGATTATGAGTAAACAAAAGCACAAGAGTTGTGTAATTCATATATTTCACCTATAAGACCTCATATTCATTGTTCAATTTCTTGAGCTATTTGAGTAACATGTTTGTGTCTTAAAATGCAGACCCCTCTTTGTTTGAGTCACGTTGATGAACTTTTTGAAGTTATGGCAATGTTCTCCGCAGGATTTTTTCTCAAGTGGGTGCAAAATTCTCATTTTCATTATTCAGACCAAAATTGGTCAAAAAATGCCAATTTTTCATGATTTTTCTCATTGTCAGCAGGTGCAAATGGATTTTCAGGCGGATGCAAGCCAGATTTTACAATCTCAGGTGGGTGCTGTGCCTACTTGCTTTGATGCTAGAGAGATCACTCTATGGTTATCTTGGTTTTGAATAAATGAGCAAAAATATATAGATAATTTGCCCCTTTCTGGTTTTACTACAGGTCAGCAACAAATCACTAGTATTGGTGCAAAAGTGGTTAAACTGCAGGAATTCGAAAAATGATTGTGGTAACTAACTGGCATGTCTTGAAGAGGGGTCTACATCTAATTGGATGAAGAAATGTGTGCTTAATGAAATGAATTGTGAATGACTATTATATTGTGCTGGTATTACAATTTAGGCAAATTTGTGTTGGTTAATTTCATTTATCGCAGTTTTAAAAATTGTCAATTTTCATGAGGTTAAGTTCTATTTGTAGGCTTTGTTCATGACTAAGTTTGAAAAAACAGTGATCTCCACAGGATTTTTTCTCAAATGGGCGCAAAATTCTCATTTTCACAATTCAGACCAAAATTGGTCAAATTTCATTATTTTTCTCATTTTCAATTGGGTGCAAATGGATTTTCAGGTGGGTGCAAACCTATTTTCAAAATCTCAGGTGGGTGCTACGCCCACTTGCTTTAATGCTTGGGAGATCACTGAAACATATTTGTCAAAATTTACTAGTCCACTGTCCAATAGGTACCTTATTTTAAGTTCATTTCCAGGAGTACCATTTGGCAATTACCCAAATGCGAGTAGGTAGTTTTTCAAAGTTGATAAACACTTTTTAAAACCACATTGCTAGATGTAATTTTACATGTAGATTTCAAATATGATATTACTTAGACTGAATTTTTAATGACGTAAATCAAGCTTATTTCTACTCGCATCTGGGTTATTGGTATTGAGCATAAACTGAATATGGTGAACTAATGTTTTCAACATTATAGATGTAAATCCCTGTAGAATTGTTTGCTATGCAGGAGAATTTAGATACCCATTTGGGGATTCAGGGTTGTTTTGACAACTGAAGGTCTGCATCTTAGATGTGTGTGCCTAATGGTGTTGGATGAGATGAGAAATTGAACAAAGAATTTCAGGTCTTCTATAACAAAGGAAAATCAACCCACCTGATTGGTCACCCATATCGCCACCTGCAACCTGCATAGCACCACCTGCATCATGCATTTGAGATTCATCACCGGTATCCGCACTTGCGTATGTATTATTCATTGAGTCCATATTATCAAATGTCCTTGTAGTATCATCCCCTTCAGCACCCATCCAACTAGCACCAGCTGTCTCAGTGTCCCCTTCACCGCCATCATCATCTTCTTCATCATTTAGTTCAATTGTAATAGCTTCCTCTTTAATGTTATATTTTGCTAGTTTGGCTGGAACTTCTTCATTTTGATCAAGATTGGAATCACTGTTTTTCCGTTTGGAATTTGGAGAGGTATCGGGTTCAGCTGAAATTATGAATTTATTTGTATTATGATAACAAAAAGGCGTAGTTACAGGATATCTAGAATGACTGGCAGTTTCTGTTTTGAGATTCTCCGTAAGACTTGCCTCTAAACCCGATCAGAAGTTTCCAATTTGAGTGACGCTGCATATATACTAATTCTAAAGTCTCAGGAGTAATTTTATGTATATGTTGAATATATGTAGGGTGATGAGAATTAGGAAATAATTTAAGAGTAAATTTAATTGAATATCAAGCTGTATTTTAAGAGTGACAGGCTCTGATAGAGCCATATGCCCTATTGGTCTAAGCCTATGCTCTATTGGTCACTGCATGTCACTTATAGTACTTAATCAGGGAAGGGGGTAAAACGTGAAGGCTGAATATCCAACTTGAAAAAACATTTTATCAGGGGTTAACTCTATCAGAAACATAATACATGAGTCAGTTCCACACTGTTCATTTATGTAAAAATATTTACCTTTTATATTTGTTACTGAGTAATCACTGTCAATATCTAGACCACCAGGTGTCTCTTGTGTTGCTGTTGGTTCTGGTGGTTCATGAACCTCATTAAATGTCCTTTTGGGTGGCTCATTCACAACAGTATGTTTAGATTTATATGGACCACGATGACCGGGTCTACTTTCAGATCTGCGAGGTGTTGAAGAGTCATAGCTATCAAATGAAGTGTTTCTAGGGGTATTTGTATTCGCAGTATTTTGCCAGTCAGCCTCAAGGGACGGGGACCATGATTCTACGGGTGTAGGGGCCACTTCGGGTTTCACTATAGTTCGATGCATTTTAACGACAATATCCCGTTGTTCTTCTCCACTGGATACACAAATGATCCCATCGATTTCCAGGGACTTTTGGAACATGATGTTTTGCGTACAGAGTTTCAGGACGGCATCTTGGATCATTTGGGTGATCATTGGATTATACGTCCCCATGGTAATAATAATGAGGTAAGTAAACTTCGTTCTGAAAAGCAAAGAAGCAGAATGAAAAAGGAACAAGATGGGATCGATTTCATGTAGGCAAAATGTATACCATGCCCACTATTTTGCAGGATTATTCTTCAGAATGTTTGAATAACTAGAATATTCAGTAGTTAACTTTTCAAAATTGCAAAAAAAAATTCAAGGTGCACTCTGGCATAGATCCCGGCCAGATTCTTTTGTAGTAGGATCAGTAGCTCAATAAATAGGCTTATCCTTCCAGATGAGACACCTAAGAAAATTTCAAATTTTAAATGACGATTGTGCAGCCATTTCTGAAAAATATGAGACAAATCATACATCATTCGAAGCGTCTTGTTATTCTTTACCTTTCTGATCATTAATGAACGGTATTCAATCAATCCTGCTATTTTTGGTAAAAATAGTGATATTTTATTTTCTGGCTCTTGTTTGTCCAAATCTGAATGGTGCTCCTGTGATTCCAGAAATGTGACGTCAGAATTACAATGATATTTGGACACACAAGAGCCTGGATCAAGTGAAAAATATTTGCCGTATTAAAATCTAAATTGCTGCGTCCATAGGTTATGTACTCGAACCATACATGTAGAAATAGAAAGATGAAGATCTCAGCTATAAAATAAGTGCAAAATCTGTCACGGGGAAGCACAGATCCGGAGCAAGATCCAGCCCCTATTGGTAGTAGGCTCAAAGGATAAATGGGAAGATAAGACGCAAGCCAAAAATGCTACATCAAAAAAATGACCACCCAAGAATATGACCCTCCTACTGACCTTTATTTTTTCCATCTGTCAGACATTGATTGATCAATATATTTACCCTGTAATCTCTTCTCATAAAAGTATTAGTTTGAATGGTTGCATGATATCAATTATTGACGCTGTAAATCAAACTTTCTAGGGACATTTCTTTCAAATTTTCAGAGCGTAAAGGTAATGGAGTGTTTCAGTAATTTCCTGCAATGTCGGATGTTGTTCGTCTCTCAAATTATGTCACATCGCAACAAACAACCAATGAAAGTAAAGATCGTATAGCCTAACAAACCGTTGTTATTGTTTCTACAGGATTTTAAAGATACGTCATGGGGTTTCTAGGTAATCTCTGATGTGACACGTCATCCGGAGTGGCGTCATATTCTCAGAAAAGACATTTGACATCGGGAATAAACATTTGAACAATGGAAATAGCCGAAGCACTCCATTCAATATACGCTTGCTTATTTTATGCTTTTATCAACAGACGCTTTCTGAATGTGTGGCTTTAGTGATTGGAGATGAAGCTAACAACAGTATGCATCCAAAAGCAAGGAAATATCAATTTTCCGAAGATATTGTGTCTTGTCCTTGAGTATATTTATTGAGCCTAGACACGCCTAACCATCGCGTAAGTAGGCGTCACCGTACAGCGTCAAAAAATACAGTAGTACAGTTTTACTGCAAAAACTATAATGGGGGTTTTAAAAAAATTAATAAGATGAAAATAAATACGATTTCGAGTGTAATAAAAACAGCATTCTCTTAGGAATGGTTTTAACTTTCTAATTATGATAAAAGTTTTTCGAGCACTGCTCGGATTTTTTCTGACTGGATCGGCCCACACAATCGACTCGAGAGAAAAATGTTGTTTTTTTCACTTTTCTTTTGGTTATTATTTTCCCTGTCATCTGAGAGTATGGATTATTTTTATGAGAATATGTATTTGTTATCTACACATTTTAGAACAGATGAATATTCGGCAAATAATCATTCAGTGTATTTATTTAAAAAAGATCAGATCTGTACAGTGACGCATCTGCTGTATGGTGACGATTCCTTAGATTTCATGAAGTGTAATATATGACCTCAGTATCAACTTAAGATTCCATAAGTTTTTGTGTGGAAATTCATATGCTGTATCCCATTCAACATTGAAAAAATCAATTCTTATGTCTGATAACAAGGATTAAATACTGAAACACATTCAACTCTAAGCTTACTGTTCGAACAAGAGGTAAAGAAGCGTCAGATCTACATTATCACTGGTAAGTATCAAGCGAAGGTTACAGCCGTCACCTTAGCATTTAAGATGGCGGACAGGAAGTATTAATTTCGATATTTTTAGTTTTCGTGGAATTGACTATTTGAAAGTTGACGCAATGCTTTGATATCATTTGAAATACAGACCAGGCTTTTCTCATATGACTAACAAAGATAGCCTACATAGCCATCTTTACCCCATGCAAGATATTGCATATTTCATCCTAAAAGTCACACGTGCAAGATGAGATTTACTTGTGACATCCCTTGTTTTAAAACAATAATAACATAGCAACAAATATACTGAGTTTTTGGTTTCATGATCCCTACCGTATCACACATTTCCAGTAACCTTCCATTAAGCGATGGAAGATATCGTTGAATTGTAGCGCCCATGCACTATATACGAACAAATGATCATACTCCAGAGTTTCCATTTCATATAAGCCAAGTCTCATTTAGTTCATCAAAGCATAACGCCAACTATAAAGAATTCGATGAAAACTAAGAATATCGAGATCGACACTTCCTGTCCGCCATCTTAAATGCAAAAGTGACTGCAGTAACTTTCACTGATCATTTTGACAACATGTATACGAGGGATACTTGATTGGATCAACATTTGAACTTACACACCAAAACTTATGCGATTTGAAGTAATAAATAATGAATTCTTTATATTACTTCTCACAAAGTATAATGAATCGTCAACAAACAGCTGATGCGTCACCGTACAAATTTGATATTTTTTAAATATACATAATGAATGGTTGTTTGTTGAATCTTCGCCCATTCTAAAATGTGTAGTCGACAAATACATATTCTCATAAAAATAATCCATACTCTCAGACGGCAGGGAAAATAAAAATAATAACCAAATAAAATGTGAAAAAACAACCTTTTTTCATTCTGGTCGATTATGTGGGCCGATTCACTCAGAAAAAATCCGAACAGTGCTCATAAAACATTTATCATAATTACAAAGTTAAACCATTCCTTAGAGAATGCTGTTTTTATTTCACATGAAATCGTATTAGTTTTCATCAAATTAATTTTTTTTAAACCCTTGTCATAGTTTTTGCTTCAAAGCAGTTACAGTACTGGTATATATTAATTGATTAGTCGTATTATTGGCATATTTTCTTGAATTTTAACATTTAATGTCCCAAACTCCCACAAACTGCAGAAAAGTATACACCATAAATCATATTTACCAAAATGAGTGTCTCCAAGGCTTCACACCAGCGTATGCATAGTTAATTTGTCACGAGTTTGAGCTGAAATTTCGCCAAAATGAAGTAGGCTCAGGGTAGTCGGGCCAGTCAGGCCAGGTTTGTTTATTGTGGTAAGCTTGTAAGTGCTCAGAAGCAAATAATTCATGTGCGCAAAATAATCAAATAATCTGATTGGTTAAAACTTTGCTGCACATCCGCACAATGTATGCCATATTTTTTCTAGTGATTTTGTTTCATTTCATGGAGTTTGTGTTTCAGTGTAACTTCCGCCAAAATGGCGGACAATGGACAGAATTAACAGGTAAAATCACTTTGAAATTTCAAGAGAACTTTTTACCTATAATAGCAAATCTTTTGTTTTATTTGTGCATTCTATCTATCAGATAAGAGTCTCAGGGGTATGTAGGCAAATTTATTTTGGTAGGAGCACTCTGTTTAGTTTGAAAACGCACCCTTGATTATTATATATCAGCACTGTAATTTGCGTCATCGTACAGAAAACTGTACTCTGCTATTTTTTGACGCTGTACGGTGACGCCTACCTACGCGATGGTTAGGCGTGCTAGACACCATCGAAGAAAAGGTAATCTGGCAGAGGTCCATGCAGGGAAGCCCGTACCATTTTGTATAAGGAACGTTTTGAAAGGTGGCAACTTTTTTTGAAATTTTCCAATTTAGTGACGCATCTTCTGAATTATTCTTTGAGCCTATGAGATCCTACTACAACACGATCTGGCCAACATCTAGGCACTCTGGCCGCAGGAAATATCTCGCCTTGCTTCTTGGGCTTCTTTTTCTTCTTGGGCTGTCGCCATTTTTTGATTGATTTTTCAAATTTTCAGAACAACATCGCGCTTGAATCATCAACAGGTCAAGACTTACATTTATAAACTAGTCCCGAATGATAAGTTGTCACTTTTCTACTTACTTATAACCTTACTGGCAATATGCATATGTTGATTTAACGAAAAACTCAAAAAACTTACCAAAATTTAAGACAAAGAAAATGCCGGTCAAATTTTGTTTCTCAATGTGCGCATGCGTGAGTTTCATTTCCGGTCTGAGAATTGGTAAATATTATTTTCTTGCTTTGTTTAGTACTTGTTTTTACAACTGACTGAGTTCACAACTGCTCATTGAAATGGCCAAAGGTTTTAGGATTAGTAACTACAGGCCTGTTAACCTGGAAACACCTCAAATGGCTGAATACTTAGGTCCAATATTATTTGAACACTTCCCTGGTTCAAAATGAATCAAATTGATTGCAGCTGAGATTGCATATCAGATATTGATAAATATATATGGATTTTGGGCATCTCAAATTTTTCACGCTCAGTTCGCTTGTGTTCACAAACTACGAATGTGTTACAAATACTCAATTTGCGTGAAAATTCCGAATGAACAGTGTTTGTTTTTATCGGCGTCCATTTTATGGCATTCAATTCATGCTCTTCCCCAGAAATATTTTAGCTTGACAATAATCAGAATAAATGCGTAATAGTATTTGCATGACATATTCTGTCATGCAAAAGACGGGATTGACTTCAATTTCTTCAGCAAATGCTTGACACGGACGTCAAGTAAGTTTCTGGCGAAAGCCGGAGCATAGATTATTTAGAGGACTGGAAACAAGAATGACCTACCTTTTTATTTCCCGAATCTCGCCTGAAATTAGCTCATCTTGGTGACTGTACCCTGTATATCTGCTTTAATAGAGTCTTTTTGTATCGCATCCGCCTCAATTTTAAAGTTTTATTGGTATTTTTAATATGATTTCACTGGATGTTTTGAGAAGAATATTGAGAAATCTTGTTCTCAGTTGGTACATATGATACACCGACATTAAAATTTCAACAGGATTCTCTCTGTGTTTTAGGGAAACCGTCAGAATACAAAACACACAACCTCTATGCCCTAAAGACGACCAGACTCCAGTATATAGCAATAACATTGACTCTTATCATCGCAACCCAGCATGGGATCGTCAAATCCTGTGAATATTGCTCAGATGATTCAAGATTCTGTTCTCCAACTTTGCACCCAGTATGCCTTGTTCAAAACATCATTGGATATAGATGGCATCGTATGTATTTCCCCGAGGGATGAAAAAAATCAGGATATTATCGTGAAAATGCACCGGACGATTATAAAACCAGGATCGGGACCTCAAGTTAAGCATGTTAAAAGAATCAATGACCAGCCCCAAATGATATTTCTGGCTCAAGCCAACACTGAACAATACAATTCTCACCAACCAGAGACACCGGTGGTGGTGCCAGGAACAATTGGAGTCCAAGTCAAAGATCTGAATCCAATAGGTAACTACATGTACTTGTTTACAACATCAGATTTTTGGGAATTTTTGCTCTGAGCCTTAAACATTGAAAATGAACAGGCCAAGAAAAATGCATACAGGGTGAAGCAAAAATGTCCTCGAATATTTTGAAATGCAGTTTATTTTTAAAAACAATCCGCAGCAAAATACAAAATGTGGAGATTTTTTGGGCCAACCTGTATATATGAAAAGCATCATACCAATCAGCTGAATCTACAGGGTGGTCCAAGTTAAGATCTGATCTAAATGACAGAGATGATATTTAGCTAGTTGGACAATGGTAAAAATTTAAAAGGATGGGAAAGTGAATGTTAAACGTCTAGAGCAATTTTCTCAAAAATCATACCCAGAGAGCTCAGTACATGTACATGTAGTTTTTAACCAATTAAGGGTAGAAAAATCCCAGATTTAATGTTTTCTAAGAAAGGATTGAGATATCTTATTGAAGATTTAAGATGCAGAAATATCAATTAGAATAAGTCAAAAAATTCAAAAAGGAGACTTAACTTTTTTTAATTAATGTCCAGTAATAACCTAAATACAGACATGGCCTGGAATGGTGACAGAAAATATTATACAATTTTTAATGGTATAATTCACTGATATTTGAAAAATTAACACTTCACATGTAAATATAATTACACTAGATATTCATCAACACATTTGGGATATTTTTGTGACATAATGTTTAATCAATTAATTTTTGTCTATTTATTCTAGATGCCACCTCCAAGAAGACCTGGAGAAACATTAAACGACATCTTACTGAAACAAGTCAAGAAACAGTTGAACAGAATCCAGATCAAACGGATGAACCACCATTTAAAAAGACTAAACAGGAAGAAACAATTATAAAGACTGAAATCGATGATGATGCTATTACACTAGACTTGGATATAGTTTGCCAACAAGGGTCAGAAGAATATGGCTCAAACAGTGTTAATGCGAATGAAGACGTTGGTTGTTATGACAGTTTTACTGGATATGATGTTGACGATGATGTCTATGATAATAGTACGGGGAATATTGCACAAGGTGCACATGAAGTTTCAAGACAAGAGCTACGGCATAATTGGAGAACAAAATGGGCAATCTCCGTTTTTGAAGGTAGCATCGTGTTTTTATTATCACAATTTGAAAAATTGCTTTGTTGTCATCTTAAAAGCTACTAGATCACCCTATGCAGACAGAGCCTGTGGGAAATATTGGGTGCGGCGCAAATGAGCGGAGGGTGCGGAGCTAACGGTCATTTTTGAATTTAAAATTGGGATATTTCTGAAACTAAGCCGTTTTGGGACTTCAAATATACCAAGATATGTGTATTTGACACCAAATATCAATAAAATTGTGAAAATAGTAGCGCAATTCATTCTATAGCGACGCAGTGTGCCTTAAACATTTCCCAAACCTATATATTTTGAGACTATCCTTTTAATACTGCGTCCCCAGCATTCATAAAAAATGGTGTTCGAGATACACTACCCATGCAAATTATTTTTGCATCTTGGAAGCCAGGCAGTATCTGTGTGATTTTATAAAAATTCGGAGGTACGTTTATGGAGCTCCTCCGCACCCAATATTTAGAGGGGGCTCTATCTGAAAAACATTTCCGAATTTTTATAAAATCACACAGATACTGCCTGGCTTCCAAGATGCAAAAATAATTTGTATAGATAGTGTACCTTGAACACCATTTTTTATGAATGCTGGGGACTCAGTATTAAAAGGATAATTTCAAAATATATAGGTCTGGGAAAGGTTTAAGGCGCACTGCGTCGCTATAGAATGAATTGCGCTACTTTTTTTACAATTGTATTGATATTTGGTGTCAAATACACATATCTTGGTATATTTGAAGTCCCAAAACGGCTTAATTTCAGAAATATCCCAAATTTAAATTCAAAAATGACCGTTAGCTCCGCACCCTCCGCTCATTTGCTCCGCACCCAATATTTCCCACAGGCTCTGTCTGCATAGGGTGTAGATGCACATGTGGGTGGCACATATACTTTTTCTTCAAAATTCTGTGAAAACGACTTATCTGTTCAACTCAAAATTTTACATTTGCAATAGAAAAAGGGTTTTTGGTGTGCTGGTTAAATTACAATTGGTGGCTGTTTTACTCTTCAAATTGTGATATTTATCACCATCTGTATTGTTCACATTATAATGCACCCAATATTGTTTCATTACCCTTTGGTTTCTGCACATTTTCACAGTTGACTTCTAACACCATGTACTTTTGAATTATCCTTTTTTAGCAATTTTTTCTTCATGTAACTATAGTATGTCTGTAGCCAGGCATGAAGAAGTTTTGTAGAAAGTATTGATTCACACTTCTTTATTTTTAATTGAAATCAAAATGAACTCTTTTTCTGAGTATTTGCCTCACCAAATTTAATATCCTGGCTATGATCCTAAACTATGTATACATGACTGTGATACACATAAATATACAGCACACGTCATAAAATATTAGATTGGACATTTACTTTCAGAATGGCTAAGGGAGACCAGGATGGAAAACACGTTCAAACATTTAGATGCGGAGTTAGTGAAAAGTGACGATTTCCCGTTGTTGCTACCATTGTTTTACAGTTCAGTGACTAAAAAAGATGGCGGACAGTATTCAATACAAAGTCTGATTAACCTCAGAGCTGCGCTACAATGTGCCATCGATAGTATGCAGGAAGATGTGGACATTGTGAAGGATAGGAAGTTTAGTGCTGCCAACAAGGCGCTAGAAGATGTTGTGAATTATCGAAGAAAGTATGACATTTCCAAACAACGGCCTAAAATTGAACTAGAGGATATACGAAAGTTATACAAAACAGTATTGTCAAATGACAACCCCCAACATTTGCAGAATAAAGTGTTCTTTGAATTAGTGCTTCATACTGGAATTAGGGGAAGGGATACATTAAGAGAGTTAACCAAGTCATCATTTAGGATAGATAAAAATGAAAATGGGGTTGAATATATAGAACTTGTCACCAACGAGCAAAACAAGTCAAATAGCGCAAATGACAAAAACAAAAAGATCATTCTCGCAACAGATGAACCAAACTGTCCCGTCAAATCGTTTAAGTTGTACTTGGAAAAACTACAGCCAGACTGTGATTATTTCTTTCCGGCACCATTGAAAGTACCTAACAGTAATAGAAACCAAAAGGTGTGGTTCACGAAGATACCACTTGGTGTGAACAGTCTGGGGAATTATATGAAGACTCTCAGCGAAACAAGCCAGTTGTCAAAGATGTATACAAACCATTGTATTATCGCCACGGCCGCTGCAGCTGCGACTCCAAGTGAAAGTTCTAGTACAGGAATTGGAAAATATTTTATCATGAATTGTCTCAGGGAACCAAGCATTAAATCTGAAATGCCTTGAACTTTTTCCAACTAAATTATGTGCCTGAAAATTATACAAAATTGCTTTAATTTGGCGGATCTGGCAAATTTTGAAAATTTGTACCAAATGTTATCAAAGTGTGATATTTGAAACTTTTTTTTTTTTCAAGAAGTGGTTTTTGAAGGACCTTTTATTCAAAAAATTGTGTATTTATTTAAACTAACTTTGAGAGGTCACACATATCTTTTAATAAGCAATATACAATTCAGACCAATCCATAGAATTCATCCTCGCATGTTTTTTGCCGAAAAAAATTAAGAAAATCGATTCATAAATAAGCGAGAAATGAACTCATCAGTGCATGAAAATGGTTAAGAGAAAAATGCATTTCAAAATTTTAGCTCTCATAGAAACCAATGGTACAATCATATCTAAAACATAATATATTCTTCCTTTTAACCAGGTTAGGCAATCAACATTGGTTTATTACTGAAGTTTAGCATATTTAGAAAAGATTTATACAGAAATCAATTTTTTCAAAGGTTTTTGCCACCCGAGTGAGTCATAATGACATCACTAATGTTAATATGCTAAAACATTGAAGTAGCTCATTAAATATGGCATTTTATTATTGAAATAGTGTGTCCTTTGTTCAATCTTTGCATTGGTGTTAAAAAGATTTTTTTTCTAATTGAAAGCCCATGGTATTAAGAAATATTTGATGATTAAAATTTTTTTAATATTTTCAAAATTTACATGGGGACTTTAACAGTATTTTATCAGTACAATGACATAATTGAAGTGGAGCATATCATATCTAGTTTCTCTTTGCTTATCTAAATAAAGGCGTTCTCTACATTCTCAATTATATAATTCTCAGAACCACACACTCCAAGAGTCTTCAGTTACAACAACACTTCCTGTGTGCTGTTAAATGCAGCCTTACTGATCGTTTTTTCGGTCACATTGGTTTTCCTTTGCTAGTGTTGACATTCTTTAAAGGAGAACAGGCATTGTCTAGACTCTTTCATAGTCGAGCTAAGCCCATATGACCCCCCCCCCCCCCTACACATCATACAGGTCTTGTAACCAGTGAGTACTTGTCACTTCAATGTGAGATTTGTGTTAAGTCATTTTCAATATGGCCGCTTAATTCAAAATGGCCGCCATTTTCGGAAAAATGTAATCTTTGATAACCCAAAATCTGCTATTTTATATTCACTAGCCAGAGAGTCATTGGAAAATGTATCATGCTCATCAGTATTCACATATCAAATATGTAAAAATCCTCATTTTCCAGATTCGGCAAATATCACAAAAGTTTAATATATTATGTCAGGGGGATTAAAAACAATGCCATAATTTAATCTTAGATATTCAAAGGATCACATTTCAATCAACACTATGTAAAAATCAAAATTGTTGGCGACATTGATAACGTCGAAATAAGCCGATGGACTTCATTTTCCAAAGCGAGAATGGTCCTTTGGCACCAGAATAACTTACTACAGGGCTGCAGTGTACGTCAAACCTGTCATGGCCACATTACTTCTAAAAGTTCGAGAAAATAACATTTCAGAGGTTTGCAGTTTCGCCTTAATAAATCGTGTTTTGATGGGAAATATCACCAGATTGATGTGCTAGGTACAAGCTTATTAGAGATTCTAAGTAAAACTGCCATTTTATAACATCTTTAAGTAGAGAGACCGGCTTACGGACAACTCATAGATCTCAACTCATCCCCTAGACAACTCACCCCTGGACAACTCATCCGCTAGACAACTCTTCCCCTGGACAACTCATCCCTGGCTAACTCATCCCCTAGACAACTCATCCGCTAGACAACTCTTCCCCTGGACAACTCATCCCTGGCTAACTCATCCCCTAGACAACTCATCCCCTGGATATTTCATCCCCTAGACAACTCAACCCCTTGACAACTCATCCCCCAGACAACTCATCCCCTTGATAACTCATCTTTTATCAAATGAAGCCAAAATAATTGTTTCTTGAAAATCTTTCGCTCTATAACAGTCGAACGATGCCATTTAAACTTTCATCTCTTGTCCTTATATTACATTACTTAATATGTCATGACAAAAAAAATAGAGTTTTCTTTCTGCATCACTTTGAAACATGAACTTCAGTAACTTCATCTATGAATGCTGTGAAAAAATAATCTTTGGATTAAAGAATATTTGAACTATGAACAACAAACATAGTATGACATCAAAGGAGCTTCTTCAATCAATGTTAATAAAATATATTGTAAATTAGAATTAAAATTAAAGGTAAATATTTACAAAACAAATTACAGATTTATTAGTTGATTATCTCCTTGACAATATCATATTTTTTCAACAATTTCCCAGATTTCCCCTTCAGAAATTCATTGTTCATCATTTGTACTCCACTCAATTATGCTTTTCCCAAAATCAGGTATTTTTGGTAACAAATCGTCCTTTTTTCTTTTCCTTATTTCACGATTTGTAGGCAGAATTCCCACTACATTTTTATCACAAACGTGTGTCAGTATTATCTGTTCAAGAAAAGTAACAGAAGACGGAACAGTTTAATCGTCAATTTAATACCTCATTATTGTTATGTAAATGGAAAGAGTTAAAAGTGCAGATCTTAATCGTTTTTTAAGTTCTGTTTACGTAACAAAAGTGAGGTATTAAATCGATGATTCTGTTGTCTTCTGAACTATTTGTTCACAAACATATACATTTTCTGAGACACATTTGTGATAAAAATGTTGTTGGAATTCTGCCTCCAACTGGTGAAATAAGGAAAAAAAATCGTATCTTCGAGGCTCTGACATTTTGTTACAGAAACGGATCATATATTTCGGTAACAAAATGTCGTGGCCTCGAAGGTACGATTATAATCAAGTGGAGTACCAGTTATCATGTAATATATGTTTTTGAAACTTAAAACTGATCATATTGATAACCAAAACATTTAAAAATCATTTGAATAATATATGAATTGATAATGTAACATTTAATTACTCAAACATGCCAGGATGAGGTGTCCAGGGGATGAGTTGTCTAGGTGATGAGTTGTCCAGGGGATGAATTGTCTAGGGGACGAGAGACCTTGTTGAAAAGGCGGGTTTAGTTCACGGAGACCTCACTAGTTTGTTTTGCAATTTCTCTGGTTGGATGTGGTTAGTCAACGTGCTTTGCAACCAGATCCGCAGATAGAAGTATTTTTAAGTACAGTACATAAAGTTCAGATTAAAGTGTCAACATTTAAAGGCGAAGTCCGACCCAGGGTGTGGTTAATCAGAAGTCTCCACCTGCGACACCATCCATGTAGAGTGTGTAACATTTGTTGTAAATTATCTGTTGAGCTTACAATAAGCACTATGTTATCAACATAAGGGAGAATGCCCATACGAGAATTGTCCAAAAAATTGAAATGACCGCGAGTTGTATGTAGAATGAATCGGGGGAGTTTTTCACGCATCACCAATACCATGGGCTCTACCTGATAGAGCCCATGCCAATACCCACCATAAAACGCTTTATTGACTATCACGATTACATCATAAAAAAAATCAACATTTCTTATTTCCTAAGATAGTCTATGGATAAACACCCAGGTATTGTTATTTTTCCAAACGTCAGGGGTACCGTGAAATATTGATAATCAACGCTTTTGAATATATAAATGCTGTTTTAAATAGGTTTCATGTCCGCCAATAATTTCCCAAGTTTTGTTATCCGGGCACTTTCCTTAATCTGTCTCAACCAATCGGATTGATTTTCACTGTTCATTGTTATTGTGCAATGTATATGGTGTATAGAGGGGTCAGTTTTCTCATACCTAGGTACATTTTTCTGTACCGTTTTGCGGTTATTTTTCTCTATGACATTGCAATCCGTTCACATGATTTGCTACAAGATTGGTTAACTCAAATGTATTTATACGAATTTTGCCAATGTGACGATATTCATGAAGATCGTCAACGTAACAAAAGCGAGGGACTAAATATGTGAATTGCGTCTTCGTTAATATACCAAACATAGAACCGCCTGCATATTCTCAAACTAGACTATCTTCCTTAACTCTTAGCCAAATTATTGTCCACAACTTGACTCATAAAAGGTATAGAATCGAGAAATAAAAATAGATTAACGAAAACGATGACCGGAAGTTCTTCCATCGTGTTACGCTGACGTATAGCGTAACTAGGTGAGTACCAGTGCCCTTGGTACATGTAGTTCAACATGCCCGTTTATTTCTTTAAAAAGCAAAACAAATGACGTCATTCAAAAGTCTGATCTGAACATTAATTATTGAAACCAATCCAATCTCAATCCAAATTGGTTTCATAACTTTGAAATTAAAAACGAATCGGATATCAAAATAAGTAAGAACTTTCTTCTCATTCCATATCGTATTAGCCTAAATAGGGTGTCATGATAAACCAAGCTCTTTTAGAGACTAAAATAGGAATCAACAGATGGCAGGCACAAACGTTATGAAAGTCTCATTGCTCAGCTCTGATATTGAATTTTTTGATGCATTTTTTTGAATTAATCAATTATCACATCATTTCACAATCTCTTTTATATTTGTATATCTTGCTAAAGATATCCTTGGGCAATTTTATGAAAACTTTTGATAAATTTGAGTCATTTATTGCTGAGAAATTGTTTACTAAAAGTGTGGCGCTATTTGGGGACACCCGATCATCCTCCGATCACAGGGCTTCAAAATCCAGAATATATTCTTTCTTTTACCCCCTGCGATAATTAGTTAGCATTTCTCCGATTAAGAATTCGCAATCTGATTGGCTGTCGCAACACGGGTGCTTCCAAATTGGTTATAGCAGGGGAAAGAAGGAGGCGCTTCCAAATTGGTTATAGCAGGGGAAAGAAGGAGGTACGGATCCTGGATACCCGCTTAGGAGGATGACACCCGATATACTAGATAATGTATAGTAAGACGGCGTTCAGATTATTAATTGCTTATATACGATAACAGAATCCATGATGTTTAAATGGTTATAAGAAGCAGCCGAGGAGGGAATCATAACTGCAAACTGGGTATGTTGAAACACAAATAAAATTAGAGCTGTCTTTTCATTTCTTATAATAAGATAGGGTAGTGTTTAAATTACTTAAATTGTTTAAATTGCTAATATAAAGATGACAAGGTCGATGAAACAGCAGATAATCGAATTACTCATTATATATATACATTATGTCATACAAATCAAATATGGAGGAAGTCCTGCATTACATTGACATGTGCTTTAAGAAAAGAAACCTATAACATCGCAACCATTACAACACAATATCTTTGTAGATTAATGTGACTGTATAAATGTAACTGTATAAATGTAGTTTGTATAATTGTAGTCTGGCCATGCCCTGATAACACAGTGGCTGTGCCTTAATAAACTCTAAATTCTATATCGGTATTTCAACTAAAATGAGAGAATGAAGCAAAACCTGCCTAGTGAACAGATGTATTTCTAAATCAGTCAATGTCTAAATCTCTAATTTTACAGAAGATAACATCAAATACTACTGGTACAGAAATTGTTTATAGCAAAACTCTTGCGACGCTCAACACATTGCTTATAGCAAAACTCTTGCGACGCTCAACACAATTGTAACGTACAATGGCATCTAATATAATGAAGGTATGGACATTTTGAATCGTATAAGAATCATGGCAAAAACAGTGAAACAAACCACTGAATCCTGGAAGCAGGATTCATATGCGCATATAAATCGAGGATTCATACACGATTTGCTGTTAAATTGTTTACAAATGAATCCTGCTTTCAGGAATCATGCAGGATTCAAAGAAGGTAGTTTATGACTGACCGAATCCTGTAGCAAGGCTTCACGTGTAAGATAGTTTAGTTTAGTTTTTAATTATCTATAGTGGGCTTGGGTTTATTAACCACTGTTAACAATAGGAAATACAAAATTAATACACGAAAATCAATATCACATGTTGTAAATGAATCATATCTATTCACGCCCGGTGATCGTACAAATGGGATCGATGGAGGGGGATAAGGCGGCGATTTCTACAAGAAAACTCAACAAAGGTCCATGTGTAGTACGGCAAGTGATTTTAGACAGTCATATCGTTCACCATGAGTACTTTCTGGCCATAAATACAATGGTTTTTATTAAAACAATATGTTTTCTTTCATGTGAAGTCTCCATGATAATAAAATATCAATCCAACTCTTTGAAAAATTAAAGATTAGGGCCCCACCTTGCACTTTTTAAAAACGTTATGCTCAGTTTCTAAAAAGAGGATCTTGTTTTCTCAATTTAAACATATCGAAAGTTTCTTCTACTCTACAGTAACCAAAACATGATTGTGGCACCTGTCATTAGAAGCAAAGGAAATCATAAAAACTTGTCAATGTTGCAACTTCTGGCTCAGATATGCTTATTTTTGACGTGCGGCCAGTCGCCGAGATGCCACTGGCATAAACATCAATATAGTCCATTTGTCACCCCTATACATACTATAGTGAACCTATGAATTGTTAAAAACACGATGTTTTATGGTTAATTTATAATAACAAGGGTTTTCTGAAGTGATTTAACTGGGTTGGACAAAAAGTTAGTTTGGGGAAAAAAGTATATCGGCTGATTAGGGAGGGGTGCATTGGCTTAACATGGCGTTGATTATTGACTTAGTTTCGGGATACCACCATGTACCTGGTATGTTACCATGGTGATAGCTACAAAAAATTTCCCCAATGTTAATTTTTTGGCAACCCAGCTAAATCACTCCAATAAACCCTAATAATAGTATTTGCACAGAAAAACATCATGTTTTTAAATATTCATACGTTAAGAAAATGACAAATGGACTAATACACTTTAAAACAATTTATTGACTATGGGATTGCACCATATACTCCCCAAAAATATTTCTCTGGGAATTATTTATAATCACGATCAACGCTTTGAATCTGATTTAGAAAAAAAGGAACGGCATAAAATTAGATTTTTCCAAGGCCCTTGACACAATTAATCATGACATTTTGAATGAATGGAATGTTGTAACTATAACAATGTGGAAATAATGGGATCACTTACTACTATACTTTACAGGTTATTAACAAAGGAGATCATAAATCACATCCACGGCTATTTTTAGCCATTTTCGCATCTTAATGTGCAATGTAATTTACAACATAATGAAAATATAACAGAATGATTCAAAGTATGTAACTGATATGTAGCTAAGAGTAAATTGCAACACAATTTCTAGTTTCTGAGAAATAAAATGTTATACTATCTATTGGTTGGCTTTATTTATCTTGAAATATTTTCCATAAATGAGTAAATATAGAGCACAAAAACGTGATTCGACATGTACCTATAGAAACATGATTGTGGCACCTGTCATTAGAAGCAAAGGAAATCATGAAAATTGGTCAATGCTGCAACTTCTGGCTCAGATATGCTTATTTTAAACGTGCGGCCAGTCGCGAGTTTACTGGCCGAGATGCACTAAAATGTTGTTTTTCTCAGCCAATACTCAACCAATGTCCAAAATGTTTTAACTTTGTGATAGCCAGGCCTATTATTATATCTAGGATGTTCGTTTTGCAAAATTGTTATTTGGTCAGTATACCAGGTCCTAGACTGTGTTTTGTCTCCCTCCCTTTATTTCTATTTTTCGATATTTTATTTCTTCAAACTGCATACTGGTATGACTCGTTTCTCAAAATCTCAAAGAAAATCTGAATTTATTGAAGCAGTCGATGATAAAAAGTCTTTAAACTTCTACAAAAAGTTGAAAGGAAGGGAGTTGTTTGTTAAATGAATTGGGGGAGTTTTTTCATGCATTTCGCTTATGTTTTTCATCAAAATAAAACAACAATACACTTTAAAACAATTTATTGACTTTGAGATTGCACCATATACTCCCCACAAATATTTCTCTGGGAATTATTTATAATCACGATCAACGCTTTGAATCTGATTTAGAAAAAAAGGAACGGCATAAAATTATATTTTCCAAGGCCTTTGACACAATTAATCATGACATTTTGATACATACACTTGAATATTATGGCATTAGAGGAATAGCTAAGTCCTGGTTTGAAAGCTTTTTAAAAAACGTAAACAATGTGTCACCATTAACAATAATGAATCTAGACAATCATCTCTAAATTGTGGTGTTCCGCAGGGCTCGGTACTTGGACAACTGTTATTTATTCTTTACATAAATGATCTGCCTATTGTTGCCCCTAATCTAAAATTTATCATGTTTGCTGATGACACCAATCTTCTTGATAGTGACTACAATTTAATTGAACTTATGACTAGAACTAATGCAAACTTGAATTCAATAGATGACTGGATAAAAGCAAACAAACTTTCACTTAATAATGGCAAAACCAATGCTATTCTATGTGGACCCAAAAGTCATCGAACAAATCTGAATCTTAAAATACGCAATGAGAAAGTAGATTTCCTTGAAAAAATTGACTTTCTTGGAATTATTATCGATAAAAACCTGAAATTTAAAGAGCATATCAAATCTGTTGAAACAAAGATTTCTCGCGTTATTGGTTCTCTTTATCACATTTAACATCTACTTCAAATAGACAGTTTCAAAACAATTTAATACTCATTGATACACTCTCAATTAAATTATTGCAACATAATCTGGGGTAACACATTTAAATCATTCTATGATTGTCTACATAAACTGCAGAAACAATTCTTAAGGCTAGCTTTAAATAAGGACAGACTTTCTCACTCCACTCCCTTATTTAAAGATCTTAAAATATATTAAATATTTTTGACATTAACAGATATTCTACTGGTCAGTTCATGTACAAAGTCTTGAATAAACACCCCAGTCTTCCAAAAAATCTATTTCAAGATTTGTTTGATATAAACATTAATGTTCATCATTATTACATAAGACAGTTGAATTATTTTCATACCCCTAAATGCTCATGTCAACCAAACTTTCCTTTATACAAATACGATATTGAGAGACCTAAACACAATTGTGTTTATGTCGTTTTGTTCCAATGAGGTTCGGAAAGATGTTTCATTAATTCATTCCGAAAATATGATTCCAAGAACAAAATAATTGTTTGATGTGTTTTCTAAAACAATACAGAGAAAATGATATATATATATATTTCAAATTATAATGTTACCATCCAAAGATGACCATTAAATTGATGATGTGTAAAATTTGAGGAATGTTTTGATGACTGGTTTAAGAGAAACGCGTGTTCAAAAAGTTCACCATATCAATACCACTCCTTTGCTTGAGTTTGAAAAACCTAAAATTGATTCTTTTTCAACGAATTCACGCGTGTATTTAAGCTAAGATTTAAAATCTGATTTACATTTGTATTATTTCAGGATGTCATGTTGAAAATGCTGGTGGCGTGTGCTCTCCTAAAAGCTGTATTTCCCTTGCAAAACAGCAACATTATAGACATGAGCGAGAACAACATTACTATAGTAAGAGATGGCATGTTCAGTAACCACACACATTTAGAATATTTGGACCTGAGCAAAAACAAAATATCTGAGATTTTATCCGAAGCATTTTCAGGTCTGGAATCATTAAAAACACTCAATTTGGAAGGAAACGATCTAAAAATCTTAAAAACAGGAATTTTCAGTAACCTGATATCCCTTTGGTACATTCACCTTCAGGAAAACGAAATATCAGGGATAGAAAGTAGTGCATTTTCAGGTTTACTGTCATTGCATGTTCTTAACCTTCAAAAAAACAAGATTTCGGTATTGAAAAATGGAAGATTCAAGAACCTTGCATCCTTAACAATTCTCAACCTTTACGACAATGGCATTTTAGAGATTGAACCTGAGGCTTTCTTTGGTTTGCAAGCATTAGAAATGCTCCAATTGCGAGGAAATAAACTCAAAATTTTGAAAAGTGGAATATTCAGTAACCTAAACTCCTTGAAACGTCTTATACTTAACAACAACGAGATTTCAGTCATAGAATCAGATGTATTTTCTGATTTGCAATCATTAGATAGATTGGTACTATTTTCTAATAAACTCACAAATGTGACACAGCGCGTGTTCGGTAATTTATCCTCTCTTTATAAAATCGACCTCTCACATAATAAAATATATATGATAGAACTTGGGTCTTTCTCTGATTTGAAATATTGTGACTCGTTATATTTGTCTCAGAATAAACTCACAAAACTTTATTCTGGTATGTTCAGCGGCATGTCCTTATTACGAAATTTGTTATTAACTTTCAATCAAATAACAGATGTTGAATCTGGCGCTTTTGTTGGACTAAAAAGTCTTGAATACCTCTTTCTAGATAGAAATAACTTGAGTAAAATACCAACTGATGTTTGCGAACATTTACCAAAATTAAATTATTTATCAATCATAAGTAACAACATGACGGGTGGCCCCTCTGAATACACAAGTAGTAATGAAATAAGGGAACTATGTTTAATCAGGAAACCTAAATCCCATCTTATGACGTCAACAATAAAACATACGCCTGTCAATACTGAAACGCCATTTGTCAACAAGGCTACAGTTTCACCCTCTCAAATAAGACAACCATTGATTTTTATGTGGATACTGTTAGCTAAGCTATTTACTTGAGTCGAGTGTCTCTGACCTAGGTTTTGGGCCGACGTAAAGATGTCAGCAGTGGTAGAAATTGCCATGCCCTCTTTGTTTGAAAACTATTTCTATCGCCCTGGCTTCAGCCTATGATGATTGTACGAGGCAGAAGTGGTAGAAACACACGTTGATTGCCATGCCCTCTTTATTTGAAAACTCCTGGCTTCAGCCTATGATGATTGTACGAGGCAGCAATGGTAGAAACACACGTTGATTGCCATGCCCTCTTTATTTGAAAACTATTTCTATCGCCCTGGCTTTAGCCTATGATGATTGTACGAGGCAGAAGTGGTAGAAACACACGTTGATTGCCATGCCCTCTTTATTTGAAAACTCCTGGCTTCAGCCTATGATGATTGTACGAGGCAGCAATGGTAGAAACACACGTTGATTGCCATGCCCTCTTTATTTGAAAACTATTTCAATCGCCCTGGCTTCAGCCTATGATGATTGTACGAGGCAGCAATGGTAGAAACACACGTTGATTGCCATGCCCTCTTTATTTGAAAACTCCTGGCTTCAGCCTATGATGATTGTACGAGGCAGAAGTGGTAGAAACACACGTTGATTGCCATGCCCTCTTTATTTGAAAACTATTTCTATCGCCCTGGCTTCAGCCTATGATGATTGTACGAGGCAGCAGTGGTTGAAACACACGTTGATTGCCATGCCCTCTTTATTTAAAAACTCCTGGCTTCAGCCTATGATGATTGTACGAGGCAGCAATGGTAGAAACACACGTTGATTGCCATGCCCTCTTTATTTGAAAACTATTTCTATCGCCCTGGCTTCAGCCTATGATGATTGTACGAGGCAGCAGTGGTTGAAACACACGTTGATTGCCATGCCCTCTTTATTTGAAAACTCCTGGCTTCAGCCTATGATGATTGTACGAGGCAGCAATGGTAGAAACACACGTTGATTGCCATGCCCTCTTTATTTGAAAACTATTTCTATCGCCCTGGCTTTAGCCTATTGAGATTGTATAACTAAAAGAATCGAAGCAGTCAAATATAAGGTATAATTGACAAAAAAGAGTACAAATTCTGATACAATGAAAGAATGACTGGAATGATAAGAGACTATATGTATATTACTGTAATAACTATATCTGAAAGAAAATTTACATGGTTCTTTGATTCATATTGGTCAAAAAGGATGTGTCGCATGAAGATATATCACATGGACTAATAAATGATTATAGAAGACATATATTATAGTTTTTGGTTTTAATGTGAGAAACTATAATAATATACAGACTGGCTTATAATAAAAATGTAACAAGTACAAAATGGTCAATATCTTTATAATTTTGGTATTAACCCTACAATATACTTAAGCACTCGATGAGCAAGCTCTCTCAGTTAATTATACACCAGCAGATTCCATATCCATGCATGGTTGGCTGCATAGGGCAGATTTTATTGACCTCACTTGCTCCAACTTCTCAGTGGTTAAACAGAACAAAGAAAAGGAGCACTCCTTTTTATTCACGGTTGAAGATTGACATTAAGTCTTACCGATCCATTCTGCAATTTTCCTATCTGTCTTCCACATAGTCACCGTGCCTATCCAATCAGACATGAGCTCCCCTCAACATATCTTTAAAAGCACGTCTGGTGAGCCCCCTGTCTTGTAGTGCCACAATGGCTAATAATTTTGGCTAAAGTTCATTCAGATCAGTTGGGTGTGTTCGAAAGAGCCTGTTCTTTAGGTGGCCCCACAAGAAGAAATCCAGGGAAGTTAAGTCGGGTGACCTATGGGGCCACTCAACTCAAAGTGTTCTGCTAAACCTCACATGCTGAAAATGACCATTCTGCTGGTGTTGGAATCTCATCTAGGAACGGCATGCCTTGATCACTGATCATATCGAGATTGCAGAATGAATCAACTGAATGTCAGTCCTCAACTGCGTATAAAATCAAATGTCAAATAAATGTTTCCTCTTTATTCTGTCCAACCCCTTAGAAGTTGGCGCAAGCCAATTGCATATGTCAATAAAAGCTGGCCTGTGCAACCGACCATGGAAGGTTTTTGAATATACAGGGTGTCAAAAAATAACGGCATCACTGAATACAAATTCTTTGACTTCTCCTAAATCTAAGAAATGGCATAATGGGTATAATGATGCCGTCCACGAAATCATAGAATATAATATGGTTCCTTCAAAATTATCGACATAATTGTGTTTTAAATGTTGGTTTTTCGATTTTGAATTTTGTTCTTGCTTTGAACAGCTACGCGTGGCTGCGCCGCGGCTCCTCTGTCCACCTTGTATAAGTGAGTTACGAAATCCTTCTTATTTAAGAAATATAGACCGAAAAGCAGGGGTTATATCGTCGAATACACCCCGCAGGGCTAGGCACAAACGTTTTCTGCATGGCCGTAGGGACCAGGGGTTCGATGGGTTCGAACGAACCCCCGGTCAGGGTTTCCCAAAAAATATTTGTTGAAAATTCATTGCAATAACCAGAAACATTCATTCAATTTATATGACCATATCAAAGTTACACTTCTCTCCAAAAGTTTGGCAACCTTAGGCACGGGATAGGAATGTCTAATTTTGGGTAGGCCCCGGATCATCATGACATTATGCAAAGAAATATCAATAATCTCGCACAACTTATTTTCTAACTTAAAAGCTGCTTCACCTCCGGTGAAATAAACCAACTGTCTTAATACTGATGAAACACATTTTCTTTCAATCTATGCGCCTTCGATTTGTTTTATTACAAACAAAAATTCTTGTCTGGAGCTGATAAGTCCCCAAGAGCAATTATTAAGTAATTTTGAAACATTTTGAAATGAGTTATTATATAAAGCATACATGTATTTCATTTATAAACGCAAGCATTTGATCGAATGGGTGTAGTATTTATTATCCATCACTTCGATTTCTTATATTTTTGAGAATAAAATTGTCCAAAAATGTAAAAATGCTATTTTCTGAAATTGAGATTTCTGTCTTTGCCATTATTTGAGGCATTTCTGTATTAGTCTTGCACACGTTTCAAATCGTGCGTCCAAAAAAGGATTTGACAGCATTCTTTAATAAAATAAAAAAGCTCTTTTCTCAAAACAAAGTCTATAATGATTCACAAATTCTTCTAAAATGTTTTCATTTCTCAAAACAATTCTCGTCATTATTAATAATAAAAAAAACGGCGAACATTGATTATAGGGAATGGAATGTTTTCAAAGTTATTAAAGAGAGAATCAGATCTAGCGAGCAGTATAACAAAACATTGTTTCAATCTTAGAATATTTCTGGCTTATGTCATTCCTTTTCATGTTTATTTTCTGAAAATCCCTATAGTTTCAGGAAAACTAAGAATTTTACAATAATGTATTATTTTCTATAAGAATGGTTACCATTCTTATTACTTGGGAGAATTAAAAAAAATTCACCAATTTTTGCACTTTGGATCCATTATAACTTCACTAATTTAAAAGATATCGTGAATCATTTGAGAGATATTGTATTTTAGGAATAGATTGGTAGGTGAATTGTTCATGTTACTTCGAAATTTGTCACCCCCATAGATCTGATGCTGCCTTTAAGTATAGATTACTTTTTATTTTCAATTCAAAGAAACAACAAATAGGTATTTTGAGCACTATGTAATCTTTGTTGCAAGGCATTGCAATTTAAAAAAGGTTACTTTTAGAGTCTACGGAGCGAAATGGATATCTTGAGTACCAACTGAGAGTATTCATGTAGTAAAAAAGACGTTTATATGTGCGCCATGATTAAATAAATAATACTCTTCGAAAATATTTGCTATTAAACATCTACTATTCAGTAACTAACTATAGGTGCATGAGGTCATTATGAACACTCCTCTATTATAAAATGAAATACCAAATAAAATTCTTTTGATTTGGAATTCTTTTCAAATCATCATCTTACCTCAGTTTTGTGGTGTGGGAATCTCATGTTTCAGAATTTGACATATTTAACTTTTTTTATTTATTTTTACAGGGTGGTCCAAAAAAATGGGACACTCGTATTTCAAAAATAAATATTGATTTTCTTGATGAAAACATGTCATATTATATACCAGTGGATAGGGAATTTACTTATCTTTAATTTGGTATATCATAAGTTCAAATTTATTATAATGTCTGTCAACCAGCGTCCGTTATATAAATGACGTCATTTTAGTTGGACCACCCTGTATTTATATAGTATTTAAATCTGTGGCCCGGTTAACCTGACATTGTGTGCCATTTTAACAGAAGTATTATGAATTGACATACATAGGTGTTACATAGTTGAAAGCATACAACCAAGTGAGGCTCGCACGACTAGTAGCATGTTTGTGGTGCTCCAAGGGTGTAATGGCTTAGCGGTTACAAAATGCTGTGTCTAAATTTTCAGCAAATGATTTAATATTGAACTCTGAAGTCTCGATGAATTAGGAATGCGGATTTCTTCCTCAAATATATCTCGTTATAAAAAAATACGTTCCTTAAAGATATGTTGGGATTTGCCCTTAAATGTATGTTAACTCTGGATTTGGATTTCATTTTACAAATGTTATATTAAAATGTATGATTTTGCTTTCAGATTTCAGGATATCTAGTAAAAGATTCATCGAAAACTATTTTAATATAGAAAATCAAATTGTCTAACTTTTTCAAATTCAATTGTATTTTGCGAAAACAAAATGCAGGTATCAGAAATGATGTCAATTAATTTTTTCCAGCCCTAATTTTAGATTACCTTTTTAATTACCAATACAAGAAAGCCCCTTGTGACTCTTGGTTCAAAAGTTCACCTATTTTCGAAATGGCCATCTTGTTGTCGAGGAAAATTCACCTTTTATGAATTTATTGTAGTGACTTTATGAGTAATTTCGAATGGCCTGCATTGCAATAACTCACGTCACTGTTATAACAGTAGTTTTATGAGATCATATTGTAAAAAATCCGCAAAAATTGTATCTGCGTTTTTATTGTCGGCCAAATTAGGATTTTGGATCCTAAAACCTCGCTTAAGAAGTCTTCTCTATAGATTTTAAGCCAGACCTCTGTTGATATTATTTTAGTTTTAGGTTACCCTTGACATATTGTATTGTTTTGTTTAATAGTATCCATCAATCCATCCATCCATCCAAACACCCACCCACCCATCAACCCATCCACCCACCCATGACACAATGAAAAGTAGTAGAATTTTCCGCTTTTTTATTGTTACAAAATTTATGGCGTCGTTCTGAATATGGTTCAGGGTTCACTACTACATCATATTTACATTTTGAGGAGGGAAGAAGAAAGCATTTAGACCTGACTTAGGTTAAAGAATAGAATTTTCTGTATGAAGTAAGAACATCCACTTACCAAATATTTATTTACCAAGTGTATACAATGGCATTGTTGCCACTATTCATGACTTTCGTTTTGGCAAGAGAACATGTACATACTGTATTTTCCTCTGTTTATTCATAGTAGGCTTCTAAAAGGTTTTTAAAAACTAGACGTCTGTGTTGATTTTGTTGCCTCGTTCATCAAAACAAGTATCCTGGTTTTTAACGAAACCACTCGTCATTTTGTTGACGTACTTTAATTAAATGAAGCCTGCACGATCATTAGACTCCAGATTTTTATCTGGAGTCTGTTGTTCTTTCTTTCTTTCTTTCTTTCTTTCTTTCTTTCTTTCTTTCTTTCTTCTTCTTCTTCTTCTTCTTCTTCTTCTTCTCTTTCTCCTTCTCCTTGTCTACCCTTTCAATGTCAAGGGTATTAGTAGAAATTTTGTCACTAAAAGTTATGGCGTTGTGAAATCTCAAAAATCGCTTTTAGTTCCCCATGTTAAATCGGACTGAATAATTTTTCGAAGTGTAAAATTACGAGATATAGACTAAGAACAGCTAAACAGAATGGAAGCCCATAAAAGAACGGGACCTCAAAATTTGGACACCAAAATGCCTAGGCCAAAATCTAGGTCAAATTCAATGCTTTTCCTTATATTTGCGATTCTGACACTACACTTTAATTATATTCTTCGAAAGTGTGTATACATGTAGTTAAGAGCTGTGCTAATAGTGTTAGCCTTTTGCCGTCAGAAAGTATTTTGACCCACTTTTGAGATATGGTGTCGGAAAAGTAGGTCAAAATAATAAGTTCTCCAAATTTAACGTATGAGTTATAAATGAATGAGAGAATTTTCTCAGAAATCCGAATCTGCAAACTAAAAATTATACAATGTAGCACGGGGACTATACAATCATTACATACATGTAAACTTACCTGGCAAAATAATTTTTTGCGGAAATTAGAACCACCGGGTGTAGAAATTAATCCATATAATAACTATAACAAACGGATCAATATTAATGAGTACTTAACTCATTTGCAAGAATTATATATAATAAGGGATTAAAGTTTTGTATATTGCTCTGGCATGTCAAAAGGTATTTTTTGTAAGTTTGCTCTACCATTCACAAAACTTATTAATTGATCTGTCAAATGAAACAGTTGCAATAAATGTGGCAGTTTCTTTATCTTTATTATCAAATCAACTGAGCATACCGAATCTTTCAAATTTCGTGAATATATTTGGAAATGAGAAACAAAACAAGACCCAATTTGAAATAGAAACAAGGCTATCTCTGATAAAATGCATAACAGAAAACATGTATTGTGAAATATATTGTTTTCACGTTTAACTCAGTAAAGTCACCTGAATAATGTATGTCCCCTAATATCTTATTACACGATTGAGAAGAGACTGGGGCAATTCATCATATTACAGGCTCGTTGCCAGCTTTCGCCTGGGGGAGGGGGGGGGGGCTCACGTACTTTCAAAAAAGTTCATATTAAACGCAATTGATATTTCATGCAAAGATCATGTAGAATATAGATCTTAGTGTCAAGGTTATCTCATTTGATTTCACAAAATGGCTAACCTTATAATCACTATTTGAACCAGGGGCAGAGTCAGTAATTGTTCAGGGGGTGGGATTTCTTGGGTTTGCATCAATGCAAACGAAGCGAGGCCCGGAACGACGTTTACCCCCGGAATTTCTGGATGTCAATGTCAATGTTTTTTTCATATTTTGCAAAATTGTTTTTTCTTTTTGAGAGGGTGGGGAATGCAAGCGCACATGTCACCCCCCCCCCGCCTTGGCTACTCCCATGCGAACCTACACTCAGACGTAAAAAGGTATGGGAATTATGTTATAATGATCATGACATTTATAATGAGACGAAATATAGCCTGTATAACTGTTGATTCCAGGGTTTTGTCTCTTCATTCTCATATTATCAAATTATCAAAAAATGATATTTTGATTCACAAAACTGCACCGAAACATAGAAAAGTACACGAAGGCAACCGCATTTACAATCTATAGTTCTGAAAAAGCAGGATAAAAAAGCCAGTTTCAAACTGAAGTTAAAAAGACGGCTTTTTGATACCCAGTTTGTAAAGTTCAAATAAGAATACTATCTTTATTTTCTATTTAAACTTAAATCAATTTATTATAAACAAACTATCCGGGCAAACAATGACCAAGCATCGGGAATAGAAAACTCATGTAAATGAGTTATATAACCTAAGACAATGAAATCAACACTGATGGAAACATAAACACTATGAAATCTTCTTTCGACTCCATTACCTATTATAATTTTTTTTAAATACCGACTTTACCGGGAGGACTTTAACATGGGCTTTAATTCAAAGGCAAGAATGTGTTTTGATAACTTATTAAGCGGATTAAAAGCTGTTGGACGTTGCTCCAGTGATTTATATTTTATGAATCTGAATTGATGCGTGGATTATAATTGAAATCGAAAACATGACCAAAAGAGTCTAGACTTCCATTTGCTTTGATCATGAGGAATTGAAACAATCAAAGCGGCGATTTGAAAAAGTAAAAAATTGAATTTCCATGCATAATCCAAGATTTAATACAAACGGTGTTAACAGGTTGTCAATGTTAAATAATAATACCTTCTCAGGAAGAATTAGGTTGCATTGACTCTTAAAGTAGAGATAACAAGTTCAGCGGTGCAGCCAGCTTTCCGTCGGGGGGGGGGGGCGATATCCATACAAAACACGTGTTTGCACAAGCTATTTTTATTAGCAACTTTTGATAACTACAAGGAAGATCTCTCTTTTCTGGCGCGACTGTAAAGGTGTCCAAAATCATAATTATAGTAAAAATAGATAATTTCAAAATCCATCTAGTTGCTTATTATACACAGGTAAAGTCATATTCATTAAGAACTACGGACGGTACTTACATTCTTTTGTTGTATTGTTTTATCATGCTTAAAAGAAAAATACGCACAAATAGTCTGTTTTTTATTTGTATGCTCAGTTATAAAATGAGCAGTGTAACTTAGAAATAGCTTAATATAGTCAGAAAGAAGCAATTATAATGTGTGACTATATTGCACACTTACAAAGTATTGCGTTTGCATATATTTGAGTATTCTTAACTTCACATATAATCAGTGCTTATTTGTGCTGTTCTACAAATAAAGAGGAGCAATACCTGAATATACAGAGTGTTCCATATACGCAGCGAGTATTGTTTCTGTAATGTCTCTGTTTATATGTGCTGAGTATTTTTGCTGATTACTGCTGATTACAAGAGATTCTTACAAATAGACACTTCTTATAACCAAGCAATATTCTCTATTTTATATAGTGATGGGCACCAAATTTAGCGATTTTTGAGCTTTCAAAACGCCATAACTTCCGAACCGGAAGTCTGATTCGAATTTGGTTTTCAGATTCGGAATCCTGAGAAAATTTCCTATAAGACTAAGATTTCATCTGGAGTCTAATAATAAGAATACTGGCAAAAACAATAGACTCCAGATTGACATCTGGAGTCTAATAATAATAAAGAATACTGGCAAAAACAATAGACTCCAGATTTTCAATCTGGAGTCTAATAATAACATATTCAGTAGCTATGACGAATGTTAAAATAGTATTTAACAAAATACACGTACGTGCTCTAGTAGTAAGAGATCCACTAGTGTTGCCGACATGTTTAGGATGAGAAAAGGTGAGTTTAAATTTTTTGCATTGCACTGCCTTTATAAAATGAATGAAATTGAGATGTATACAACTAAAATATGTCTCGATAATTCCTCGTAGAGTTTACATGGTTAAGTTCGGAGTTTTAACTTGTACGTACTAAATACTATAGATTGATCTATATCTAAAAAATAAAACTGTACTATACTGGTAAAGAATACTGAAAATTTGAATTCTATAGAATGTTAAATTACGTCATATCAACAAAACAAGAAAGCCTCTGTCACATTTGCTCTACGGCGGCCGTACGGTACGGCGGCCGTATGGTGATTCTAACTTCAAATGTTTACCCCAGTACATGTTCCCAATGGAATGACCTAATCTGTATGCCAAAATGTTCTAAATTGACATATCTACATACACAGTTTTTCATCACTGTGGGAAAACAGTTGTAATGGCTATTTTATAACCAATGTGCAAATGTATATAGTATCGCACATAGTCTTTTGATTTCTTATCTTTTATATATGTTTGACGGAGAGAAAAAAGTGAAATGGATATAATATAGTTGAGTGCTATAAATATATCACTACTGAATAGCAGAGTAGGAGCTCATTCATGTCAAAGTGTCAAACTTTGCAAAACCCATGCAAAAATATTCTGGTTAAAATCCATTCTTTCTAGTGATCCTGCACAAAATATTTTGAAGTATGTGAAATGATTTCAAACTAAAATGACTAATGACTCAATGAATTGTGGATGATTAATGCACTCATATCTTGTATCCTTGGGCTACTACTCTCATTTGAAGTCTTGATACAAGACATGCGTGCTTTAAATAATCCATAATTCATTGAGCCTGGGCTTAATTATATTAAACAATTAAACAGGTGTTTGAAACACAGACCTTGAAAGAAGAGGTCAAGGCAATGGCATTTGTTCGTCATGTTCAATGAATTTTAAAGACACCATAGAACATCGTAATTTATATGCCCTTCAACATTAGACTATAGAATAATTTTCTAAAAGGAAATTTCATCTAAATGTAACCTTGAAGTATCATCAGAATTCTCATTCTCAAGCCCTGAATGCAAAACGAATTGGGTTTTGGGAGATAGGGTGAGTGACTCATGGGGCAAAGAACAATGTATTTTATAAATATTAGATCAATGCGCAAAGCGTTTTTTAGTAAAGATATATAATGAAATTAAAGATAAGTTGTATGATTGATGGTTTTAAAATTTATTGTTTTATAATTTAAATGTTATACTATGTAATTTTATTATGTAATATGCCGCACTGGGACCTAAGGACCCATGTGCCACTGCTGTAAAAGTGTGTGCAAATAAATAAAAAAAATTAAAAATAATTACATGATTTTTGTTTTTCAGTAATACCAGCAATATGTTTTGTATTCCTTGTATGCATACTATGGTGGGTACCGAAATACAAGACAAATCGGAAAGATTCCTCTAATCGAGATGTTTTGCAGAACGTGGCCAATGCACGGGGGAACCATGTCAAATCAGGTTTAGTGGATACAAATCAGACAGATTCCTCTCTCCAAGATGCTTTGCGACACATTGCCAATGCAAAGGAAAACCTGGTTATATTAACTTTTGTGGATAAGGCATATTTCAAAATGTTTTGGAATATGAGACTGTCCCTCCAAAAAATAAACAAACATTTGACAGATATTATGTTACCTATATGCAAAGATGAGTTCAGTTTTCGGAAATTGAAATCTATGGATGTTCGATGCTATTTTGCTGGAACTAAATCAAATAAAACTGGACTGGCAAAATATGGTACAATGCAGTTTAACAAAGAGACGAATGAAAAAATACACTGGTTATTGCAATGTTTACAACTTGGGTATAATACACTATTAACTGACGGTGATATCGTTTACAAAAAGGATCCATTGCTGCATTTAAATTGTAACGACTGTGATATAATTATACAGGAAAATAGACCCAAGGGAGAAATCATTGAATACGTTCATGGGGAAGTAAATCCTGGTTTCATGTTTGTAAGAAACACGCATGCTGCCATCCGGGTCTTTGAACATGTAACGATTCTTGCAGCAGACGACCATTTCGCAGCAGACGACCAGGTGTATGTAAATCAGGCTTTAAAACCAATGCTTCAACGAAAAAACAATCATGCTCCTAAAATAAAAGTTTTGGACAGGACAAAATTCGTCACAGGACAGAATTTTGAAAAATATTGGAACCATCGCTCAGTCGTCATGATTCATAACAACTATATGATTGGACTAGATCCAAAGATAGAAAGATTCAAAAGACACGGAATGTGGTATGAGTAGTATGACGCGCGACTTTCAGATACCAAGCTATACCAAGCTACATGTATACCATTCACTTACTATCACCCTCAAACATTTTCACTGGGGAGTATCGTGATGCAACAACACCGTGTTGTTGCATCAAGATGGCCAGACTTCCGGTGATAGATTTTCGTACGATATGTTGTTTCCCCAATTTAAACCCATTTCTAGGACGAGTTTCTCAATAACCATACACGTGAAGTTAGCGCACGGTCTATATTTAAAGAAACTGTCATTAGTATACATGTAGCATCATCAAGAAGCAAGAAGTTCACGGTTTTAGTTCCTCACTATTGATGCAACAACACCAAACCGAAGATGCAACAACACTCCTCTAGATTTGAGCAATGATGCAACAACACCAATTAATAGTATTATTTCAGAAGACCATAAATCTCGGGAGGAACAGATTTTTAAATGCTACTATTGCAACACCGGGCCAGTACCAATTTGCGTTCTTCTCAGGCATTCAAAATACACGTCCTGTGGGCGAAGATTCTATATATGTATTTTCAAAAATTTATACTTTTAAATATCATAATGCACTGGAAGTTGTTTTATAACATAGTTCAATCGCCTTTAACATTGCAAGCTATAGTAACCCAATCTGTTTTCATAAACCCCTGTTCGATAGCTTGATGACCCTGATACCAGTTAGTATCATTCAAAATGGTGGACAAACATCTTTCGTTCTCGGTAAACACGACGAGCTATTGGAAATCTTGCAGGGCGCACATGTAGAAGTATTGTTCTCTTTGGATTCGTTCTCCCCGATTGAGTATAAAGGTAGGTAATAGGATTTAGGTCCCGAAAAGGTAAATTGATAGGGGTACAGTAATCCCAGATTCCCCCTGGGCCCTCGGGAAATATCATAATGTCTCCCGAAATAAAACCAATATTGAATCCCTCTCAGTAAATAACCTCTATATAATAGCATTGTATAACTGCAATATCATTAAACCAACACTTATCGGAAGTTATGGCGTTTTGAAAACTCAAAATCGCTAAATTTGGTGCACCATGTTAAAAGTCAATGGGAAAAATATGTTTTTTGAAGTATAAAATACGACATATATACATGTACGACCGAGTACAGCTTAATTTAATGAAAGCCTTTAAATGACGGGTTCCTCAAAAGCATTCTAGCTTCAAAATTTGGACACAAAAATGTCTTCAAAATCTAGGTCAAATTCGAAGTTTTCCTTATTTTTGTGATTCTGACACTACACTTCAATTATATTCTTCGATATTGTGTATACATGTAGCCAAGAGTGTACTAATAGTGTTAGCCTTTTGCCGTCAGAAAGTATTTTAACCCACTTTTGAGATATGGTGTCCAAAAAGTAGGTCAAAATAAAAAAATCTCCAAATTTAACGTTTGAGTTATGAATGAAGAATATAATTTTATCAGGAATCAGAATCTGCAAACCAAATTTCGATCCGACTTCCGGTTCGGAAGTTATGGCGTTTTGAAATTTCAATAAAAATCGATCTGATGGTATCCTGATAGAAAGTCAAGAGTAGCGAAGAAAATGTTGAAAAATCCATCCATCCTTCCATCCATCCTTCCTATCCTATCCTACTATTCTATCCTATCGTTCCTTCTTATTCTATCCTATCCTTCCTATCCCATCCCTTTTATCCCTATCCGTTCCTTCCTATCTATCCTTCATATCCTTTCCTTCCTATCTTATCCTCCGATGCTATTCTATCCTATCTTTCTTCTCTATTCTCTCCAGTCGTTCCATTCTATTCTGTCCTATCCCTCCTTCCTATTTCATCCATCCATCTTTTTCTGGATGACTCGGCTTAAAAAAGTCTAGATCTGGAGTCTGAAATTGAACTTGTTCAATTTCCAAAGTCTAGTTATATTAGTTCTTTGTAAACAAGTTCCATACTATACGGTAAATCAAGGGGATTTAATTTAGAAAATGAATAATCTTTATTTTTAGATACAATATCAATGAGGTTGGCTCCCGGGGATTCAATACTTAGCCTATGTATTTAGTTTACCTTGTATATCCTTTTAACTTTGATAAAGACAAATACAATAAGGAACCAAAGAAAATACATTTCATTCATGAATCACGCACTCACGCGTTTTATTCATGTCCCGACCAACACCTATAAACAGAACATAAAACAGTTTCTCTTGATATTCAATGATACATTATATTGGCGTTTTTGCATCAGCACATTGGTGTTGTTGCATCATCGATAATAAACAGAGTGGTGTTGTTGCATCAATAGTGAGGAATTAAAACCGCGAATTTCTCGCTTCTTGATGATGCTACATGCATACTAGTGAGAGTTTTTTAAAATATAGATCATGAGCTAACTGTACATCTATGATTATTGAGCAACTCGTCCTAGAAATGGGTTTAAATTGGGAAAACAAAATATCGTACGAAAATCTATCACCGGAAGTCTGGCCATCTTGATGCAACAACACGGTGTTGTTGCATCACGATACCCCCCAGTGATTTTCATATCTTAATTATCTACTAAAAATCATAAATCAGCATTATTGTAAGTTAATTTACGTTGAACCTGCTACTGATAATTAGGCCATAATTATCATTGATTTAATTAACGATTAACTTTAATTCCAGAGAGACAGAGGTCTGTCAGAACTCAAGACAATATTGACAGAGTCAACAGTCAACACATGTTGACTGTTTAATGTTTGAGGGTGATAGTAAGTGGTAAATTAAAACTTTTTTGTTCTGAAGTAGATTATTGGTTGATAGCATATAGGATGATTATAATGTTAATTAGTCGTAAATTAGGCCCATGATTTAAAAATACAAACCCCTTACATTTATTTTCAAGATGGAGGAAAAAGAAAACATGTGAGAGATATTTCTGTAACAACCCTCGTTGTTACTTTTATTATATATGGTCACTTTCTATTATTACAAATATTTTGTAAGGGTCAGTAATTGCATTTTAGATTATTTTGTAAGATTTATAAAGTTCACTTTAACTTTTCCAACTTTTGAATTTGGTGGCAAAACTATTTCCTTGCAGAATAGTTTGAAGACCCTGTAGATCCTATAGCTCTAAGGTCAAGGTCTTAGTCTGTTAGTAGCCAATTAGAATATTAGAATTTAGGGGTTGGTCAGAGAGGCTATTGGAGAGGTTAAGCTACCGTATAAAATCCAGAACGCAACTTAAACGTATCAATGTCCCCTATACAAATACATGTAGAGTTCACACATAAATAGCCGTTCAGCTCTAGTGTTTGTTTAGACTACACCATAGCTTGTAATGATTACATAGTATGCCATTGATGAAGTTCAATAGCTGGTTTTCTAATACATATTTTAAACGAGCTCGTTTCGTAAGATTATTGGAGTTAAATCATGCGTAACATACATCATCTTCTTCAGAAAGAATTATACTCTGCATCGAAATCAAAATTGCAAGGATAGTATTCAACAGACATGAGTATAACGATTCCCGTTGATAGCAACGTGAAATATGTAAATCTCCCGTTCTAAACACGCAACTTTGAAGTTGAACGGGTATCTGAAGTAGACTAAAGCGATACAATCCTATGTTGATTCAATGTACTTTGCGTTTACGTATACGTTTTGAAAAACCGTATTTGCTTAACCTCTCTATTATTATCAAGGGTCAGCGTAAAATCGTATCCTCAAGAATTAGTCCCGGGGACCTTTCAACACTATTATAACACTATCCTCAAGGATTATCCCCCTGAACTTTTAACACTGTCAATATGTCGGCTATCAATACTGTTAAAATACATTAAACATTCCAAAGTCTTGTATTTATCAATGATTAAATTAGTAGAGTGATCTTATGGAATTTATGAGCCCAGATCCAATCAAAAGCAAAATAACAAGCTTTAAAATTGCAAAACACAAATGTGATGTATTAATTTAATGCATAAGTGGTTTATTGAGTATATATAAACATATAATATGATAAATTTCTAGCATCTAGCATGTACTTTAGGTAATTATTACCTTCCCGGGATTTGGGCTTGAGAATACGATTTTACATTTACCATTAACAAGATGAAGAATTAAATTGAATTAATTGTGCGGTTAAATTGGCTAAAATGGTGGACTAATATAAAAAACGTATATATAAAACTATGGCTAGGAAACAATTGAAATATCAATATAATTCATAAAAGTTTATAAAATACAGGGCTTATAGGATATCCTGCATCCCTGTTTAACATTGGTTTATACTGCTTTATATAAACTGCCTCTTTAACTTTACGCTTGAGATTATTATTTTCTGTATCTATCACTGAGACATTTTGCCAGTCAATTGTATGATCATAATCAAGGGAATGTTCTTTTATTGCAGATAAGCAATATAAGCCCTGTATTTTATAAACTTCTATGAATTATATTGATATTTCAATTGTTTCCTAGCCATAGTTTTATATATAAAACATTGGTGTTTCTATGTGTAGTTTATTGTCATAGTTTGTTGTCATAGTTTTTTGTCATTGTTGATTGTCATTGTTTATAATTGTGTTGTTCATTGTCACCTGGGTATTGTATCGTTAAATTATTACGTCATAAATAATATAACTGTGTACTTCCATTTTGAATCTTGAAAAAGCTAGTTGGATTACTGGTGAAACGTCGAAAATAAAACATATTACTCTGAAGTAAATGAACTTTAGTTATTATTAATATATCACCAGAGTGATGAATCTACACAGAAATATGTCTGTTATAATTTTGTAGACCTTATTGTAAATATTCATCATTGTACATATTTCATATCATTTTAGTAGTTTTATAATACAGTTACATAATATATATAATCAAATCATATTCTTTTGTACTATCATTTATGGAGTAGGATAATTTGATAATCAGTAAGATTAAAATTCATAACAACCAACACACTCTCTAGTCAAGGCCATACGCTAACATAGTATTTTAACATCTCGTAATTGTATATTACGTCACGGCTAGGAGAGTGTGACCCCCAGTTGTTACATTTCTCTTATAAAATTGAAAATTACAACTTGAATGGTGTGTATACTACCATGAAAGGTCAACGTTATTATAAGGGTATGTAGAACATGAATACAATGTATGTTAAATCTTATTCACACTTCTGTCTGAAATGATTATGAATTTGAAAATCTTTTTGAATCAGATCATAAAATATTGATCCTAGAATACAATTTGGGTACTAACATGGGTTACTAGTACCTATATTTTACAAATAATCCAAATGGGCTCTTCTAAATAATGATTGTTAGATCAAAGACACATTTCAAAATATATTTTTGATTATCTGTTACCTGGTTACGGCCTTATTATGTAACATTATAGTCTAATGTTTGTGTTCTGATTAGTTGTTGATGGCTATAATGATGTTTATAAATGCTTTTCACGAATCTTAAAAATTTGCAAAATAGAATAGCTGTGAAATTTCATTAGTTCAAGTTCAAGTTTGATCCTAATTAAAATAACATTCAGTCACAAAATAGCTCAAGATGAAGCAAAAATCTTGGGTGAAGGGAAGCAAAAAAGAAGCGAGTCATTTTTGAGAAGTCACAAATCTGCAAAAACTTAATCTAAAGAAACTGAAACATTGACCGTTGTTTAGCTCATTTGCATAATGATGATAATTAAACGTTTATTAAGGTGAAAATTAATCGTTAATTAGAGGTGATAGTTAGTTCATTTGCATGTGAATTTTTACACCTAACTTTCAACTAATTATCAAACTTAAAACTAACTTTCACCTAATTTACGTAAATCAGTGACAATCGACCACTATATTGCTCATTTGCATATTGATGGTAGTTTACCGTTACTTAAGTTGCAAATTAAGCGTTAATTAAGGTGATAGCTAGCTCATTTGCATGTGAATTTTTTACACCTAACTTTCAACTAATTATCAATAGTTAGTTAGGTGATAATTGGAGATAATTTTCCATAGGCTTTTTTCAATTGGGTTACCATCACTTTTCTTCTTTGTTGGTGTTACAGTTCCTTCTGAATCAAACTTTGTGACTTGCAAGGGGCTCTTCTTGTTCTGTGATCTCTCCTATAGGCAGTTTGTGTCTTAAAAACTTGTAGATGATTTTGAAAAAAAAAGTACAGTTTGGAGCAAGATGAAAAAAGGCCTTTTTGACATATTTTGACCAAAAAGTCAGATTTGAACATGTAGATGATTTTGAAAACAATTGAAGTCAGTCTATACAGTATTTGTTAAATCATTGGAAGTTGTAAGAATTTGTTACAGGCGCCGACCGCCGATCGCCAACCACCATCCGACGTAAAAAACGGAGACCATAACAATATGTCACCACTTTTTGGTGGTGACATAAAAATGATGTTTGAAATTCTCTACCACTTCACCCAAGGATAAACAATGTATCATATGTGTTTCTGTGAGTTTTAGCTAAATGTTTCACCTTATAGATGATAAAGTGTCATAATATTCAACAAGTACACATGTATATCTATATTTGTGTAAGACATTTATTTCCATAAAAATATCTTCCACGTTACATTTTATGGAGTCACCCTGTACATTACACTACAAATGATAGTTGACTCAAAAACATTCTAGAAACAATCAATACAGGGTGTTCACAAGCACAAATTGAACAGACTGGACATTCATTGTTTCTTTCATACATAACTGAAATAGTGATTTAATACTGGTATGAAAGGAAGAAACACGCAGTCTGATAGGAAACAAAATATAGTCTCATTCAAAGCTCCATTATTCACAAATACCAAAGTGCTCACTGGTAATGTGAACATACAAAAGATAAATTCACTTTTTAATTGATGTTTCAATGATTGTAACTCGAAGTAAAGTTAAAAGTTGAAAATGTTGAATGGCGAATTGAAATAGATTTTAGTCTGTCCCATAGAGACTTATTCAGTTTCCTATGAGACATTGAACTTATGAAGCCCCCTTCCCCACCCACACCCGACTGTCCTTTAAACCACTTCTACTCAGACAGTTGGCTTATCATTAAAAGTGATACTTGTACACATGAGTACAACTGTCTCTTGTAGCATAATACAGGGCTAACAACTTGTATTTTTATTTTTTTACAAAGTCATAGTCTTTTAAAAATAGTTTAATGCAATAAGGAAACATGCATTATAAATGAATCCATTAAAGTATACATTTATTTAGAGTTTAAAACTTTCCCCACTTTCAGGTTATGTCTTCTTTTTAAAGTATGAAGAGCTCTCCAGTCAGAAGGTGAGAAAACTACTGATTGGAATTTCCTGAATATATTATAAAATGAATGTGCACTGAGCTGTAGAAACATGTATAGTCTTTCACAGTGCTGTGAAATCTCATATAAGGAACACTTCAAATGTTCACAGTACTGTGAATTCTCATATTTGAGACTTTTAGATAAGTTAACTTTTGCAGTACTTTGAAATCTCATACTAGAAGGTTTAGAGAATGGAACTGCCCAAATGTACTTATCCTGTGGTATTGTGGCCTTTGAAACTCATTAAAAGACAAATAAAATATACATGTTAATTTCATATTTTGCCATTCAACGTATACAACATCTTTTTCAATTCATTTCATTTTAATTCATTTTATCACCCTTTTTGTACTGGAGTTTTATTTCAATTTTTATGCGTCTCGAGAGATACTGTAGCCTTACCAAATTGTTTTGATGAGTTAGCTCACTATCTCTTTCGCTATTGTCTTACAGATTATTTCATTATTTTCATCATATGCTTCACAACAAGATACATGGAATAAAATATATTTCCAATTATAATTTCCACTTATCACATGAAAAATAATCCCATAAATGACCTTCAGTTTGGAGTATGAATTGTGACCTTTTAAAAGACAGAGCTGCATAAATTAATGTCTCAAGTCAATGATAAACCAATTAGGGACCAATTATAGGTAGGGAAACATCAATGTGTGATTTTTGAAAAGATTAACCTTGCAAATATGCCCCAGTTTAACCTTGCAAAATATACCCTAGTTTAAACCTGCAAATATACCCTAGTTTAACCTTGCAAATATGCACAATTTTAATCTTGCAAATATACCCCAGTTTAACCTTACAAATATACCAAAGTTTAACCTTGCAAAAAATATACCCTAGTTTAACCTTACAAATATACCAAAGTTTAACCTTGCAAAATATACCCTAGTTTAACCTTGCAAACATACCCTAGTTTAATCTTGCAAATATGCCCCAGTTAACCTTGCAAATATAGTATACCCCACTTTAACATTGCAAATATACCCCACTTTAACATTGCAAATATACCCCAATTTAACCTTGCTAATATACCCCAGTTTAACCTTGCAAATATACCCAAGTTTAATCTTGCAAATATACCCCAGTTTAACCTTACAAATATACCCAAGTTTAACCCTGCAAAAAATATACCCCAGTTTAACCTTGCAACTATGCCCCACTTAACCTTGCAAATATAACCCAGTTTCTTATGTTCACCAAAATGGGCCCGAATTTATTGGAAAGGTATATTGGCAATTATTATAAGGAATGCATTATTGAACATTCTGCTCAAAGAAAGTCCAGGGCTGGAAACGAATAGAATATTTTGGTAGAGTATGAGCGGAAATACACACTGAAAACTGCCACTTTATTCAAAATTAGGTAGGTGCTGTTTATATAAAGTACATCCTCACCTTACAACACGTTCATTCTGTTCCCATGACAACATGAAATATTGAATTGTTACAAATTGATATCTAACGTAACAATCTATTTTTCTAAAATCTGGGTCAACCACAGAAATATTTTACCCCCAAAGTCCATGAATTTAGTTGTGTTTCCTTTTATTTGCTTCTACTCAACGAAAATACTCTAAGCATTTCCACCACCTTGGAGTAAGCCAGGTGAAATATTATCAATCTTTCGTAAGCCATTGTAAAATTTGATTGGTTATAACAATGTAAATCTTGTTTCGCAGTGGATTAATTATGCGCATATTCATGAATGAAAATGATAGACGTAATGACTAAAATTAATAGAATGAGTTACAATTATTTGAGCATTGGTATGGTCTCTCACAATTATCAAAGTGAAAACCTTTTGAACTTCAGAAGTCTATTTAGATAAAAATCCCTTAAATGTAAGAATTTCTAGTTTAAATAAAGAATTCTTGACTCGTTAATATACTACTGATTTGACATACAAATATAATACTTTATAAGAAGTTATATTCAAAATCCCCCAAAAAGGTAAGTTTATAGTGAACTTTTACTCTAAAAGTTGTACCTCCCTGAAGAATTATTTCTTGAAATAACCCGTGGGGCATTAAAATAGCATCTAAAATGTCATGTTGCTTATCAATAAATTCTATGTACAATTTTCTTTTAGTTTTGCACTCATATTTACATCAAGCATCCTTTGGGATAATATACACATGTTACCATGGCAACATCTTACAATTACCATGTCTTTTATATAACAAACCCTTGCAAGGTGAGGCTAGCGATGAGGAAGTGAGGCAATGTCTTAGCCTCGGCAAAAGTGTACAGAAAGTGTTTTGAAACTTTTTCAAACTAAAACTATGAGGATTAGATAATGTGGCAGAGTAGATGTAGATGTTATCCTCTTTGGCCTGGCTCATGCACGCTTATCTGCTGTTTTACATTTTATATTCAATTTATTTCAAATTCTTCTCAAAACTCACAAGTGGAAGTCTTTTTCTCGAGATCCATCAGCTTTATGTAATAATAAAAAGTCCCAAAGTGGAACACTTCCATGTCCCATTTGGGCATTCCATGTTTTACTTAACTAGTTTTACTATCGTGTATAATAATCAGTGCGACAACATGATAATTGACAGATGCTTCAAGGAAACACCCAAAATACTTTTATCGTTTTGGTACATCAACCTTCAACTTGACATACACCGATACATGAGTCTCGTTGTACATGAGTCCCTGCTCAAGTCTCGGCACATGAGTCACTATTAAAGTCTCGTTGTACATGAGTCCCTGCTCAAGTCTCGGCACATGAGTCACTATTAAAGTCTCTTTGTACATGAGTCCCTGCTCAAGTCTCGGCACATGAGTCACTATTAAAGTCTCGTTGTACATGAGTCCCTGCTCAAGTCTCGGCACATGAGTCACTATTAAAGTCTCGTTGTACATGAGTCCCTGCTCAAGTCTCTGCACATGAGTCACTATTAAAGTCTCGTTGTACATGAGTCCCTGCTCAAGTCTCGGCACATGAGTCACTATTAAAGTCTCGTTGTACATGAGTCCCTGCTCAAGTCTCGGCACATGAGTCACTATTAAAGTCTCGTTGTACATGAGTCCCTGCTCAAGTCTCTGCACATGAGTCACTATTAAAGTCTCGTTGTACATGAGTCCCTGCTCAAGTCTCGGCACATGAGTCACTATTAAAGTCTCGTTGTACATGAGTCCCTGCTCAAGTCTCTGCACATGAGTCACTATTAAAGTCTCGTTGTACATGAGTCCCTGCTCAAGTCTCTGCACATGAGTCACTATTAAAGTCTCGTTGTACATGAGTCCCTGCTCAAGTCTCGGCACATGAGTCACTATTAAAGTCTCGTTGTACATGAGTCCCTGCTCAAGTCTCTGCACATGAGTCACTATTAAAGTCTCGTTGTACATGAGTCCCTGCTCAAGTCTCTGCACATAAGTCACTATTAGTCTCTTTGTACACGAGTCACTTCCCTCCAAATTAAGGCATTCAATATTTAATAATTTTGCATAATCACACACTTCTTACCATTTGCTTGTACATTCCCAAATTTTTGTCCCCCTTAATTTTTATGCAGGCCCTGAAATTCTGGATACATCTGTACTCTCTGTGGTGTTTATTTGTGTGTCCTATTTCTGACGTATCAAGGGCATATTGTAGTCTTTTAAAGGGCAGTTGTAGTCTTTGAAAGGGCATTTTGTAGTCTTTTAAAGGGCATTTGTAGTCTTTTAAAGGGCATTTTCTGACAGCACAAAAGTATTCCATGTATCTGATATACCACATATTGAGTGCTACTATGCTTCTTGAGTATGCCCTGAATTCCTCACGTATAAAAAGAGCCTTTATTTCTCTCCTGTCTTAAAATATAATTTATTCACTCCTGATTTTTCGCTAAGTTGTCCTTTCTTACAGACCTTAGTTCATCTTTAGTCATCGTATTTACATAGCAGGTCATATAACACGAGTCATACCAATGAAGATATGCGTCATTCCATTTTCAGACTTGTTTCTGAAGAATATGTTCATAGTAAAAATGGCATATTGCTCTGAAACGAGCAAAGGTTATGCAATGCCATAACTTCATATTGTCTGTAGAATATCTACAGGGAGACACCTGCAGAATTTCAAAATAACCTGCAGATTAAAAAAAAAACTGCAGAATTTCAAAATAACCTGCAGATTAAAAAAACTGCAGAATTTCAAAATAACCTGCAGAATTTCAACTGAAACTTGCAGAATTGCAACGGAAACTTGCAGAATTTCTACTGAAACTTGCAGAATTTCTACCGAAACTTGCAGAATTTCAACCGAAACTTGCAGAATTTCAACTGAAACCTGCAGAATTTCAACTGGAACTTGCAGAATTTCAACCGAAACCTGCAGAATTTCCAGTGACCCCTGCAGAGTGCTATGAGAAGTTGTTGGTATGACCAGGGGAGATGAGCTCGCTGAATGACATCTCAAAGCATCTTTTCAACTCGGCGTATGACACGACAATGACACTTTGCTCATCTCTAGACATCAGAGTCAGCTTTTCAGGAGAGCCAGAATCCAACTGAAATACATAAAAATATTGGACTTAACTTTCATATAAGCCTCTTTATATAGTAGTGCTTTAACCACTCATTCACATATTCTGTGATTCTGCCTTTGCAACTAGAAATTTGAACTGCCATCTTGTGATAGTTCATATGTAAGCACATATTTGGAGACAAATTACACTAGCGGACTATCTTATACATAGCTTTTTTTTACTATATCGTTCATTCATGTTTAAGCCCCATTACACATACAGTAGTCTCTTCATAAATGTAATGTTAACCCATCATACAATTAATGTTATATATACACAAGGCTCTCCATGGCATGGCATTGTTTATAAGTTGTTGGAAATTATAATGGCATTTGTTTACATATGTCTCAGGCTCTAATATTTTAAGCCACTTAAAATATTTGTTTGTATATTTGCATCTCCATACAACATAAGTTGTTTTATGTTTTTCACTTTAAGCCACATACAGACATTTTACCTTTATTTTAAATATACATTGTTAATTTTAGAAAAATGTTTTTCCATAACACCACAATTATTAAGAAAATTGTCAATAATCATGGTAATAATATTAGAATACATATCTGAGTATGTATTCTTCCCCAAATTCAGAATAAATGCTGTTAATCCAGTTTTCATTATTATTATCAGCTATTTTTGGCAGCTGAACCCATCTAAATATAAAGGTAAGACTATTTTCTTGAAATCCCTAATTTCAGCCTCTAAAGTGTGTGAAAATCACCATGTCTATCTTATACTGACCTTATTCATGCACTGAATTATGTGTGCCATGTCTATCCAAGGTGCACCATTTTCATCCACCTGGTGAAAGAGGAAATCCCTGAACAGCTTCAGCATATATCTGTCTCCCGTCTCCGACCAACCTGGATCCATGTTATACCTAAAAAGAAGACACAATTTAAATATCACTGAATCGACTGTGATTAATATCCACATGGTGAAGATTAAACAGAGGATGGTTGACTACAGCATACAGGAATAAACAAGAGATTAGTGCATTAAATCAACCACAATTACCCAGATGCGAGTAAGTAATTTTCAGTTTCACCACTAGGGGGCTCGTTACGGTCAAATAACATGAGTTATATAAGAAAGTTTCCTTAAACTTGAATATCATCAGTTTAAGTGGATCAATTTTCAGATATGATAATCCTCATTATACAAATGAAGACATGTCCAGTAAAAGAAAATATTATCTGCCCAACACAAGAAAAGATATTTCACTTTTTGTGATTTCATAACATGGGGTCTATGGGGAATCTCCCCGGACTAGAAGTCACATTTTCAAAGATTAAATTTTCAAAGTTGGTAAATACTTTTTTAAACCACATTTCTAGATTCAATTTTATGTACACAAACAAATTGGATACATTTGAAGACCAACCAATATAGACAAGTAGTGAACTGCCATACTGCTATACCATTCCTTAATGTCATTACAAAATATGTAAAATATTTCTCGTTTATACTTACTCTGGCCTTTCATTCATGACTCCCATCTTACAGACCAATCGGAAGAGCCGATCACTCTCTACCTGTTTAGCAACCTCATTCTCAAGCACATCGTTGCGTAATTGGGCAGCGTCAAGCTGCGTGTAGAAGCGTGCACCAATCATAGGCATGATGTCATTCACATTCTTATTGCGGTTCTGATTAGACAACAAATACCTGAAGGAATAAAGAACCACATTTAGTAGTGCCACATTTAGTAATGCCACATTTAGTAATGCCACATTTAGTAATGCCACATTTAGTAATGCCACATTTTGTAATGCCACATTTAGTAATGCCACATTTTGTAATGCCACATTTAGTAATGCAAGATAAATTGGACATCTGGATGTAAAAACATATGAAATGCATAGGAAATACTGAACTCTGACAAATAATATTTCTGAAAGTACCATTGTTAATGGTAATCATATTTTTTTGTAAAATTACCATTGTCTATGGTAATCATATTTTTATTATCAAAATCCCCTTGTCTGTGGTAATCACATTTTATAATCATAGAGGAGAATCAATAAAATTTATCATTTTAAATCGAGTCATTATTTAAGAACATCTGTGAAAAACTTGAAAAGGCCACAAAACTCTTAATTTAAGAGCCTTTCCAAGAACTTATGGATCGACCTGATACGTCCAAGAACTTATTGATCGACCTGATACGTCTGAGTACTTACAATATAAGATTCTTCAGATCAACGGAGTAGTTCCTTGCTACTAGGTTTATGGACGTTTGGATGTGTTCACGTTGTATTCCAATCACTGAGTTACACGCTAACGCCAGCACCACCTTTCCTAATGAGACCAGATCTTCTTGCTAGAAACAAAATCATTGTCTTTTACTTTTATGTATGTTCAAATAGGAATAATTCAATTTATAGATGGCTTTACTGAATGGGGAATCATGGGAAAAAGCACATGCATTCCATATAAGGAATTATGTGCTATGTCTGGATACAAATTCATCATCTATTATTATAATGTATGTTCAAATAGGAATCATTCAATTTATAGATGGCCTTACTGAATGGGGAATGATGGGAAAAGCACATGTATTCCATATAAGGAATTATGTGCTATGTCTGGATACAAAATCATCATCTATTATTATAATGTATGTTCAAATAGGAATCATTCAATTTATAGATGGCCTTACTCATGATGGGAAAAAGCAAATGTATTCCATATAATTATTGTAATTCGATTTGTAGAAGACCGTACTGAATGGGGTATCATGGGAAAAAGCACATGCATTCCATATAAGGAATTGAGTGCTATGTCTGGATACAAAATCATCATCTATTGTTGTAATGTATGTTTCAATGGGAATCATTTACTTTATAGATGGCTTTACTGAATGGGGAATCATGGAAAAAGCAAATGAATTCCATATAATTATTGTAATTCGATTTGTAGAAGACCTTACTGAATGGGCAATCATGGGAAAAAGCACATGCATTCCATATAAGGAATTATGTGCTATGTCTGGATACAAATTCATCATCCATTATTGTAATGTATGTTCAAATAGGAATCATTCAATTTAAAGATGGCTTTACTGAATGGGGAATCATGAGAAAAAGCACATGCATTCCATATAAGGAATTATGTGCTATGTCTGGATACAAATTCATGATCCATTATTGAAATGTATGTTTAATAGTATCATTTAATTTAAAGATGGCTTTACTGAATGGGGAATCATGAGAATCATCATCTACTGCATTTTACAATTATAAATATTTGCCAACAAAATGTTCAGACATACAACATACCTGACAGTGTGGCATAAGTGCGAGAGGGTTAGCTTGCGTGGCGTCAAAACTCAACACATCAAATATACCAACACAGTTCAAACGCAATCTGAAAAATGACAGAATTTAATTGTCAATTAAACTGATATAATCTGGCCTTATATACTTCATGTTAACAATTTAGATATTTGGACGACCTTTAATCATGCCTTTTACCAGTGCCATTGTTTCAAAGATATAGCTTCTAAATAATAAATAAATAGATTATACCTTGTCTTTCCTGTTAAAAGAATCTTGGTTGGGTCCATGACTCTACAAGCGAGGCCGTGAGCATGGATGGTTCTTAGGGCAGAGCTGAGCTGTACGACATATGACCAGATCGCACTCTCTGGGAGTAGGCCTGCATTCTGCCTGTTTACTCCTGGAATAAAAGTGCGGCATTTTGTAAATGAATTCTGTATTTTCTTTGAATTTTTTAATGGTTTAATTCATTTTCACTTACTGACTGAGTTGGATTCATAAAAAAGCTCAAAACTACTTATCAAAATATTTAGCAGGATGTTTACATAAAATGATCTTTTTCATCATTATATCTTAAATAATTTATTTTATTTCTTCATTTATAATCATTAACGTAAGAGATAAAAGTCCATGTGATTACATTAATTTGTATGAACACTTTTTCGTTTTATAGAAAGAGTATATTTATTTATGAATATTGCAAAGCAAATAATGACATTTTCAAGTTCAGTGTTAAAGAATACAATCTTGACATTGTTATACCACCTTTCCCGGCACTGAATGGCCTTGCAGCGCCACCTATATTGTAGGGGCTAGAGTAACCATTGAGATGTGGCTGCGGGTTGTTAAAGTGACGCATCATCAATGTCTCCCCTGCTGGGTGATAGTCAAATACAAATACCATGGCTGAAATACATGGGTGATAGTCAAATACAAATACCATGGCTGAAATACAAGGGTGATAGTCAAATACAACTACCATGGCTGAAATACAAGGGTGACAGTCAAATACAAATACCATGGCTGAAATACAAGGGTGATAGTCAAATACAAATACCATGGCTGAAATACAAGGATGACAGTCAAATACAAATACCATGGCTGAAATACAAGGGGGACAGTCAAATACAAATACCATGGCTGAAATACAAGGGTGATAGTCAAATACAAATACCATGGCTGAAATACAAGGGTGATAGTCAAATACAAATACCATGGCTGAAATACAAGGGTGATAGTCAAATACAAATACCATGGCTAAATTACAAGGGTGAATACCATGGTAGGAATACAAAGGTGATAGTCAAATATAAATACCATGGCTGAAATAAAAGGATGATAGTCAAGTACAAATACCCTGTCTGAAATACAAGGATGATAGTCAAGTACAAATACCATGTCTGAAATACAAGGTGATATTTCTAAAAATACAAATACCATGGCTGAAATACAAGGGTGATATATTTAAAAACACAAACAGGCACAGTACAGAGTGATATCTTAACAAATACAAAAACATGAAATGAAATAAAACATGAAAATAGTCAGATACAGTAGTCTTTATATCTTAAATTCTAGATACTATCTGAGTTTAAATTCGCAAACACCCACAAATCTTTGAAATTCCAATCAAGGTTTTTAAGGCTTTATGAACTGAAGAGATAATTTTTTAATATGACACAAGTCCAATATTTCTTCTCGTATTTAACTTTACTCCAGCTTATTTGCATATAAGATAAGCGTTGAAGATGAGACAAAAATTATCTGCAACTTACAATGATCTCCAAATGCCTTTGTCGTAAACACTTCTCTCAGCTGAACTATGTTTGAATGTTGGATCTTCTTCCATAGGTCTATCAGTTCCATACACTTTGTGTTCACCAGCCGAAAACCTGGAAATTTATCATGAGTCTTAATGTCACGTGAACAAGAATTGGGTGTAAACAATTATCAAGGATACGGACATTGGTACATATTTGCCAGAATATGTCCCAGAAATCTGTCGCAATTTAATTAATAGAACATGGTCAACCATTAACATTGTGGACTGTGTGTCTAAATTTGAACGTGAGTTCCTATGGGTACAAGCCAGACCTCATTCTATTGTGAGTATGCTCAACAGTATCACAGCCAAGGCAAGGAGCTATATGTATTCATGAACTTGGGGGCATGAGTGGATCCTAAAATGCTCGAGGTATGGTGAGCTTGGGCGACACCTGTTTTTGGAAAGTGTACCCCTATGAGTTTGGGAAGGCCATAGATTTAATGTATATCTATCTTCTTAATTATACATTGCTATTTAGTTTAAGAGATAAACAGAAAATAATTTGAACTAAAGCTTCTTATTATATTGTCATGTCAGTAGATTAAGAGATGTATGGGGAAAAAACTGAATATGACAAAAAACTAAAAATGCCTCTAACACTTAACTATAAGTAGGCTAAAATTGTCATAATTATTTGTTAAAATTCTGACTAATGAGTGGTCTTTATGTAACATTGTAATAATAAAATGGTGTATGTTTGATTACCGCAGCCACTAGATTTGTCCGCAAAAGCACCTCCTATACAGGTGTATATACATAACAAGTGAACAATGTATCTCCTATTACATAATAATTAAACAATTGCAAAACACGTGCTCAATTAGAAGTTCACACTTAGTCAGAATAATTATTATTCTAATATGATACATGACGTCTCACAAAAGCTAGAATAATTGATTAACTGGTCTATATTGTAGTATGTATGACCGCTAAAATTCATAAATGCAAATAGTAGTGTTTCTTGTCTGTTTATCATATTAGAATCTCGATTTTATGATTTATGTCAAATATATGACCTCAAATTTTATTCTGGCCATTTTCAAAGACCTCAATTGCTACGCACATGATTTTGGTCTTTTAACAATAGAAAATTTTTTTTGGTCATACTGTATATTACGCCATAAATCATAAAATCTTGGTCTTTATTCCTTAATTATATCATTGGTATAACAAAATGTGATAAAAATTCTGTGGAATCAGAATGTCCATTATAACCAGTGGATCAGATATTTCAATTATTAATCCATATGAAAATTTACCAAGATAATAACCACCACAGATGAACTCGTAAACCACAACAACTTAATTCAAACAGATAAGTGATTGACTGTAAAGATAAGATAAAAAAAGATAACAAGTATGGTGTGAGGAAATTCTGTTTCATCATATCAATATACACTGTGTAAAATAGTGTATGCAAAATGTGATTTACACATGGGAGACGCCCCAAAACTTGCTCAGAACTTCTGGGACAGCCCTTGTATCTATGGACTTGCACTTTATCTGGCGACCTTTGAATACATTTATCTCACACAAAAATGCTGGTAAACAAAATATAACCCAGATTACATCACATTTTTAAGATATCAACAAATATGAAAAGTCTATATAATATAACTCTGTTCATAACAAGTAATTGGCTAGAGAATGAATAAATATTTTTTAAATAGATCATAAGAGAGAAAATAATATTTTCTACTAATTACCATGAATTCTCCGCAAACAATACACGAGTCCATTCTTCATATTCGTAGCCTTGTAGCAAGTCGTGGGGTACCCAAATGTCGTAGACTTCTGCATTGGGTTCATAGGTGGCGCTTCTAGAGGAACGAGATCGTGGTAGGTGTCCACCTGTTGGGGGATGTCAGCACTAACCTCCGCATCCATGGTTTGGAGAATTAATGTGTGCTTGTTTAAAATATCCTGAAATAATTGCAAATATTATAATAATCATTTAAAATACACCTAAAATGCTTAATGTTATTTAAAATTTATAGATAGGCTAAGTTTCACATTTCAGAGGTTTTAAAATGTGAATGTGTATTATAACAACCCCAACGGAATATTGTCTCCTTTTTGACTAGTTTATCATCAATCAGCTGAGTAAAGGCCATTGAGGTAAATGTGTATGTTGGAATTTTTTATGCAGCCTTTGTGCAAAAATGATAGATGTAAGACCATGTTTGGAATTACTTATGTTAATCTGAAAATAGCACATGGTCATGAAAGTTCATCAAAATGGCTGAAAGTACGAGGGTTGTCCCAGAAGTAATACACTATATGCTCTAACTTTCTTTAGTATTCTTCAATTCTGCTGAAATTTTGTGTATATAACAATTGAAGTTTTATCTATTATATCCTTAAGTTTCAGCATCCAACATTAATATTAAGTCTTAATATGGTTGCTATAACAACATGGGGGTAGGGGTGGGCGGGGCAGGTACCAATTTTTCTAATTATGAAAAGATCTAAAGTGTTATTTTATTAATATTTCTTTCCTTTAAATGGTCAAAATGTTTGGGAAATTGTTAAATTTATTCAGCATGATGTTAACCAAGTACGAATAATGACATTTAGCACTGTGATGTCATAGTACCACATTTCAATAGTCACGAATTCAAATACAGTCACAGTCAAGAAATTGCAAAAATGGCTGCATTTCTCACCAGGAAACAGAAGGCCTTGCATTCAGTGGCCTAATTTCATACTTCACTCTGACTCACAGCCACGCAAAACAATGCTACCATGAAGAAAGTATATAAGGAGTATATACCAGATAGAACTACAATTAAGGGGTGGCAGAAGAGATTTAAAAGAGACAATTTGACCCTGTATGACAACTCCAAACATGGGAGGCAAAAACTCCACAAGTCACAGTGGAAGAAATTGCCGAGAGTGTTTGACCTGACAGGCATCAAAAGTACATAACATGCAAAGGGCCATATTTTGAGAAAATGTGAAATGGGACACTGTGCAATATACATCCATTAAATCTAGGATGTGCTCATAGTAATTTAGTATCTTAAAATGTATTTTTGAGCATACTTCTCATAGCTACATCAAATGGTATTTGTTGATTAATTATTTCAGATTTTCAATTTTTCATTCCTTCTGACGTGACTGTATAACCTGCCCCGCCCTACCAGAACTCACCAACTTGATTTTATTATAACATCAATATAGTTTTATCAGTCAACATGAAAATTTGTAGAATAATCAAAATGTCTCTAAGGAACATTTACTGAAAATTTCATGGAAAAATATCAATTATTGATAAAGTAAGAGCATATAGTGCATTACTTCTGGGACAACCCTCGTACACACTGATCTAAAGGGAGATATCAGTCCTAGGGAACCAATATTTCCAGATGCTAATATCTCTATCATTTTCCACTGTTTGCTCTTATGGTATATTTAACTCATTCAAATCAGCCCATTGTGTGGCATGGTTACTTGCTCAAACATTAACTCACCATTTTGATTTCATCAGGCATGGAGAAACTTGGTATATTGGACTTGAGTTTCATGTGTGCAACATGTGGTAGCGCACCGGGATACATGTTGTAGGGAACCTGCACTATGCCACTAGCCTGAAATACACAACAATACAATTATAATAATGTGGTAATGCACTGGTATGAATGTTGTTTGGAACCTGCACTACATTAAGGTTCATGAATATTCATAAATGAATTCTCCAGTACTAACATTTAAGTTCATGAAGATTCATGAATGAGTTCTCCAGTATTTACATTTAGGTTCATGAACATTCATGAATGCATTATCCAGTACTTACATTGAAGTTCATGAACATTCATGAATGAATCTCCCAGCATTTACATTTAGGTTCATGAATGAATTCTCCAGTACTAACATTTAGGTTCATGAACATTCATGAATGAATTCTCCAGTATTTAAATTTAGATTCATGAATATCATGAATGCATTATCCAGTACTTATATTGAGGTTCATGAACATTCATGAATGAATCCTCCAGTATTTACATTTAGGTTCATGAATGAATTTTTCGTTACTTACATTGAGGTTCATGAATATTCATGATTGATTTCTACAGATACTTACATTTACATTAAGGTTCACTAATATTCATGAATGAATTCTCCAGTACTTACATTTAGGTTCATGAACATTCATGAATGAATTCTCCAGTACTTACATTCAGGTTCATGAATATTCATGAATGAATTCTCCAGTATTTACATTTAGATTCATGAATATCATGAATGCATTATCCAGTACTTATATTGAGGTTCATGAACATTCATGAATGAATCCTCCAGTATTTACATTTAGGTTCATGAATGAATTCTTCGGTACTTACATTGAGGTTCATGAATATTCATGATTGATTTCTACAGATACTTACATTTACATTAAGGTTCTCTCATATTCATGAATGAATTCTCCAGTACTTACATTTAGGTTCATGAACATTCATGAATGAATGCTCCTGTACTTACATTCAGGTTCATGCTGCTGTTCTGCTGACTGGAAGCATTAGAATCACCCTCTGTGAAGAAGTATGTTGTACCACCAATGTTTTCCTGAAAAAAATATAAAGTTCATTAAGCACTGATTATATTATATTTCAAATTTTGCCTAATATTTCATGAAATTTTGACAATATATAAAACTAGAAACAGAGAGATAAATATGACACTTTTTACAACAAAATTCTAAATCGCCACAAAGTTGTTTACCCAGAAAGCCTAAAACCTCTGTAAAAGTTCAACAAATGAGCACTCAAAATTGATCATTTTACTAAAAATACTAAGAAACTGAAATCCATTGAAAAGATCTCAATCCTTACAGGCATTTGGCTAATGAAGGGAAGTTGGTTGTTCCATAAAAATATGCTGATAGTTGTTAGTGGGTACCTAAGAGAAGCAAATGAGTCCACATACATCATTAATTAATCTGGCAATCTCAACATTCTCAAAATCACGATTTTAATTTTTGCTAAAGTTTAAATCAGTGAGAAATTAAGTTTAAGTACACAACTGAACTTCCAGTTTAAAAAAATTTCATGAAGAGGTTTGCATCGTTCTGATGTATTCTGCAAGACACATTAATCTTCTTACCAGTTGTATTGGGGGTGCATTGGGTGGGGTAGGGGTAGATGTCTGGTTTGGCTGCGTTTGGAGTGGCTGCATTGGAGACTTATTGCGCCTCATCATCAGTGGCGACCCCTGGGGACTCATTCTTGGACTAGCACCAGGGCTCAGGCCTTAAATGAAGAAATACAAAAGTCAAACTCCATATTAATATACATGTATATTCAGGTAAGACTCAACCAAATGCTATTCAATGAAATTATATTAGAATCATGAAGGGCCCCACACTTATGTTTTGGGCATTCTTTCTTGAACGTTAAATGGAATCTTGATAAACTCAAATCCCCTTTAAGACAGATCTGTATATACAGAAATTATAATGGCTTCCGCACTGCAGTCTCATGTTATAATCAGGTACACAGCCAATATAATTCGACGCCGTTTCGGCATCGAAAAAATTCGGCACCGTTCGGGCACCGAAACCTTTCGACACCAACATTTGCTACCTGACTAGTCAGTCCATTCGGTGCCGAAACGTCACCGAAATTTGGCACCGAAACGGCGTCGAAAATCAGATTGCATTTTGGGGGTGTACACATTAAAATGTCTGTATATAATGAATTACCTTTAACGCTTGTTTTAACAGAATGCTTGGAAAAGTGAAAAATGTAAGTATCTACAATTAGTGAAATGTAAGAGAAAAAATATTAATAAATATATAAAGATATATTTACATGTACAAAAAAGTTCTTACCTTGTACACTGACTGGTGTTCTCGTCCCCAGTGAGGACATTCCAGATAGGTTATTGGGTAGATTGCCAGACAGGTTCCCTGCGAGATTGCTAAAGGAAGGGCTACTAGCGCTATGTGCAAGCCCACCCTGTCTGGGCACAAACTCGCTGGCAGCAGGACGTGGTACAAACTCGCTAGCACCAGGGTTACGACCCTAAAAGTAAAACATCACAATTAAAAATACTGTACATTGTATTGGTACATCGTATGAATTGACGAATGACAAACGCCTAGTGTTAATAAACAGATCTCAACTATGCACCTTATTCTTAGTGGTTCAATTTTCATATCACCCTTATGTATCACAAGTTATGCAAATTAAAATATACCCAGTAGCCTACAAGAAAAATATTTAACTTTTCGTGTGATTTTATAACATGGGGTCTATAGAATCTCCCAAAACTAGAAGTCACATTTTCAAAAAAAAATTTTCAAAGTTGATTATCAATTTTCAAAACCCTATTAATTTGTAGTTGTACATTTACATGTTGATTTCAAATATGACATCACTTTGCAGTGATCTCCAAAGGATGTTTTCTCAAGTGAACGCAAAGGTGGGTGCAAGCTTATTTTCAAAATCTCAGGTGGGTGCTGCACCCACTTGCATTATATTAATACTGTGAAGATCACTGCTTTGACTGAATTTTGAATATTTAATGATGTTAATCAAGATTATTTCTACTCGCATCTAGTCTATTTCAACAGCCCATGGTTTTTCTAATGCTTTGTAGGTCAATGTTAGTATTTACTTATATTTTGAACAATTACAAACCTTTGAGAGGGGATGCTGGGGTCTTCCTTGAAGACTCATATTTCCAAAACTGTTGACCATCATTCTATGTGGTCCTACTGGACCATTTGGTCCTTGTTGCTGGTCTCCCATAGTAATGGGACTTTGGCGTGTTGCTGGCTACAAAGAAGCACAAGAACACTATTAATGGTACTGCCCTGTCTTAACCCTAGCAGACAATAACACTAGTTAATTTTATTATGGTTTAGGCTTTCCATCTATTGATTTGCAAAATTATGATTTGCAATTCCCTTAAAATCAACATTTCCCCTAGAAGCTTACAAAATTAAATTTCTTCCTGCATAACTGTTGGACACAGTAAATGTTACCAGAGGAAAAAAACAAAATATAAATAAACAGAAATTAAATCCTTGATTACAGGGAGAAGTATATATGTTACCGGAGGAAAAGCTGCCTGGTACTCATGTATATCTTGACTGCGGCTAAATGTGGCTGAGAAGAACTGGTCACCATTGTTGGCCATCATGGCTGCAATGAAACATGGAACATTTAATAAGAAACCAAAAAGGATTATTATTAATAGCCATATGACTATGTTAGATATAGAGGGTGAATTCTGATAAATGAAATCAATAAATAAAAGTTAGTTGATTAACTTAATTCATGCTGATGGTCAATATATTTGTGATATTTCAAAATATTTAAAATAACGATAGTCTACTTACCCGGGATCTGTTCAAAGACATCATCAGTGTTGTTTGAGAAGCCTAGAACACAAAAGAAAGTAATATATAATCTTATAACAGGGGTCTAGAAAAGGCGAAATAAATATTAGCCAATGTGGCCAATCTTTTGAGAGATATTAGCCACTCAGAAAGTTATTAGCAACAATATTAATTTTCAAATGACATAAAAAGAGTATTTTACGGATCGTTACAGCTGTATTTCAAACAAATTTCACATGCCATGGTCTCTCTAACGCTTTTGTTTGTCAACCAAGGCTGACCCACCTTCTAATATGGTTGGAAAGACCTCAATGCTCCCGGCGAAATATTTGATTTCAGCAGGACAAACAATAACAATTAGATGGACCCCAAAAAATAATGTTGGACGGAAAAATAAAAAACTCCTGAGTCCCTTGGACGCACTTTATTTCCACAGCAATTTCTAAAAATCTTACCTTTCAATTTAGTTAAACATATCAAATGAAAGAATATAAATTGGCCTACCTTGTGAAGACAAAATCTAAGTATAATAGGCAGATGATCAGCAGTGTTTTAGAGAAACACTGAGATAATTATCTTACTGTAATTCGGCCACCATTTTGATTGACCTCTAAAACCAAAACTTCATTGCTTTGAGATTAATGGGTCAGTAGCAAAAAACCTTTATCACTGTCCTGCCAACTTTCAATGGATACTGTGAATTATTAACAATAAGTATTATACATAAACTTGATAACAAACTGTTTAATTAGGAAAAAAAATTCATTTTTATTTAGTTTCAGGCCTTTAATTTTTCGAACCCACTTTTTTTGGTTTGGACTCCATTTTTTTTTTACCGTGGGGTCCATTGGACCCACTTTTTGGTAACACTAAATAAAACACTGTATAAATATATTAAACTGAATAATAAGGCAGCATCTGGTTTGAAATCTGAAAGTTAGAATACAAGCAACTCCAAAAGGCACAATCGTAAAACTTATTCGCAACATGTGCATGGCTGCATGTATACATGTTGTCAGATCATTTTATCATTCGATCAATGTCATCGATCTTATCTCCTAACTGCAAGATTGCCCCAGATTTCTAAAACAAATAAAAAACATATGCCGATAAATATTCACCACTGGCATTGAAATCTGATTGAGACATGGCCAATGGCTAGCAAGCAAGTGTAAAAGTGATCAAGATGTCGGACAAAGAAAGATCTGAAGACCATAACATATATCAACATGGTACTCACCTTGCGACGGTTTTTCATGGTCCATTAGGATAAATCAGAACTAAAAATATGTTTTTACATTGACTTTATTCAGGAGTTTTTCTTTCAAATTTTTGTAAAAATTCACATCATTTTGACTCAATATTGCTGGATATAATCTGGAGATTCGTGTAATTTTATCGGATATGCAAGTCACATGGACTGTAGATTTTGAATTTCGCAGAGTTATAGATGCATCGGAAGCTAATTTCACGTCTAAATACCTAAAAGAACAGAAATATTTTCTGTTTTCAAAATTCTAGTTCATTTTCGACGATGCGCGCGCAATTTGTTGATGCATTGTGGGCCTGACCTACTTTCGGTTTCGTTAGGGTATCACGAAATGTACGGTGTATCTATCACGAAATATTGACTTTGGTAAACTTCATTTTAACTCAGATGTTTGCATAAAGGATATGCTTATATTGAATTAGAAAATGGCTGATGACATTTTCAAGTGGGAAATTTTTGACATTGAGCGATCAGTAAGGCAACAGATTCTTTGAGGGAATACTTCATGCCCCCCTTCATCATTCCGAGGCATGTAACAATGATACTTGATTGATCAAGTGATGTTACATTCTGGACTCCTGACATTGACAACATCCATGTATGCATATATCGTATATATGTTTAATTAAACCTCCTTCCAAATCACAGGCCCAGGAAGATTTAAATCCCCTCCCCCCGTCACTGTATAGCATGTAAAAAACCTACATAGTGAGTGGGAGGGCGATGAACTCTTGTTCCTTTGTCTGTGTTCCAAATACTCAATAAGGGCATTAATGGCCATTAATTAGTTGACTTTAATCAAGAATGACCTTATCACAAGTGACAATGACAACACAAACATCTATTATTCAATTCTTGAAAATATCCATGTTTGACATGGGTCACAGTAACCTCAATCACCTTTGACTAATTATACGAATCAAAGTTGACCTCTTAATCAAAATTGACATTAATCATAATCAAAGTTGACCTTCATCATTGTTGATCTCAATCAAAGTTGACCTTCATCATAGTTAATCTTAATCAAGGATGATCTTAATCGAAGTTGATCTTAATCAAAATTGACCTTATTCATAGTTGATCTTAGTCAAAGTTGACCTTCACATAGGTGATCTTAATCAAAAATCAAGTTGATCTTAATCAAAATTGACATTATTTATGGTTGATCTTAATCAAAGTTGACCTTTCCATAGTTGATCTTAATCAAAGTTGATCTCTACATAGTTGATCTAATCAAATTTGACCTTATTCACTTTAAAATCAAAGTTGACCTTAATAATATTTGACATAATCATGATTATATTTCCATTGACTCAACTCTGCTAATGCTATTGTTTTGGTTGATATGTAACACCTGTCACTATGGAAACCTCAAGAGTAAATAAAACAACACAAAAGTAAAGTATAATTAACACATAGATATAACATATATTTATTGTAAGAATAAATCTGCATTTGAGCAATGTATAACATTAATAATGTGCAAAATATTTTGTATAGTTTTTATGAAATTACTCTTCGTTCATATGATCATTGTTTACATTTTCCATTTTTATTAAAAAGAGCATCAGATATAGCAAGCAGCCTAACAAAAAATTGTTTCAAATATATATCTCAAATATTTTTGGGAGATATTGTATTTGAGATTGTAAGGAATAGATTGGTAGGTGTACAACGCTGCTTGAAATTTTGTCAACCCCATAGATCTGATTGTGCCTTTCACAATGAAAAACTTTCAATCTTATTATAAAAATACCGGAAAAAATAATTCTAGAACTTTGTGTATATATACAGAATAAAAAACATAGCTATACATATAATAGAATCACTGATGTTACATAATACTGCATCTTTAAAGCATAATAAACAGTAAAACCTGTATACATAATAATATATAATATGAACACCTCTCTGATCCGACCAACTCTCTATGTTAAAACTGTTTCTCAGTCCAATTTTTTAATCTGCAATAGACCATAATCACTCTACTATATCTAACCCCTAGAAATGCATAAGATACTCTGTTTGTCTAATTGTATTGTTTAGTGTATTTCTCCAAGTACCTTATCAAGATCTATCAGTCTTCCGATAAACCATTCATATGGAACAGACAAATAAAAACAAATAACAAAATCATTACTATTAAGCCAAATGGGTTGCTCATGAACACTGCAAGGTAAAGTAGAGTGATAATGAGAAACCTTGAGATGTGATCTCATACAAATCTGAACACTTTTGGTCAATCTCAGTTGTGTTCACATTAGACAGGTTTTACTGTACTTGACATTTGCATTAAAAACTTGTGTACAAAAAATAAGTCAAATTTTGACAGTCCCTATCTTACAAAATATGTCAAAATGGGATTATAATTCATGGTGTTTCAGATTGAGAGTCAAGCTGATACTTTTATTTTTCTCATTCATTTTAATCATAAATGTTGTACTAATTGTGAGAACATACTGATGGTCAAGGATATGAACATCGACCTAGCCAGGCATGGGCAGGCAAGGTAACTAGCTCACAAAAATTTTACATATATATTTTAATCTTTGGTAATTGAAATCTGTCGTGAAATTTAACCCGTGTGATAGTTTTTCTTATTTGCCTTGCCAAAATGTATAGCCTGGTTACGTCTGTAGAGACTGTCTAAAATCACTTTCCATATCATCCATGGTTCTTTTTATTCACTTAAATATTTTAAAAAGAAAAATATTTGCCTCTTCTGAACAACATTTCACAAAATCATTTAGTTCTACAAATAAACTATTTGTTAATTTTTACACCTTGGAATGATTTCATTTTTTAGAAACAATGATCCCGGGACAATGATATAATATTGATTAATAGGTAATTATTAATATACTATTCAACATAACTATGATTTTCCAGAAATTTTAACTAAATCAACCAGCTGACTCTCACTTGTACAAGTTGTCCATAAAGTCTCTTTACAATCACAATACAAATTTTCATTGAAATTGAAGTGATTCTATGGACACCCTGTATAGGTATGTATTGTTACACATAAATATGAAATACATACATCTAAAATTATGTGTAAAAATCACATTTTTTTCATTATTTGAAATTAAATGGCACTTATTTAACCCAATCACCATAGAGTTATAAAACAACATGGCTGGTACTTGTTTGGCACATACTGGTTAATACCAGACCAGTACTGGTACATTTTAATAATAATTACTGACACAATTTTGTACTTCTTTAGTTCAAAATAGCACATATTGTCACAACTTTGCATTTCTTATCCTAAATAGCCTAGTCTTCAATGTCACATCCTTTGTATTTTCTGAATTTCAGTGTAAGCTGATTTCAAAATTCTTAACCACTTACAAAGAAGTTACCGATTCTGGACACCAGATGTCATTGTCACAATTTTGAATTTAAATCTCTAAATACATTAGGCAGCAATGCTGTTTATTTCTAGTTCTAAATAGTGCTGATTGTGACAGTTTTTTCTCCCTTGTTATTCAATTTCACATTAAAATATTTCAACTGCTTATCTACAGCATACCAGAAGGTGAAGTTTTCTCCAGGTGTTCCGATAAGTTCAATTGATATGGTATAGTTACCACCAAATATGGCTACTATCCTCTGTCGGGAAATATGAACCCATTTTCCAAGTTCACCCAGAATGAGAATCTCCTTTTGCCTGCAATGGTGCAAGGAGTTTCAATTTAGCAGAGTTCACTGATTATTTTAGAAGGGTAGGTCACAGTGAGTTTAATATGGGTTCATAATATGGGTTCACACCATGCTATAAGCAGAATGGGAAGCTTTGATCTGCTACATATGTATCTTGATCCATCAAGGTATTTACTAAAGGAATACACTGGTTTATGTACACAGGTGACGGAAATATAAGTCTCTGGCTATTCCAGAGGCTGAATGGTACATACTCTGAAAGTTAACACATTTATAAGGTTGTCATTAGTCTGCTGCAAGCCCTTCCTGGGATGCGACATATATAAGGGGGGGGTTGACAACTTGACAGTCTTGAGGCAAGACTAGGCTATCATAAAATTATCCAGGATAGACAAATATCTGCACAAGTGTCTGTCCCTTCTCGGGTATAGTAACATTGAGGTAGTCCAGTTGTTGGTTTATGGCATACCAAAACCTCAATGTTTCCCCATAAACTCCCTTAATGGTAAGGGTCAAGCTGATGTTTCCACCATCAAGTGAAATAAGACGTTGAGATGAAATGTGAGTCCATTTTGTGATCTCGCCCAGAATGATAACCTCTTTGTTCCTGGAAGAAATTCAGTGAGGGATTCAAAATAAGCCACTTTACTTGAAATGAGGGATACCAATAAGCAAGTATTAAGAGATTAATGCAAGTGCAGTAAAACCTCTATAAGTGGAACACATTTGGTACCTCTAAAAAGTGTCCACTTGGGAGGTGTTCCACTTACAGAGGTTCATTTAACATTAATTAAGTCAATGGCTCAAGGGACTCTGAAAAATGTTCCACTTATGAAGGTATTCCACTTATAGGTTCACTTAACAGATTCTACTATTTATAAAAATAAGCAAGAAATCAAAGCTAACTCCTGCATTCAATTCAATGCTGCAAAAAGAAAATATGCCAATCAATTTCTGGATTCTATTGTTTCCCTGGATTCTCCAATATCTAAATCCATGTCTTTAATTTTGGCTAAAAAATCAAAAAGTTTTTTGTTAACTGCAAATTACACTTCTCATCTGAATTTTAAAATGAGCTGACATAAATTGAGCTCTCTAGTCTCTTATAAGAATTAATTTTGTAAATAATAGCTATGAATTAAAATCTAAAATAAATCTAAAGATTTGTTGTGACAGGCACCCTCAAGATTTTCAATATATAGATAGAAGTGTAACTTACTTATAATAAGAAAACTAGACAATCAAAACCACATCATCTTGGGGTGTTAAAGAGGAATGATCCAAGTAGCTACTCCACTATCTGTCACCATGACAATGCTTGATTTCACCACGCCATCTATTGCATAGTAGAGTGTCACCTTCTCCCCAGCGACACCTTTTATCTTTACATAAATCGTGACATTCATTTGGAGGATTGAAATGACACGTTGAGCAGACATGTGCACCCATTTGTCCAGCTCACCTAAAATGAGAACCTCTTGGTGCCTGTAAGTATAAAATATAGAATTAACCCTTGTCTAACTTGTGCCTGTAAATATAACATATAGAATTAACCCTTGCCTAACTGGTGCCTATAAATATAAGATGTATAATTAACCCTTGCCTAACTAAAATTTATGTTTTATGCCTGCAAGGGCCTCAATTGTCATAAATGATAAGTGAGTATCACAGCATATATACTTACATGTAGGACATGCCATGTGCATCAATGTTTGCATTACAGTTTTCAATTTCATTTCAAAATGAATTCTGTTTTTGTTAGAGGTTTACACATCTACAGTTACACAAGTTGGACAAGTGTTAAAATAGATGTGCTAGGACATATTTGTGAGAGAAAGCACATGGGAATACATATAACACATCAAGGCATGACAAACAGAATTAAGAACCAGAAGACATAATATTTTAAATTACATGTACATGTATATTATTCACTCATTTCACAAGCTACTAAATATATTAAAAAGATAATTTCACCATACTTAAATACATGTAGCTCAACTTATTTGTAAAATATTAAAAAAATTGATTCAAAATAATATTTTCAATAGAAAATTCTGTATCGTTCTAGTAGACTGTTTTTAATATAGGCCTAGGGTTAATAATTTTTACCAAAAATACTTTGTTGTTTCCAATAATTTTGCAATAGTTTTCATGTTTAAATTATAATTTCCAATAATTTTGCTTGTTGTTTTCATCCATTTTGCCTGTTGCCAAAACTAATAATGAACTTTTTGGACATAAAACATTAACGATACAGGATTCTTTATCCCTCAACAAAGAACGTACACTGACATCATGTATATTGCAGGTGTCACGTAATACAGGCAGAATGACATCTCTGTACAGCTTGGTGTCAGCTTGATAGGCGCATCATTCAGGTAGTCTGGGAGGATGTGAATATTTTCCTTGGATGGGGGTCCTGATAGATAGTAAACTCTGTACTTTTGCTGAAAACCAAAATAATCACGAGTTGATTTGTAATGTACAGTGAAACCTGTAAAGTGGAACACCTTTAGAAGTGGAACGCTATTCTGTTAGTGGAACACTTTTCAGAATTCCAAGACCAACTGATTCAATCAATGGTGTTATGGTAGGATGTGAATATTTTCTTTTGATGGAGGTCCTGATAGATAATAAACTCTGTACTTTTGCTGAAATCAAAATAATCACTAAATAATTTCTTTGTTTAGAAAACAGTTTACTTTTTGAGATGGCAAAATTATTATCTGGTCAAATTATCAAACTTTTTTTTTTATTATCAAACTTACAGACTGATACAGATACAATTTTTCATGAAAGCTCTGCAGTTAGGCATTTACTCAAGAAAACATTTTAGTTAGAGCACATTGTACATACAATCACTGTACATGATCATACAATTCTTTGTGTATGGGGTTTATGATGAATATTAAATTGTATATGAAATTCATTGTATATTAAATTCATTATACGGATTAATTGTGTATGAAAGTCATTGAACAAACAATCTGTAACAGTCTATGATATAAACTCCTTGTTCTATTCTAGTGGAGTTTGGTCTAATCTAGTCTAGTCTAGTTTAATCAGGGTAACCGTCTATGATATAAACTCCTTGTTCTATTCTAGTGGAGTTTGGTCTAATCTAGTCTAATCTAGTTTAATCAGGGTAACCGTCTATGATATAAACTCCTTGTTCTATTCTAGTGGAGTTTGGTCTAATCTAGTCTAATCTAGTTTAAGGATGCAGTACCAGGTCAGTGTAGAAAAAGTTCCAGACATTAGATTTTCCTCATATTTTTTACAATGTATCACTATGATGTTATCATCATCCAAGTGCAATACGAAGAGGATTGACCGTCTGGTAATTACAAAATAAAAACATTATTTTACCCACCCAAAATGAATCTTTTTACTTTTTTGAGTTTTCAATAGAGCTGGCACCTTTCGAACCCTGGTTTTCGTATCCACTAATTGCGACTCAAGAACAAGTTTTCCCATAATAGGGATAAAATATGCTTGATAAAATGTTTGCAATTTAATTCTTTTCTGGAAAAACCATTATCGAAATAAACTATAATTTTTGATTAAGACTAAATGCGAAAATTACGTTCTTGGGAGCTAGCTTTCTCAAACCGGAAGTCAAACCTGCGCAAACAGACGTGAAAACCGACCCGGTACTGCATCCTTAATCAGGGTAACAGTCTATGATATAAACTCCTTGGTCTATTCTAGTGGAGTTTGGTTTAATCTAGTCTAGTCTAATTTAATCAGGTACATGCTGTCTTTGTTGTACTTACAGGTGTTAAAAGATCCATTTGAGACAAAGGGACATCATAATTATTAGTCATGCTAGCTGCCAGGAGGATTCCAAACCTCCAAATGTCAGTCACTTCAGGATCTGGTCCTATACTGGTGTATGTAAACCACACCTCTCCCGCAGGCCCCTCCCCATCTTGGTAGGCTGACTACAAAATAACACAGATATACTGGTGAATGTAAACCACACCTCACCTGCAGGCCCCTCCCCATCTTGGGGCTTACTACAAAATAACACGGATATACTGGTGTATGTAAACCACACCTCCCCTGCAGGCCCCTCCCAATCTTGGTAGGCTGACTACAAAATAACACGGATATACTGGTGTACGTAAACCACACCTCCCCTGCAGGCCCCTCTCCATCTTGGAAGGCTGACAACAACAAAAAACAGTGACTCCGCCTCTTTACTACTGTAAGATCGGTCAATTGGAAAGTTTGATTTGAATCATCGTAACTATGAAATTAAAAAAACAACCAAAGATTTCCCAATGTTATGATCTTTTTCCATAATATACATAGAAGATAAAATTTGACAAACCTCTATTATTTGTGCATCAATAGCTGTGGCAGGTTTAGATGGTTTAAGTAAAAGACCCTCTGCATTACAGGACATCATAACAAGTGTTTTGTTTGTTCCACCAATCATATCTCCGACACCTACTGGGCCTGTACTTAGCGTAGACACCACAGCATTCAAGGCAGGATAAGGTTCTGTCTTTCCTAAATATAAATAAACAAGGTATTTACATGATAAAATGGCACCACCTTAATCATATAATAATAATAATAAGATTTTATTTCATATAAGCCCTCTGGCCCATTGTGTACATAGTATGTTTACAATAGTTTAATATTGGTTGCTTAAATAATTAATAGTGATAACTTCTTTAGGAGGATAGCATTTTTTGTTTTCATCAATATCTCATACACCAACTGGGCCTATACTTAGTGTAGACACCACAGCATTCAAGGCAGGATTCAGTTCTGTCTTTCCTAAATGAAAATAACAAGGCATTGCCATAACCTTGTTGCAAGACAAACGTAAGAATTTTTTATGAATGCTAATTAAGACAAATGCCAAAATGTGACTGTAACTATATATCATCACTTCTTGGTCATGGCTACAAAAACTTGGAGGTGAAGTAAAGTTTGTTCAAAGTATGCTTGGCCATTTAAGTGAAAGGATTATTATTTTCTCAATGATTACGTTTAATCAAGAAAGTTTGTGTACTTGGAACATGTTTCATTTCGATGTTCCATAAACAAAGGATCTTCAGCATGATGCCAATGGTTAATTGGAGGTGTTAATTTGAGGTGTTCCACTTACAGAGGTTCATCTTAAACATGGTTATTGTTGGGATAAGAGACTTAAAATCTGTACTACTTGACAATTTTTGTTATAGCCAGGTAATCGGTAATCTGAGAGCAACAAATTAATACCATAACATCTAATCCTACCATAGGGGTTCCCTGGTTGTTTTGTAGTAGACCAGAATGTGTCCTTATATGGTGCTAGTCCAAGAGCATATGCTAATATGGATGAGAAGCCAATCCTCCACTGTTCCCAGCCTGGGGAGTAATCCTCACTCACTCTCACCTAGAAACCAAACATATTATTTATATGTAAGGCCAATCAAAGGTAATTATACATTTAACATCATGGTAAGGAGCTACATATTAAGAAGTTCAAGAAGTTAATTATGTCTTTAATGTCTTGTTAAGGGGCCAAACACTCTCAAGATAAAAGCAACCATTTTTGTGACAGTAACGATTTTTGACACTTGATTAGATAAACTTGGTATCAATTCTAACAAGACACATGAACATTCACAAGACATTTACTGTATTATTCCAGGAATATAGGAAATGTAAATATTTAAATATAAATTCTTCAAAATCCATTTTGGGAACCATGGAAGGCATGACGTTGTAGAATATCAAAACATTTAGTAATTAACAACCTTAAAAACTCCTCTTACTGGTAACATTTATATCAACATGTACAGGGTGTCAAATAAGTCCCGTCCCCCCCTCTACAGCCAAAACCAAGATATTTGGTACCAAGTGTGATATATCATTGGAAAGGTCTTCCAAAGTTACGTTGATTGGCATATATCTGACACATGTCAATCAATCTCACAAATTTTTACATTGTGTCAATTGAGGTGACCATATGCCTAGAAACATGGCAATTTGGCATATTTGGCAGGATTTTAAGAATCGGGTATAAGAAAGGTCAAGGGACCAAAAGATGACTAAATATGTTTATGGCAATGAATTTAACCAATTTCTGGATAGGGTTAGATGTGTAGAAAATAGAGGGGCAAGGAAAGTGCTGAAAACCATTTTGTAACAAGTGGTATGCGAAAAAGATCAACTTTTTGACGTATTTCTGAGGTCATATCCTTGTCATTTTGACGCAAAAAAGCTACTTAAAGGAGGGCACGTAAACTATAAAAGACATCATAAAAATATAGGTAAATTTCATCCAAAATACTTGAGAGTTGGTGAGTTAACATAACTTTGGATGATCTTTCCAATGGTATATCACACTAGGTACCGTCTGTTAAGGCTTTAGCTGTAGTAGGGGGGACGGGACTTATTTGACACCCTGTATATTCAAAAGGTCAATGCCCAATTCAAATTATTAAGTTAATATATTTTTTGAAAACACCTCTTACCTGTTACACAGGATATAGACATAAACTTTGAAAGATTTATTTCTTTACAACTGTATTTTATGTCAACTGTATAATATGTCATTGCGATGAGATCAAAGAGTCAATAAAAGAAATCTGTATTTTTCCCATAAACTATCATTAAAATACAGAACCCGTAGGTTGGGCTATTTAACATGCTCTTTCTATTACTAACCTGAGTAACTGATGGAAGTGTTAGACTCTGTAGGCCATCTCTGAGTTCTGCCATACAATACTGTATTGTCATATTGTTACTATTACTAACCTGAGTAACTGCTGGAAGTGTTAGACTCTGTAGGCCATCTCTGAGTTCTGCCATACAATACTGTATTGTCATATTGTTACTATTACTAACCTGAGTAACTGCTGGAAGTGTTAGACTCTGTAGGCCATCTCTGACCTATGCCATACAATACTGTATTGTCATATTGTTACTATTACTAACCTGAGTAACAGCTGGAAGTGTTAGACTCTGTAGGCCATCTCTGACCTGTGCCATACAATACTGTATTGTCATATTGTTACTATTACTAACCTGAGTAACTGCTGGAAGTGTACATGTTAGACTCTATAGGCCATCTCTGACCTGTGCCATACAATACTGTATTGTCATATTGTTACTATTACTAACCTGAGTAACAACTGGAAGTGTTAGACTCTGGAGGCCATCTCTGACCTGTGCCATACAATACTGTATTGTCATATTGTTACTATTACTAACCTGAGTAACTGCTGGAAGTGTTAGACTCTGTAGGCCATCTCTGACCTGTGCCATACAATACTGTATTGTCATATTGTTCGCTGCAGCTCCACGTGCCATCTGAGTCAACCAACGTGACCCAAGGTCAAGGTCACTTATAGCACGCTCCATTCCACTGAACTCAACATTCAACCAATCCTGAAATTTGAAAATACATGTGTGTACCAAAAACTTGAATGCATATACATTATAGTTTTTATCGCACAAAATTTTATGAGTTATACACTGTAATGCCTGGGTCACATTTGCTCCGATTTTCACTATGGCGCTGGGCGATTGAGCATTTTGTTCAAAATTGAATACAATATTGAACAAAACACTCAATTGGCCAGACGCCTGCCAATGGATCAGAGCAAATGTGACCCAGGCATTAGTGTTCTTAAAACGTGTTTTACATTGTATGAGTTTCCCATTTTTTATTTTCTATTTTTTTTTATTTATTTATAACAGTAGATGTAACTTTAGGTAATTAAGGAAATACAAAAAGCATCTTCAAGTGCAAATCGCCATGTGGGCATTTCCCAGTAGATATCCAATCTAATTGTTTCAACTCAATTTTCATTGTTACTTGTGGTTGTATGAGGTTTTGAGTAGATAGCTTGGATGCTGCTTACTTGTTCATATGTAACTAGGCCCCATGTCTTGGAGTGGGCCAAGAGATCTATCCAAAACTGTTCATCATCTGGCATGGATTTGAACTTTTCTATGATAAAATTGTATTTCCCTCCATTGTCTTTGGCATACTTAACTTTGGAAGACCTACGAAATAAACACATAATATTGTTTTAACTCAAACATTAATGCTACTGTGATGTCATGTTACTATAACAACCATTGCATTTCTGGTCGCAGTTGGTCCTGTTACTTTTGGGGCACGCTGTACATGTAACTCAACTATTTTGTTTTCAATTTAATTCATTTGAAACATCTCAGATAGTCTAATTATTATTTTTTTGTAGAATACATAAAATTGAAAATCCAATAGCTTATATCTTAGATTCCATAAAATATCACTAAAATAAGAATGACAAATCAATCAAACTGAAATGAGGTAAAAATTGAAAAATACAACTGTTTAACACAAGCCAATATATTAGAGATTAATAATATATCATTGACTATACAACTACTTTTTTTGGCAATCAATCAATGATGTTACATAAGAAGGTTATCAGAAAAATACCTCACATGAAATATATTGTGGTTACTTGGTTCTACTATATACTGTACATACCACCATCTGTTATGTGCTATCACAGGTAGCTTGGTTTTATTGTAGATGTATCTGAAACATGAAGTGTGGATACAATATTATTAAGCCCATGGGTACTAATATGAACTTAGTATATTTTAAAAAGCTTTGGACATATCTAGGATATGTAAGAGGCCAAGAGGTTTGTACCAACAGAAATAGATAAGAAACCTGGTAGAACATTGAAGCCCCCAAAGAAATACGAAATAAGAAAGAAAATAAGAAAAAATAAGAAAATAAGAAAAAATAAGAAAATAAGAAAAAAAAGAAATTTGAGCTCAATTTTCTCATTTACAGCTATTGTTTTTATACATATTTGATGTACTTCCACAATTCATGAATGTTTAATTACATTTTATATAATTTTGATTTAAACCTTTTACCATTTTCCTTCAAATGATATATCAATTTAGTGCAAATAGCATATTTACATTTCATAAAGAAATCTCTGCAAAGTATCAAATACACAGGGAATTTTTTGTTAAAATATAATGATACATACTCTAATCCATTGGGGAATATTTGAGGCATGGCATCCCAGGAAATAGCACCATTTAGGGTCCCCTTTGGGTACCACCATGAATCATATTGCAGATACCTGGATTACAAGTGAATATATGAGAGTTATGCACTGGATGGCTTGGATATAGGATTGAAATTTTACTGGAGATTCCTGGTGAATATACATGTATGAGAATTATGTACTGGAAGGCTTGGATATAGGATTTATCCTTAAAGAAACATATATTCTGCTATTTCATCAGGATTTCGGGAGTGCCAAATGACTATTTAATCACAAACCCCTGGATAAGTGAATATATAAGGGTTCTGTACTACTGGAAGACTTGGATATGGTATTTATCCTAAGAGTTTTTTCTATATCTAACCTCGGATGGCCAACATTTTGAAATTGTATAAACAAGGCATCAAAATTAGGACAAAATGTCACCAGCTAAAAAGCATTTTAAACATACTATTACTTACCTATATGGGATTCCTAATTTATCCCCATAAGCCTTCGCATCCAAGATAGTTTCTTCATAAGTTCTGTTTGGTACAGTATTGTAGTAGTAGTAAGCACCTATCATGACAAAAAGACAAATTGTTATATTGTTACATGTAGTAAATTCATGAAATATGCAATTTCAATCCAAAACAATCTTTGGATCTCATATACATGTAGTACATCATGAAACCACAGGGTATGTAGTTTTATGTACAAAGTCACAAACTTAATTCTTTATATTCCAAATCTATCAAATGATGACACTTACCATTATCTGTCCAGTAGCCAAGATAATTAATAGTGATATCATTCTTCATGGCATTCAGGTTCCATTTACCATTATCTTAAACTTACCATTATCTGTCCAGTAGCCAAGATAGTTAATAGTGATGTCATTCTTCATAGCATTCAGGTTCCATTTACCATTATCTTCCACTTACCATTATCTGTCCAGTAGCCAAGATAATTAATAGTGATATCATTCTTCATGGCATTCAGGTTCCATTTACCATTATCTTCCACTTACCATTATCTGTCCAGTAGCCAAGATAGTTAATAGTGATGTCATTCTTCATGGCATTCAGGTTCCATTTACCATTATCTTCCACTTACCATTATCTGTCCAGTAGCCAAGATAATTAATAGTGATATCATTCTTCATGGCATTCAGGTTCCATTTACCATTATCTTCCACTTACCATTATCTGTCCAGTAGCCAAGATAGTTAATAGTGATATCATTCTTCATAGCATTCAGGTTCCATTTACCATTATCTTCCACTTACCATTATCTGTCCAGTAGCCAAGATAGTTAATAGTGATATCATTCTTCATGGCATTCAGGTTCCATTTACCATTATCTTCCACTTACCATTATCTGTCCAGTAGCCAAGATAGTTAATAGTGATATCATTCTTCATAGCATTCAGGTTCCATTTACCATTATCTTCCACTTACCATTATCTGTCCAGTAGCCAAGATAGTTAATAGTGATATCATTCTTCATGGCATTCAGGTTCCATTTACCATTTTCTTCAACTTACCATTATCTGTCCAATAGCCAAGATCGTTAATAGTGATATCATTCTTCATGACATTCAGGTTCCATTTACCATTATCTTCCACTTACCATTATCTGTCCAGTAGCCAAGATAGTTAATAGTGATATCATTCTTCATGGCATTCAGGTTCCATTTACCATTATCTTCCACTTACCATTATCTGTCCAGTAGCCAAGATAGTTAATAGTGATATCATTCTTCATGGCATTCAGGTTCCATTTACCATTATCTTCCACTTACCATTATCTGTCCAGTAGCCAAGATAGTTAATAGTGATGTCATTCTTCATGGCATTCAAGTTCCATTTACCATTATCTTCCACTTACCATTATGTATCTGTCCAGTAGCCAAGATGGTTAATAGTGATATCATTCTTCATGGCATTCAGGTTCCATTTACAATTATCTTCCACTTACCATTATCTGTCCAGTAGCCAAGATAGTTAATAGTGATGTCATTCTTCATGGCATTCAGGTTCCATTTACCATTATCTTCCACTTACCATTATCTGTCCAGTAGCCAAGATAGTTAATAGTGATGTCATTCTTCATGGCATTCAGGTTCCATTTACCATTATCTTCCACTTACCATTATCTGTCCAGTAGCCAAGATAGTTAATAGTGATGTCATTCTTCATGGCATTCAGGTTCAATTTACCATTATCTTCCACTTACCATTATCTGTCCAGTAGCCAAGATAGTTAATAGTGATGTCATTCTTCATAGCATTAAGGTTCCATTTACCATTCCACTGTCTCATCACCTTACCCCAACTCTCAACAGCCTGCAATAGACATGATACCATTAGATATAAATTGAATATCATAACATAGTCTGCAAGACACCACATCATCAGATATTGTATATCATAACATAGTCTGCAAAATAAATCACACCATCAAATGCTAATTTCATGTTATAGTATACACCATACCATAACTTATTGAATTGAACTTAAATGAATAACTGTATGTTTGCTACACCACTTTACCTTGTTGTAACCTTGGCTACCATAATGTAAAATTGTGCTGTATTTAAACCCTTTTGGGATCGTGTTGACCTTTCCCATAATGCCCCAGCTGACTGCTCCGCCAAACAACTTATCATGATAGTTGTTAGCTGCCATGAAATTGTCAAACGGGGAAATAAACAGAACGTTATTCTGTTTGTCGATGATACTTAAAGGACCTCCATCCAATCCATATTTAATGAAGGTTGTGTCATCTTTCCACCTAAAAATGAAATAAAGCAAATCACTTAACTTTAGACATTTATTATAGGAATTAACATGATATTTAGTGTGACCACCTACAAATGGTTATGAATGTTTATCAACAGTGCCATAACAATACTAGGCATTCACATGGAAAATGTCACTACCTGCCATTTGTTACAGATGCCAACCACTGAACACCAAATATTTAAACACAAACCACCACATGCCGAACACTGTCCAAAAAAAAGTTGGAGACTATAACAATATGATCTTTTCCATGTTTGATGGACGAGTGATTTTAAATTTCTCTATTTTTTTAAAAATGGTTTCATTTAAACTTGGGTGTGCAGTATTTTACAATTCCCATATCCCTAGAGGGTGTACATATTTAATTTCAAGTTAAATGATACTAGCGCTTTCTTGTGTCTTCTCATCCTCCTAAGCAGGTGTCCAGAATCCGTACCTCCTTCTTCCCCCTACTATAACCAATTTGAGTAAAAAGAAAGAATATATTCTGGATTTTGAAGCCCTGTGATCGGAGGATGGTGTCTTCTTGTCTCTGAAATGTTTCAACTGTTTAATACAGCATGTTGAAGACTTCCTACCTGCCAAATTGTTTCTGTATGTCCCCAATGAATATTCCACCATATGAAACATAGCCCCTGTTTAAGCCAAGCTCTTCTACCTTGAAGTTAGGGAATCCAAATATAACACCATGTTCCTTCCCAGTTGATGTGCCCCTAGCTCCCTCTGGGTACTCCTGCAACAAATAGTGTGTAGTGACATACAATTTATATCTGCACATCTGCTTTTCTTTAATCTGTTAACACCATGTAATCTTTTAAAATACCAAGCCTCTAAATGTCTCATTATTGAGGATTGTATTTTTACTGCAAATATATTTTGTTGTTGGTGTCAAATCACCTGTTGTTTTTTAGAATTTAATCATTTTTATCCTCACTCATTTCAATAAGCAATCTTCATGATATTTACCTTCTATACCTTCCCTCACTTTGATTTAAACAACCTATAATTGTACATGTATCATCTATTCTTAACAATGTATTTCACCTCAATTGTTAAACCAACACTTTTATCTTCACTCACCTGGATAAACACAACAGTTGAATTGAGCCAAAAGTCTCTGATAGTTGCTGACACTGTTACACCTCCTGCATTATATGTGTAAATATAATCCTGGTAAGGCCCTAACTTATCAAAACTCCCAGTGTCCTTGTGGAATGACACCAATTTCAGATTTGAGCCATCTTCGTATTTTGCACCATTTATTGTACAGAATGTTGGTGCATTCCTCAGCCAGGTTATGTTATTAACATGTATCTCATACTGGCCATTGTCATATGGTACAACTGAAAGTCCTGTATTGTAGTGCCCTGGTGTCTCTTGGTATTGGAGAGATATTATGATGATGGTAAGGACTGAAAACCAACCAAATTGAATTGTAATCGGACAAGCATCACATGAGAATAACTATGTTCAGTGAAGCAAGACAGAAAGACAAAAATTGAAATCAGAAAAATTCAACAAGCAATTTGAGATTTGAACCTGGGGCCTCACAATCTTTAGTCTCTCATATATTTGACCATCGATTTAAGGTACAGCTGGAAAGTAACATTTTGGTAAAAAATTGCTATACCTGCACATGTTATTTTCTGGTACAAAATAAAGTATGAAGGCATGTGTCAATTTCCTTGCTTTTTTCAGGAAAGTATCATTACATTGTCTTCTTTTAGAATATCTGGTAGGGGTTCAATGGGAACTCCAGGAAATTCTGATATTTCACACTTTCTATTTTTCCAAATTTTCTTTCAAAGTTTCCAGACAACACAGGAGCTACCATTGACCTGTTTCCAGATATTCTAAAAGTAAACAGTGTAATGATACTTTCCTGAAAAAAGCAAGGAAATACACACATGACTTCATACTCAATTTTGTACCAGAAAATAACATGTGCAGGTATAGCAATTTTTTACCAAAATGTTACTTTCCAGCTGAACCTTATTACAGAGTACACCATAACTTAGATTGAGTCAATGTTGCACATGTCTTTAGACTTATGACAGTACAAAGTTCGAAGTGCATAGAATAGCATGCCATAAATTTTAGACACCCGGTTAGTCGTAGGTCAAAGGTGCTAACTCAGCATCCCAAAATTGAAAATAAACACCTGGACAGTTTCGGGTCGAATTCCCAGTTAAAATTGATGCAACTTTGGACAATAAAATGACAAGCATTTATCTTATAAGTTGTGTAAAGTTTAACTAGTGTTAATTGATGGAAGAACTGTAATATTGTAAAAGAAAAACAAACAATATTTACCAAACTTTTTAAATTCGTCTGCCATTTTGAGCAATCACATGACAGTCACGTGATTCAATTAATATTACACATTCCAATATGTTGTTATCAATTTTATTTGTATGACACATCGAGGCCATGGTCAAACGTATCATACTATAGTATTTAGGTTAAGAGTATCGATTTATCAAATATGATGAATACCCATGGTCCAGATGCAAATTTTCATTTCGCATATTTATATTATAAATAAATTTTGGAATGTGTTCTCTCAAAAACATGGAAATTGAAACCAAAACTTGAAGTTTTGAAACTGTGCGTTAATGATTTATGTACAATGATCAGTACCCTGTGAAGGTTTTTTACCAAAGGTAAGTTGCATGTATTTTCCATTCAAATTTTCGCACATCTAAGGCTTTTGTTTCATTGAAATATTCAAAATTGGACAAAAATTCCCATAGGAGACAGGTTACCTGAAAAGGAAGATAGATGACATCTATTATAATACCTTGGTATTAATAATAGAAATCCTTTTCAGGTAACCTGTCTCCTATGAAAATTCCTCGATAAGCTGGATTTTATTTCTAAAGTCATGGCTAAAAAGAACCTGAGACCATGTTAGTCTCAGCTAGAACTGAGTCCGCCCCATTGATCCGATATCTAATGGCACAAAACCTAATGGACCATATCCCATTCGTCGGAATCCTTTTGGTCTGAATCCCAATCGTTCAAATCCAGGTCGTCCCATATGCAAAGCTTCATTTTCGTGTTTGCCGTAACCATGGGCTTTCAACTAGAAGGGTATGCAACTCTATGTAATAACATGAGACCTTCAAAATGAACAATGACATGCTTCCCTTTTATGGCAATATTTCAAAAAGTATTAGATAAATGTATATATTTTAGTATTATTTTGAATAAAAATCAATTTTTAATATGATTTAAGCATAAAATATATTCAATATCATATAAAAGTAAACAATAGAGACCAATAAGAATAAGAGTTACCAAGATGTTCTCTTTGAGTATTGCATTGTGGGTAATTATTCAAGAACACATTCCAATAAAAACATAATTTGTGGGAGAATGTTCACTTTCTGTATTGTCATAATTATGATGAATTCCAATTTTTATTAAATTATCAAGATGTATGTAGAAGATCATGTTTTTATTTTTGAATTATTTCTTTTAATCATCAATAAAAAGTACAAAATAAGATTTTCTTGGAATGTGTACATTCTCCAATTTTGAAAACCCATGGCAATGTTTATGTATGAAATATGGGAAGTTGCCTACCCTTCTAGTTGAAAGCCCATGCCGTAACCTGCACATAAAGAGAGAAATGACATTGGCATAAATTTGGTCAACAGAATTGAATGCAGGTCTTAGATGCGTTGAGCTAAAATGCTATGTATATAATTGTTTATAATGATATTTCCCTGTCGTCCTATACGGGCTTTCAATCTCTTTTGAATGGCCATGGTCCCTCGGAAAATATCATAGCGACAATTGTCTAGGTTTTGAAGAATGGGATTCGGACAATTGGGATCCGGACCATAGCGATTCGGATCAATGGGTTTCAGACAATTGGTGTTCCAATGGTCTGAACCAATACGTGTGCTCTCGATCTACTGAACTGAAAAAATATTTGTCACCCCTTTCCTATACCAGACTCAGAGGCTAAACCTACATCTTATCCCTACTTATTTTAGGCAGTTTTTTATTATTCATATTCGGTTGAGCACTTATTACTCTTTCATGGCCTGACTAGGTTGCTAGAATTTGAAAAATAAGAGTTAAAGCTTAATGATAGCGTGTCTTAATTTCAATTTTAACCCTACTAGTATCACCTTTGTTGCGTCAACCATTGAGCAATTAGTGCAATATGCAAGGGATTTCATGATGCTTTTTTCTATATGCCTCAGTAAAACATTGACGAAATTAAAAAGGCGTTCTTACGAAATTGCATCAATGAGATGAGATCTGATTTCGCGAAGTTTATACAAGATTACAAAAAATCCAAAACAAATGGCAGGTGGTGACATTTTACATATTAATACCTTGTCTGTAGTTGTAAAGACAAACTTACCTTGTATGATATTCAGCATGATATTCCTGTGACTATATAATATATATAAGTATAGTTTGCATTATTTGATTTAAGGGTCCTGTAATTACTCCACATCTTTAATTTTGCGGTTAAATTTTTGTTTTGTTTTATTTTTTAATCCAAGATGAATTATATGTCTTTAATTTTACGCTCTAAATGTTTTTTGCTGTTCTTTAAGCCAAGATGACTTATATTTCAGCAGGTGTTGACTTCAGTTTAGGCAGTTGCACTTAACTTTACTACAAACAACAATGGCTTCTCAGTGTTCCAATCCCCAGCTGCAGTCCATGATTCAAGATGCCATACTCAGACTATGCACACAAAACATATCATATGAAAACTGCCTGGAGATTGATGGAATAATATGTGTGTCTCATTCCCATAGCAACAATCATCCTGATTTGGTCATTCAAATGCACCGAACGATTCTCCGACCTGAAGGTTCAGGAACTTTATGGAATCGCACCTCTGCAAGTTTCAAAAGTGTTGACCATGTAATTCAAAATGCAGATCATGTTGTTGATATTAAGCATTCAAAGATACCTTTGAATGATGCAGACAATGAGGTTCCTATATCTGGTGATACCTTGCCCATGTCTTTGAATGATGCAGACGTTGAGGTTACAGCACCCAACTCTCAGTCTGATGTCGAAGGTGAGCTAATTAAAGACTAACATCCTACATGCTTTTATTTCATACTTTTAAATGAATATATCAGGTCATTTCATTGGCCTCATATCTCACCTATACACAAATGTAATAATTCAGTACCGGTATGTATATTCAATTTATCACAATTCTTTTGTAACCTTTAATTCTTTAATGTTACAAAGCATTTCCTCTTACAAGTGAGTACTAATAAAAGTAGAAGTAGAAACTTGACAAAATGTAAGCCATAACGCTCATAGCCTTGTGATCAGCAGTAGGGGTTGTTACTAAGCCCATAATAAGCAGCAGAAGTTATAAAATATTACAGAATGTCCTCTTTTTCAAATTATGTTGAATAATCTGCATTTAGTCTGAGTGGTTAATTTGCTGAGTGGTCAAATTTTATCATTTCCTAATGACAAGAAACTTCGCATCAGATAACGTTATGAAGATGATAATTCTGACATTTATTTTTCCGAACTTAGAGACAAAATTACCACTCATGCAGTATATCTTCTGTATTTTAATCTCCGTAATAAAATTAACCCTTTTGCCCATGTTTTAATTGTAGATGATGCCTTATCTCAAGTGGACACTGATCTCCATCAAACATCAAACTCAAAAAATATTTATGCAAGTGATGAAATGACATCATCAACCATACATTCAATCAAACAAGAACAAACAGAAATGAGAGATGACAACAGTTATGTGAAACAGGTCGATGAACATACTAAAGAAACCGAAGATGATGACAGTTTTGTGAAACAAGTCAGTGTACGTAATAAAAGGGTTAAGACTGAAAGGTTGAATGTTTCTGCGGAGTTGGCTGAGAGTGATGATGATAGTTGTGTGAAACGGGTCAAAGAACGCCCTAGAAGGATTAAATCTGGACGTTTGAATGTTTCTGCGAAGCTTGTTGAGAGTGATGATGGGGCAGAGGAGGGGAACATGGTGCTAAAACATGAAAGAGTAGATGCTGAATGTAACAGTGGTGAGTACATTTGTAACTAGACAAAGTGAGTCCAAGCCAAAGTCCATTCATTTAGAACTGTTTGTTTCTTTAGCAGCAAGGAAGTTTTTTTACATCATATCACCAAAGGGTATAATAGGCCAAGCTTAAAGGCCCCATCTAAAGTTTAAACCACTTTGGCTTATATTGTAGTCTTACCCAATGTTATCAAAGTGTGATATGTGAAACTTTTTTTTTAAATTTCAAAAAGTGGTTTTTGATAGACTTTTTGTTCCAAAATTTGTGAATTTATTTAAAACCAACTTTTAGAGGTCACTCATATCTTCTAATTAGCCACAATTTATACCAATGCATAGCATTCATCCTCCCATGATTTTTGCCGAAAAAATTAAGAAAATCGGTTCATAAATAAGCAAGAAATGAACTTATCAGTGCATGAAAATGGTTCTGAGAAAAATGCATTTCAAAATTTTAGTTCTCATAGAAACCAATGGTACAATGATATCTAAAACATAATTTATTCTTCCTTTTAACCTGGTAAGACAATCAACATTGGTTTTTATGAAAGTCTAACATATTTAGAAAAGATTGACATCAAAAAAAAAATTTCAATTTTTTTCAAAAAGTTTTTGGTACCTTAGTGACATCACTAATGTTTCAAAATATTTTTGATATGTTAAAACATTGAAGTGGCCCATTAAATATGGCATTTTATTATTGAAATAGTGTGTCCTTTGTTCAACCTTTGCATTGGTGTTAAATAGATAATCTTTTTTGAAATGCATTAAGAAATATTTGATGATTAAGAAATTTCAACTTTTTTTGAAAAATGGCGGGAAATTTGAATATTTGAGAAATGAAATGCTCACAACTTTTTTTTCCAAATTTTTTTTTTGTTCAAAAATCTCTAAAATCACTTTTTAAGTCCTGACAAATAGTAAATGAATGATAAAAAAATATTTTCAAACTTTAGACGGGGACTTTAAAGATAACAATATATTATATAACATGAGCTAATTACGGAACAACATTAAGTACATTGTTGCTTTCTGGGGGAGTCTGGCTAAGAATAAGAGTGTAGAGGTGTCAAGTCATTGGTTCAATGAGGGCAAAGAGAAGGGAGTTGAAGCAAGATGTCAGTTTCTTCCACAACTACAGTACTCAGGTTTCACTGTACAGAAAAATCACATTTCATCGAAAATCAATTATGTTTTGAAACTTAATATCAAATCATCTCTACCCTTCCGTTCCTTTAACCTCTTGAATCCCCGTCTCTAAACTAGCTTGAAACCAGAGAATTCTTCATTTTTACATGTTACAT